TAGACTTTTGTCAGTATTATACAGCTAGTAGATGTGAAGGCGACTCACCATTCGTTCCAACCCAAGATCTGAGAAGTAGAGGCAGTAGGCATAGGAGCAACGAGAAGGGAGTTTCGGACACCGTGCTCGGCAATCTTGGCCTTGAGCTCAACCCAGTTCCAGAGCTCGGTAGGCTCCTTTCCCCACATGTCGTATTGGAGAATACCCTGAGAGATGGGGGAGCCCTCGTAAGACTCGTATCGACCCTGGTCTCGAGCCATCTCGCAAGAAGCCTCGAGAGCAGCGTGGTAGATGGTCTCGAAGATCTGGATGTTGAGGAGTCTAGCCTCGGGAGAGTCGAAAGGCAGACGAAGGGCCATGAAGGCATCGGCAAGACCCTGGACACCGAGACCGACAGGTCGGTGGCGCATGTTGGAGTTACGAGCCTCAGGGACGGGGTAGTAGTTACGAGTGATGACCTGGTCCAAGTTCTTGGTGACGACCTTGGTGATCTCGTGGAGCTTCTTGAAGTCGTAGACTCGGTGCTCGAGATCGACAAACGCGGGAAGGGCAAGAGAAGCGAGGTTACAGACGGCGACCTCATCAGGAGCAGAGTACTCCATGATCTCGGTACAGAGGTTGGAAGACTTGATGACACCGAGGTGCTTCTGGTTGGACTTGGAGTTGGCGGCGTCCTTGTAGCACATGTAAGGGTTACCAGTCTCGGTCTGAGCCTCCATGATGGAGAACCAGAGCTTCTGGGCCTTGATAGTCTTCTTGCCCTTGCCCGCCTTTTCGTAGCTCGTGTAGAGGGCCTCAAATTCGTCGCCGTAGACATCGGCAAGCCCGGGGCATTCGGCGGGGCACATGAGGGTCCAGTCGCCGTCAGACTCGACTCGCTTCATAAAGAGATCGGGGATCCAGAGGGCATAGAAGAGGTCACGAGCACGGACTTCCTCCTTACCGTGGTTCTTCCTCAAGTCAAGGAAATCAAAGACGTCGGCGTGCCAAGGCTCGAGGTAGATGGCAAAGGCACCGGGACGTTTGTTACCACCCTGGTCGACGTAACGAGCAGTGGCATCGTAGGCTCGAAGCATGGGAACGATACCGTTAGAGTAACCGTTGGTACCAGCAATGTAAGAGCCCTTGGCTCGAATGTTGTGGATGTGGAGACCGATACCACCGGCGGTCTTGGAGATCTGCGCACAGGTCTTGAGAGTGTCGTAGATACCCTCGATAGAGTCGTCCCTCATGGCAACAAGGAAACAAGAAGACATCTGGGCGTGGGGCGTACCAGAGTTGAAAAGCTGCACAATGTCAACAAAGGTCACCGTGGATTAAAAATGACTCACAGTAGGGGAAGCGTGGGTAAAGTACCTCTCAGACATGAGGTTATAAGTCTCAATGACTTTTTCAATGTTAGCACCGTGAATACCAACAGCGACACGCATGATCATGTGCTGAGGTCGCTCCACGATCTTGCCGTTGATCCTGAGCAAGTAAGATCGCTCCAGAGTCTTGAAACCAAAGTAGTTGTAGGCAAAGTCTCGGTCAAAGATGATGGCAGAGTCAAGAGCCTCCTTGTTGTCCATGACAGTCTGGTAGACGTCCTCGGCAATCATAGGGGCGTGCTTGCCAGTCTTGGGGTTGACCCAAGAGTAAAGGTCGTGCACAACGGCAGAGAAGACCTTCTTGGTCTCCTTGTGAAGGTTGGATATGGCGATTCGGGCAGCAAGGATAGCATAATCCGGGTGCTTTGTGGTGAGATAGGCGGCGGTTTCGGCAGCCAAATTCTGGAAAAATGTAAGATCCTGGGTCGAGAGGCAACTACGACACTTACGTCAAGTTCGACAGTGGTGATACCAGCGTGGATACCCTGGACGACCTTCTGAGTGATCTCAGCAGGCTCGACAAAGTTGGGGTCGAGGCCATAAGACAATTTGTTGATCTGAAAACGAACGTCAGCGCGGGCGTTGCGAGATTGAACTGTAGCGACGTACTCGTGCGGTAACCTAGGAGGTGGGAAAAGACGATCAGTCAGCTATATAGATCATAGAAGGGCCAGGAGGGCAGAAGCGTACCTTGTCAAAAGCAACTGAGGGCTATGTCAGTTCATCGGCGCATCGCAGGGGGACAACGGTGCACTCACCCGGTTCCTTTCGGCCGTCTCTCTTGAAGACCCAGATCATTTTTGCGCGTTATATGTATAGAAGACGAATGAAGGCAAGAAATGCGTGTAGGGTGCAAACGCTCTGAAAACTAGAAAGACGCGTAGGCTTGATCAGCGTCGTCGGCGTCGGAGAGCAGTAGCGGGTGGCTGGCTCGGCAGCAGGGAGGCGGATGGACTCACAAGGGTGTGGCTGTAAGGTGTATGTGGGATGGTTCAGCCCTATAAGATCCTGCTTGGGTGAAAGAGAATGATAATTGAAAGAGAACGGAGGGGGACTGACGCGTCCGAAATGTTATAAAGCCTTTTTGGGATTATATTATAAATTATTTGGGACCATTTTGCGTAGGACGCGTCGGTCGCGTCGGTCGCGTTTTTCAGGGACTGATATTAGTGTTGACGTGTTTTGCTTGTCAAGCCTCGGCCTTTGCCTCTGCCTTTGGGATCTCTGCTCTGCTGCCTCCACTCTGCAGTCTGCACATACTCAGGGCACACGCCCCGTATATGTCCTCGCGTCAGATATCAGGTATACGGTGTAAACCTCCTTCCCCGACCTGCTGCCTGCCTTACCAACGCGATACCGACTACGTTCTGGATTGATGTCTATCAGCAGCCATGCGATCATTTATCATTATCAGCGTATCAGATAACGGGAAGGCCAGGTAGGCAAAGTGTCGGCCTAAATCTTATAGTCTTGTACCAGAAGGGCTGTAGCTGTAGACGCGGCCGACTGGCGCAACCCAGGTATCGGCCGACGGCCGACACACTGTTATCAGACGGCTGATGTGTACTCGTTGCCACTTGCTATCAGTTGGCTTGCAGTAATGGATGCACTTGATGACTTGCGATCGGATCATGAGGCTGAAGCTGTGAGCATTTGCCCTGTGACCGGCTACTTAAATGGATCTCTTCCTGATATCGTCGTGACGCATGAAGACCGTTTCATACCTGCAGCCCCTGCCGTACCACTTAGATAGTACGAGTAACAAGGATGTGTGTGACACGATGGCTGACATCGCATGATTTTCAGGTTCTTGCTTCGAATTCATCGTCGACTCGTTGTTTCGTCTGCCCACCTTCTGCCCTTGGGCCGGGTCAGTCGAAGGGGCGGACGGCAGGGGACGCGGGCAAAGCGGTAGGGAGATCAACTCTCGGCAGGCAAAGGTAGACTTGAATCACGTCCTGTGTTGAATGACTCGTTCAAATCGATCCAAGAAACTATTATATGGGAGTCATCGAGGGGAGTCGTGAATGGCTGATCACATTACTGGAAAGTATGACTTCACTGTGGAGCCCGAGCGAGAATGTTTTGATCTTGTATTGAGACGTCCAGAAACAATCTCGATCCAGGATGGATCAACAAAATCTTGAATTGATCTACCCTGTTTGATCCCAGTTTGGGATTGTTTTGAACTTGGTTCAGGATTGTTATCTCAATCTCAATTCTGGATCAACTGTTGCATATGCCATAATCTTGATCCAGGTTCAATTCTACTCTCCTTATGGCTACAGTACAAAGATCTCTCCGCAACAGCTGAACACATACAAGAACGCTATTTTATTGTGAAGTAGTTGATTTACCCTTCATGATACGAGTCGGAGCCTGTATAGCATGATCAGTGAATGCGTATCTTCCTTCCACAGATATAACGACTCACATTCAGTCATTCCATGCACTGAAGGGGGGCGTAATTGGCGGAAGAGAAGCAGAAACAGAAGGGAAAGGAAGCTCACTATCAGTGCGCGGGCCTGGACGGAAGGTGTTGTCTAGTGTCGTGAGGAAGAGCTTGTGGGGCGACGTTGGGCGATAAGCACGCGTCCTGGGAAAGGCAGCGAAAGTTGTGGGGAGTATACTGGTGGTGATGAGATGAGAAGGCGATGAAGAAGAGATGGATGAGTGTCCGAGCGTAGAGATAGATCAGTTCATTGACGCAGAGCAACTAAAGGCGGCATACTCAACTGCTTTCCGAGTACCGCCAAACACACCCCGCCTGATGAGTGGGGAAGAGCATCTGGCTGGATGCAGGGGTATGGTAGTCTGGCAAGATACGAGACAGTACGGATGGGAACGTTGGAAAAGACAGCGCACGGACCTCTGCCGGGTGGCGAATGCGGGTGGTGTTGACGCCGGCGTTGCTTCAGAACGCATGGTGGAATGCAGCACTGGGAGACGGTGTTGAGGAGAGGACGGGGGTGTATATAGGATGAGTGGCTGACGGAGAGAAGGTGTGTGGTGGAAGGCGGGAGGGAAGACATTATTGTAGAAAGGTGAAAGAGAAAGAGAGATGACAATCACTCAACGACAAGGACGCGACTTGCTTCGGCGGTCGAGCACGCGATGTTTGGACTTAACCACTTTGAGATGTCGCCAAAGCCCATAACAAGACTACGGCGGCTATGGCCGTCTCTATGGCAATGATCACAGATATGTCAAAACAATCCCAGACTGGGATCATTCATAGATTCAAATGATCTTGAACTAAGATCACCAACCGGGCACCCAAATCTAGCCTCGATCAAAATAGCTTCCCAGTCCAAGATAGAAATAATCGAGCTAGATAGAAGTGATCTTTGGCTGGATGAATACAACCCTGCATTGAGATGAAAGTAATTGAGAAAGATCAAAACAATCTCGCGCGGGCCCCACAGTGTGACTTTCAGTTGCAAGGCCAGAGTAGACTTCTACTTGAGCAAAGGGAGCAGAGGCAGAATTGCCTATTATGGGAGCCAGATACTGGGTATACATGTAGAGAGACAAAACAAACGAAGATGCCAAAGAATGCGAAAAAGTGGTGTGGAAGAAATAAACGCCCCGTCCCCCCTACCTCCAAGAGTCAAAAAGCAAAAGAGCCTCTCAGCTCTTCTCCTTCTTTTCCTTCTTTTCCTTCTTCTCCTTCTTCTCCGACTTGCTCTTCTTCTCCTTCTTATCCGACTTGCTCTTCTTCTCCTCCTTGGCCTCGTCGACGTCAACGTCCATCGCTTCCGACTTTCGCTTCTTCTTGTCCTTCTTGGAGTCCTTATCCTTCTTGTCCTTCTTGGACTTGGAAGGCGTAGACGAAGAAGCCTCAGCAGCAAGACGAGCGAGTTCGGGGTCGAAGGGAGCGTCCTTGGCAGCGGCAGCGGCGGCTATTTGGTCCTTCTCCACTTGCTTGGCAGCCTATGCCATTGTCAGCAGGATTCCGATAAATGTGCAGAGTGCTCGCTCACCTCGGCAATCTCCTCATCAGTCGCCTCCTCGTCATCCTCATCATCGTCAAGCAAGTCCGCAGCAACGGCCTCCAAAGCCTTCTTGATGGCATCCGCGTTCTTGCCCACTGGCGTACCAGTCTCGAAAAAGTTCAACCTCTCCTCAACCTGGGCCCGAAGAGCCTCACCAAACTTGTTGGTGGGCACATCCGTGAAGCAGTCGATACGGCAGGCGATGGAACACTTGTTGGCGAGGAATCGAGAGATTCGGCCCTTGTGTTTGGGACCGGCACGGCCGATAAAGGTGGAGTGGTAGATGAGACCGTACTTGGGAGTGTTGCCCTTTGTCTTGAGTGCTCGGAAGAGGGCCTTTTCGGCACCGAGAATCTGGACAGTGGAGGCGGGGTACTTGGCCAAGTTTGTGAGGGAACCGCTACGCAAAGTCAGCACTGATCACGGCTTGCAAAAAAGACGTACGCGTGAGAGATGAGCCTGGCAGCAATGGTCTCGCCGATGAGGGCAGACAGGTTGGGGGCGACAATGTTCATCTTCTCCACGAGGTACCTTCTCAGACTCTTCCTGTACTCGGAGAGCTTGACAACTCGCTCGGCAAAGTTGGAAATGTTGATCAAGTCGATCTCGCCAATGTCACTTCCCATAGAAGCTCGGGCAGCATCAAGGACGTTCCTCGCGCGGGTCTCATCGTCGTCGAGAATCTCCTGGATGTCCTCCAGGGAGTCGTCGGTGAGGGTGTTTCGGTCACCAATGAGGACAGCGAGGCGGGCGTACTGGTGGGCGTCGGGGACGAGCTTGTAAAGCTCGGGGTAGTGCCAGCCGTACCATTCACGGACTCGCATGAAGAAGGTGTTGAGGTCCTTGTCGAGCTGGTCGGAGAGGGAGATGGCTTGGATGATCATGTTGTCGGATCGGTTGACGTTGAACTGTCGCATTATCAGTGAGATTCCACACTCCCAATACCTATTGACATACCTTCACTTTACCACGAGAGTAAGAGTGACCAAGACCAAGCTGGGCAACAGTGACATCGCCCTTCTGCATACCGCCCTTGACCAGGATCTTCTCCTGGTGCAATCGGACACCTCGGATGAGCTCGAGAGCACGCTCCGAAGTGTCGCAGGGGATGCTCATCTCTCCCTGGATAGATCCAGCAAGACCCCTCTCGGCGACACCAAGGAGGACGCCAGACTGCTTCTTGTTGCCCTTGCCGGCGGCATCGGGAACAATCAAGCTCAACAGAGACTGCAGGTGGGGGTTGAGAACACCCTCAGAAACGTCGTTGGCGTTTTCGAGAGCCTGGGCGGCAGTGGTGAAGGGGAGGAAGGAGGCGAGCTGGACCATGCGAGAGAAGATGGCGAGGTCGGAGATGGAGTCCTGGAGCTGCTTGGACTTGGCGGCGACCTCTTCCTGGAGGTTGACGGTGAAGAGGGCATAGCCGGAGGGCCCTTCGAAGAGGATGTGGGTGAGTGAGCCGGACATGCTGGCGTGTTTTTGGGAGATGCAGAGAACGTCAGCCCACAAAGTGGAGAAGTATTTCCTCCTCGAAATTATTATCCTGTGCGAGTTTCGCGGGTTTATCCCGTTATCACGTGACTGCATTACGTCGTTGCTTGAATTGGCCGATCTACGAAGAATGGAGATGGAAAGTATCGTTTTCTACTCTCAGCGATATCCATAATGGCACCCAGCAAGTCGTCCGCCTCCGCAGGGACACGCAAGAAGAACGCCGCCAAAAAAGCGCGCAAGAACGGAGAGGATCCAGAAGACATGCCTCCTCCGCCGCCAAATACCAAAAAGCAGCGAGGCGAGAAGAAGCTTTCAAAGGCCCAGCGTAAGGCTTTACCCAAGGCGAAGCAGTATATCCCCCCACCAAAGCCGCCAGCGCCTCCTATACCAGACCCGCTCGACGGGCAAGGTCTCGCGAGGACATTGCCCGCTGAACTGGTCGTCGTGTTGCGGCGGCTCGGCAAGAAGGACGATGTCACCAGGCGGAAGGGCCTGGAAGAGTTTAAAGATGACTGGGTGAGAGATGTGACTGCTACGAAGGGTAGTGAAGAGGAAGAAGTGGACAGAGAGGTCAAGGAGATTGCCATCTTGTCGGCCATCCCCGTATGGGTGAGTAAGCCAACATCCTATCGTTCGACGCTGACGTGGACAGCTTCACAACCTCGCCAGTCTCCTCCAATCCCCTTTCCAGCGATCAACAGCCCTAGCCATCCAATCAGACCTTCTATCTGTCCCCGCTCTCCGCTCCTCAATCTTGGAGAGCATCAACCTCGGCTTCTTGCCCGGCACTCAGAACAGAGACGTATTGGGCTCGTGGATGGTCGCTGCTCTGGAAGAAGGTCGCCGGTCGGGTGGGGCGGCAATGAAATGTTGGGAGGCGTCCACTACCTGGAAGTCAACGGGAGAAGAGGATGAAAGGATAGATCTCTCCCAGCAATTGGCTGCTTTGGTAGAGTATCTCACTCTATCCACTGTTGACCCAGTCACTCTACACGACAATATCCACCCCGCTCCCGTGTTCTCCGAGTCTGCCTCCCAAGCACCCACACCAAAGAAGAACCTCAACAAGGCGGCCAAGACCAAGACCCCCGCGCCGATCTCTAGACAAGTCGCTACGCCGGTGCAGCCCGAGGACGAGGAGGTGGTCGAGGAGAGGCTTGTCCGGTACAGAGTTGGGGGGCTAGTCGGCCTCACATCTTTGCTCCAATCATGGACCCAGCTTGGGTCTCTCGAGCTTCCCGCTGACCTGATCAGCCTTTTACGCAACCCCGGTCTCTGGATTGCCCTTTCCCCAGAGATCATCGACAAGGCCGAGAACCCAGGGGCTTTGGGTACAGCCCAACCGCCTATCCGCCGTGCGGCCTACTCGCTCCTTTCTGTCCTGATCACTTGCTTTGAGAAGATCATTGGTGAGCCCGAGGTGCTCAAGATGGTGGCAGACGCAGTGCTTGGAGGGTGCTGGGTGGAGAAGGAGGCGGCCGTATGGGAGACTGCTGGTTCTGCTGTGGCTAAATTTGTCCGGAGTGAGTGCGGTATAACATTCTTTATCTAGTGCTGACACTATCCAGAATGGCCCCAGTGCTGGACTATTACTGCCATTGATAAATCTGCCAAGGACGAGGAGAACAGCGAGGATGAAGCTGACAGTGAGATCGAGCAGGACGTCCCGACTGCCAAGCCAGAGGGGCCTCCAGTCTCCCCTCATTACACTTCCTTCCTCGACTTTGCTTCCACCATTTGCCCCTCCATCCCAGGCCTCACATACCCCATCATCCTTGTTGTTCTCTCCACCCTCCCTACATCGTTATTATCCCTCGCGAGCCCATCAGGCCAGCTCCAAACTCTCTTCTCACACCTCTGGTCCCCCGTCGATGCTAGATTGCTTTCGACACACTCTCTTCCCGGCCAGCAGTCAGCTTTCCAGATGTTCCTGCAAGCATTCTTGGAGAGTACGATCTTTTTGATCGGTAAATCTTGGCGATTGGAGGATGGGGAAGGGAGGGACGCGGCTGCGTGGCTGGCCCGAGAGCAGCTCGGGGAAAGAGCGTGGAAAGAGGGCGTTTTGGTGCTCGGCGGCAAAGGGGGTGGGAGAAGGGTGGCGCAGGGAAAGAATAATGAAGCTGAAGCTCGTTTATTCGGATCAACTCTGACGAGGTTGGTCGCTATCGACAAACAGTTGCTTGAGGCTGTAAAGTCGATAGCCTCGCAAGCCTTGTTGGACGGTTGTTTCCCCAGCAGGGAGCAGGAGACAAAGCCCATTGTATCTGTCTTACCAAGAGCTTTGTCCATTATGAGTGCTGTGAAGGGGTCGACAGAAGACGCCAAGGTAGCTGGATTTGCCGAGGACATCATCAGATGTATCGTTCAACAGTCGGCCAAATCACTGGGAGGGGATGACAAAAATCCTGGCTCGGTAGTTGTCGCGGAGGCACTCGTGCTTGCACTGTCAGAGTATCCATATTTGGTGGACGACACTATCGTACATGTGAGTTGGTCGTTTTGTGGTTGAGAAACTGAGATCCTGACTTTGTTAGAATTTGGTGGATCTCTTCCATACATCTTCCACCTCCCTCCTGCAGGTGCTCACACCACCTCTCTACGTTCGCACGCTTGACCTCCTCAGTATAGTCTCTTCCTCACCCGAGGAGAAAGCAACATGTCAGAAGACTTTGGTATCGCTACTCAGCTCACAAGAAGCGGAGGCATCACAGCGTTTTGTCGTTGCCAGCTCTCTCTTGTCCCTTCCTTCCACCAATCTCCTCCAACCGACGTCCCTGAACCCTATAGTGACCGAAGCGACCCACGAGGCTCTCTCCTCTGGCTCTCCAGAGGCAGTGTCTGTCATCACAGCTTCTCTACGGTCTCTCTCACACATCTCCCCATCGACCCTTCACAATGTGCTGTCCGAGACTTGCAAGGCTATACAATCCTCCACCGACAAGCTCTTGACGACCGATTTCACCGAACTGGGCATCCCGAGAGCCGCGTTCGAGATATTTACTGTCTATGCTCAAGATCATCTCAAAGAGGTTGTGGGATCGGATGAATGGGTACAGGGGCTTGTAGCGATACATCACGTGCTGTTCATGCTCCCTCGAGTCCCAGGGCATATTGAAACTCAAGAGGGCAAGATGGAGAGCCTTACGAGTGTTTGGGCCAAACTCGGCGAGCTCGAGGAGAGGGAACAGACCAAGGTGCTTGTCAGGGTACACGAAGCGTTGAAAGAAGAAATTGGCAGGGTGGGAGTGCATGTGAGCCCGGATGTGCTGGTGGATGTTGCTTTGGCGACTACCTTGGGAGGACGCAGCTCGTCAGTGGGCGAACTGGCCGGCGCTCTTTTACCCCATGCCGAACAGTTGTTGAAAGACCTCGCATCTCATGCGTCCAGGTCCCCGCACCCTACGCTACCAATTGTCGACGCTCTCATCCCATTCGTCACTCCAGACGAGGATGCCGACATCGAGTCGACAGACTTTGATCTGCTCGGCCGATCCGAAGTCTCACGATATGCTGAGGCCGCTGTGGCACTTCTCAGAGCGAACAGAAGTCTCGTCAAGACAGAGCCTGTCCTTTTGCAGGTGGCCTTGGCCGTCGGTCGTATTGCCCAAGATGCTCTGGCAGTTCCCGGAGCTTCACGGGGCTTGTTCTCCAAGGATACACCTTTGACACGCTTGGAAGACTTGGTGAGAGAGGTCGAAGGTGCTACCAGCTTTGCGCTTGGTTATGTGGACGAAGTTCCCTCGTCATGGAATGCTGCTACAGTACAAGCTCTCAAGTCTGACACTCTTCCCGAGGGCTCTGACTTGCTGCAGCGTCTGCTGACAGCGCTCAAGAGGGATGTGGTGGCTACCGGGGGCGATGTGAGTGTGAGGTCGTTTAGAGATGTTTTGAGTAGACACTTGAGGCAGGTCGGCGCAGGGGAGAAGGAAGGAGAAGCGTGGCTCGGTTATGCCATGGGACAAGTCGACAGAGCGCCTCAGCTGGCTCTTGCCATCATCCTGGCCATCAAACCTATGCTCCTCGACACACAACCATTCATGACAGCTCAAAACAGGCTGGCGTCAGCTATCACCACTATCCCTCCTTCTAAATGCCACACCGCTCTCAACCTTTTACGGATCTTCAACGCCTCTGCGCCTCCACCCGACTCTGCTTCCGTCTTTTTGCCTCAGCAGCGAGCATTGTTTGCGTTGAGACATGTGGCCGGCTGGTTGACAAGTGACGATGTTGATGAGGATCAGTTGCCAGAAGACATGGAGTATAGAGTCCTGGAGCTGGAAGGTGCTGTAGCGCCTATCGTACAAGATGTCGGTGGCAATCATTGGGATGGGATCTTTGACTTGGTGGAAAGTGGCTTGGAGGTGAGTAGCACATCATGAAGAGAACGTAGCTGATGATTCGCAGAACTCTGCCCTGGACGATCCCGCATCCCTTTGTCTGATGTACCAAAGCTTGTCTGTCCTGCAGCAGATCAGAAATCTCTGCCAGACCAACAAGTCTCTCAGAGCATCCTGGACGAGCAAGGACGCGCATCTGAAGCTCGTCCTTGATCTCTTCCTCCAATGCCGTTTGGCGGACACCGTACCTCTTCAAGAGATCCAGGCTCTCATCCTTGATCTACTGCCGGACATTCCGGACAAGGTCATGGAGCATGCGTCGCTATCGTCGTTGTTAAAGCTTGTATCGCTGTCGACTTCTTCGGCAATCCAAACGGCCGCTTACCGTATCTTGAGCAAGGTCATCAAGCATGAGACATTGGCCTTGGTGCTGGAAGTGGAGGCTTCGTTGTCAGATGAGGATGGGCATAAGGAGAGGACGATCGAGCTGGCAAAGGAATTGGTGGATATCGTCAAGATTGGGACAGAGTTGGACTGGCATGGAGAGCTTGGTGTGCCGCTTGTCCTTGGGCAGCTTTTGACCTGGATGTCCATCTTGGACTACTTTGAGGATGCTTCTCGAACACTACGATGGGCATACCTTGACCAGCTCAACACATCAAACCTCATTACGGACGGTCTCGTCCCCATGCTCTTTGCCATTCTGGGCGTCTCTGAAGTAGGCGCTTGGAACTTCCCCGCGAGTCAGTATGCGGTAGACGAGTACTTTACCGAGTTCCTCGACCCTGAAAGTCTACCCGACCTTACTCCCCTGGCTTCCCACATCTTTTATCGAGCCCTCGTCACCATTCCGTCCTCTCTCCGGGGTTACTACGAGTCCCTCAAGGATAGACAACTGTCCATGTCGATGCTCAACTTTACAGCCCGTCACTTCTCCCCCGTCATCATTGCACACGAATTTTCCGCTCTCCGCAAACCCGCGGCAATGGCCCAGCTCACAGAAGAAGGACTCAACGTGCGTATTGCCCAGGGTGGAGGTGCAACGGTGGCTGCAAACAGCGCAGGCTCGTCCGAGGCGATCGCGAGTTATGTCGTAGACGAGCAGCCGATGGAGATCGGCATCAGGCTCCCGGCAGAGTTCCCCTTGAAGGCTGTTGATGTGCGTGACTTGAGAAGGGTTGGAGTGCCAGAGAACAAGTGGAGGGGGTGGTTGATGAGTGTGCAGCAGACCATTACTTCGAGAGTGAGTACACGTACGCATGAGTGGGTGCACGACTCACGAGCCTGCAGAATGGTCTGATATTGGAAGCTCTTACAGTGTTCAAGAGGAACGTCTCGCTTCACTTTGAGGGTGTTGTCGAGTGTGCTATCTGCTACTCGTAAGTCAACCTTGCCGATCGTAGGACTCTACTGACATTCTTCCAGTATCATTTCCCTCACAGACAGGACTCTTCCCACAAAGCCTTGTCGCACGTGTAAAAATCGCTTCCATGCTAGCTGTCTCTTCAAGTGGTTCAACTCGTCCCATTCGAGCAGTTGTCCCCTCTGTCGATCTCTTTTCTAGATGGTTCACTTTTATAATAGCACTTTACGCATGGTAGATGACATACATTTTACAAGGAGGAATGCATTGTATGAATCGGCGTTCGCAGGATTACTGTTACACCGTCTTTTTCTCTAAGTGACGCTTATAGGTGTGTTGTACATATTATTCCACTATTTCCCGTCATCCCCATTCCTACGCTTTCCCTTCCCTTCTCCATTGGTGCCGCCAGCGGCTCCCGATGCCCTCCCACGCCCTCGCTTCTTTGGCCCGGCATGGTCGTGGTCATCTCCGTCGTCGTCGTGATGTTGGTGGCGCTTTGGTATAGAATGATGTGACTATGTGCGCATAAGTAGGGGCCGGGATGACGAAAGGGAAGGACTTACATCACGGTACTTGGCCAAGTATACTCTCAGGACCCCCTCATAGTTGTCAAACCCCAATGCCCGCATCGAGGTGAGTATGTCCTCTCCGTTTAGCGTCTTTCGCTTCTCGTTGAGACACTTTTCTGCTGCTTCCGATGTCTAACTCATGTCAGTCTATGCAATCATGAAGGTAAGATGGTAACTCACGATGAAAGAAATGAATTCCGATACGCATTCTTGTACACACTCCTTCGCTTCTTTGGACACCTTTGCTGATGATGGTAGTGACGACTTCATGATTCTGGCGACGTTCGCAATCTATAGATGGAATTGTGAGCACAGTGACCCCCTCCGTATGCACTCACAGGCAGCCATCGATCCTGCTCCCGGAACTCCTCTACTTGGGCCTCGGTGAAAGGCTTGGGCGGGCCAGCGCCGGAGGTTGCTGCTTCGTCGTGGTTTGTGCCGACGGGGGCGATGATGGGGATCTTTGGGAGGGGCGTCGAGTCTGCCATGGCTGGATGGAGGGAGAGATGGACGAGGAGTTGACGAGGAGCGATGTTGACCTCAGTTGAGCTGGACTCCGGACGGGACTGCTCATGTCCGCGCTGTCCCGATCCAGCTCAGAGCGGCGCCGTTGCCACCGTCGGCGTCGCGTCACTTATATACATAGTTATCATCTCTCTTGACGCATTCCCCCAGCCTGCCGCCATGGCCACCCCACCCAGGAAGCTCAACCTCCGCTCCACAGCGGTCAAGCGCATCATGCAAGAAGCTCAGGAGCTGGCCAGCGCAGACGTCGATGACGACGGCTTCACCGCCGCTCCCGTAGAGGTATGTCAAGTTCATCATACCTGGATTCTAGCTGATACTGGTGGATAGGACGATATCTTCGAGTGGCACTGCACAATGAGAGGAGTGGAGGATAGCGAGTATGAAGGCGGTGCGTATTGGTCTCATCAATACAGATCTTGAGCTGACAGTTACCCAGGTCTGTACCATTTCCGCATTGTGCTGCCTCCTTCGTACCCCATGTCTGCTCCCGACATCATCTTGCTCACTCCCAATGGGCGATTTGAATTGGGTAAAAAGGTGAGTCGTCTTACCTCATCTGTGAGAGGAACCTTGCTGACGTGACAACCATGTCTCCCTTTGACTACGCTTTGCAGATCTGCATAGACGGTCTTACAAGCTTCCATGCTGGATCATGGCAGCCGGCCTGGGGAGTTCGCACAGGTATGCACACATCTTTGCCCCATGCAACAGCTGACATGTTTCGTAGCCATCGTCGGTCTCCGCTCCTTCTGGATGCAAACTGGTGAAGCTCTCTCAGGTGTCGGTGCCCTCGACTACTCAAAGGATGAACGGAGGCGGCTGGCAAAGTTGTCTGCCCAGTGGAAATGTCCTACATGCGAAGTGGCAAACGAAGAAATCTTGCCTTGCATTGCCGAAAGGGTGGACAAGGGAAAGGGAAAGGCGGAGGAAGAGGTCACTGAGAAGACGGAGCGGGAAGGTGCGGGAGACGATAAGGATGTTGATGACAAAGGCGCTCCTGGAGAGCCAATGCCCTTGAAGGAAGTCCCTCCTTCTGCCCCTGCGCCTCAAGCACTCCCAGCACCCTCCCACATATCCCCCACACCCATACCCCGCCCCGCACCTCAGCCATCCACAGCTATAGCCCGCGCACCACCCCGTGCCGCCCCCGCTTTACAGGACCCAGGCTTTGTCCGGATCCAAGCCCACCAATCTGCTCTAGACCCCAACCGCCCCGTCCCTCTGTGGCTGGACCACTTGATCGGCTTTGTGTGCATCATCTTCGGGTTGGTGGTTTGCAAGAGGGTCGGAACGTATATCATGAGTCCATGATCAAAGTCGCCTTCTTGACGTTTGTATCGTTTCCCGTTTTGTATCTGAATGTTCTTAGCATTGTTGTCACCATGTACATGATTTATACCCAAGACAGATCAACCCAACGACCTTTCACAGAAACCCAATTCCCAGATCCTCTGAAGTCTAATTCATTATCTATAGCTAATGGCTGAACACCACTTCATCCTGCGTGATTCTATTCGCCTTTGCCTCCGCCCTCCTAACCTTGGCTACTCTTCGCGTTTCCTTCTCGAGAGCCGCACTGAGGTACCAAGTGACCAGCAGTGCGAGGAATGAGAGGACGAGAAACACGATACAGACAACGTAAGGGATGGTGTATCGGGGAGCATATTTAGAGCGGAACACTTGTGGGCCTAGAACGGGAGTTAGCACAGTATCACTGGAGCTCTGACGGGGTGCATGCTTACCGATGATACCAGAGATCTGCGAAAGACCGTTCTGGAACGCGAATGCAAAAGCGGCGTTGGTCGACCCATTCAAAGACTGGGCTCGCCATGGCATCATGACAGCGCCGAAAGCACTAGCAGATGATCAGCTTCGGTCTTTGTGCTGTTCTGAACAGACTCACGATGATCCCACTGTGGCGATGATGGTAAGTGCGTACAGGGCAGGCTTTGTCACGAATCAGTGGACGGGAAAATATACCGTAGCAGAGTGGTCTGACCTTGTTCGTGACTGTGGCTAGAGCAATAAAGGCGCCGATAGTGACGACCTTGGAGACGACACCGTACCACTATTACCTCATCAGCACACACCTTATTACTGTCTGCAGTTGGGACTTACAGGTCGGGGAATATCGAATGTGCGGTCGATCATCCATGCGAAGAGAATAGTCGTGGCGATCCCCAAGACTGCGGGAGGGATGTTGACTGATATCATATGTTGGTGAGCTCTTCCTGGATTCATGAGGGAGATTCTTACGAAGCTGACTACTCTGGGTAGTGGTGAAACCAAAGCTCGCGATGATACTTGGCAACCAGAATGACCTTTCACCCAACGTTGTCAGTATTTTCTTCCATTCGATGGCTCCAGACTCACAAGCCATAAGCCCCCAGATTGGAGAACATTTGCATCAAAGTGAAACCGTAAAGCAACGGATCCTTCAGCGCATCCGATATACCTTTCTTGTCGAAAGCCTTGTCGGTGGCCCGGGCAGCGTTGGGAGGCAGGCGGGCGACGAGGAAGTGTCGTTCGTCAGGGGTGAGCCATTTGGCAGTATCGGGGACTGGGATCCATGTAAGTTTTGATTATAGCATGGGACAACCATCGCTTACAGTTGGGGAGGAAGAAATAGACAGGCAAGGCGAGGGCGGCGCCCATCAGTGCTTCGATGATGAACCTGAAACTGTTTAGCGCAGTTCCAATGCCTTCTGCTTGCTACTCACATCCATCTCCAGGCGCTGATACCTCCTCGTCCATCAATAAACTCTATTCCGTAGGCAAGCAGGGCCGCCAGGATACCAGAGAATTGGCCCAGTAGGCCCAGAATGGCCATACGAACGGCAAGCTGATCTCTCAGCGGAACTCATACGGGTAGAAGGTTGCTCACCTCATCCGGACGATACCAGCAGACAACATGGTACAGGATTCCAGGGTACAGCCCTGCCTCAAACAAACCAAGGAAGAATCTCGTCGTCAACAGACTCGCCCCATTCTGGGCGGCCGCATGACACCCCGCCGCGATTGACCATAGAACTACAATTCTCAACACATGTAGACGAGGGGTCTGCTTTTTGATCAAGAGGTTTGACGGGACCTCGGCGAGGATGAATGGAATGGTAAAGATGGTAGATGTCCAGGCGTAGTAGTCGGTGGTAATGTTGAGCTCTTTGAGAATGTTGGTGGATTTACCGGAGGATATGACTCTGGCATAGCTGATACTCTACGAAATTCATCAGTGCGAGTGCGATTCAACAAGTAAGCGAGGCACATTTCCATCCAAGTTCTTGAGCAAGTAGGCCAGGATCAGAAGAGGAAGTAAACGCCAATCAACCTAGGTGCCGGGGTAAGCTGCTGAGAGAGAGAAGGGCGGACGGTACGCACTCGGCGAAGCAGCTTTTGCTCTTGCTCATAAGTAAACTTTTCTTTAATAGCGGCATCGGCATCTTGCTGCGCGACTTCTTCGACTCCATCCTTGAGGTCTTGCGAGGTGGTCTCCCCGTCGAGCTCATCGGTAAGGTGAGGCGCCTTCTCATCTGCAAGGTAGACGACAGACATTGTGAGGAGAGGTTGTTGAGGCTAGGGTTCACACTTGCATGCAGGATATATCCAACTTTTTTCCACTTGGGAAGTTGGCGACCGAGGAGGCTTCCGTCAATGAAGGTGATGAAAGATGTGCTATTGAGTAAACATCAGCTGCCGAGGCACAACGTTCCCCGATAGACATACTTGTCGGAGTCCCATGAGGTATGCAGCTGTACTCCGCGCTCTGATGAGATTACCATTGCAGGAGCAGCCAGGTGCTCAGTCCAAGTCGCCGAGGATAGCAGCACGGATCAGGGACGGGGTCGGCTTCTTGTCTCATCTTTTGCATATGACCGTGCGAGAGTTATGGATGATGTGAGCAGATGAGCCAACATGACTCCATCCTGCTTCCGAGACGAGAAGCGTCATAGCACGCGACCGAGGCATCTTATCACCATCCTGTCGCAGGAGGGCATGTTCAGCCACCTGCACACTCAAGATGAGATGTTTATCCGACGCCATGGCGCAAGATGAGGTGAGCTGGTCGGAAATCGCCGGTCCTTCGGGTGACCGATCCTATTGCTCGACAAGTATCGCTGAAAAGTGGGCTTGGGACGAGAGGGAGACATTCTCTGCAAGCCTATCCACTGCTCAAATGACTTTCACCACCACCCAGCTTGCGCAACAAGAAGAGGATGCCGGCATCCTCAAGCTCCGTGGTTTCCATGACCCACACTCCGTCGAGGCTGCTCTGGAAGACTTGGAGACCAAAGGCGTATGTGACTCTCTTTCATAGCTATATACAAGCCCGCTGACCGACCGCTGTCACAGTGGGCTGTAGTAAAGAACGTGATCCCCCTGGAACGAGCCCAAGAGTACGAGCAGCGAGCCTACGCCTGGCTCGAAAGTTTCGGGAAAGGCTTCAAGAGAGATGACAAAGACACATGGAAGGTTGAAAACATGCCTGCATTTGACAGGTAGGTCTGACGACTCTACACAGAAGAAAGCTGATACTCTCCAGGGGAGGCATGTTTAAGCGCCATGGAGTCCATCACGAGCGTTTCGTCTGGGACATCAGGTCTGAACCTGGTATTGCCGCGGTGTTCGCCAAGCTATGGGAGACGGACGAGCTCCTCGTATCTTTCGGCAAGTCAACTTCAGCTATCGACGACTGAAATTGACGACCATGCAGATGGTATCAACATCTCACTCCCATACATTGATGACCAGCAGACCGACCGAGCCGCTCCATGGCCTCACGTCGACCAAAACCCAAGACGAAGGCACAAGCACTGTATCCAAGGCATCGCCAACATAGCTCCCAACGGGCCTCTGGACGGGGGGCTCAAAGTTCTCTCCCATTCTGTCCAGCACTTTCATGCCTTTTTTGATGCACACCCCGAGCTCGAGCCCGAAGGGGGCTGGCCCGCAGGCGACTTCTTCATGCACCGGGAGGAGGATGTGGGGTGGCTGAAGGATAGAGGATGTGAGTGGGTCAAAGTTGAGGCTGGACCCGGAGACTTGATATTGTGGGACAGCAGGACTGTGCATTATGGAGCCGTAGCGGAGGGTGATAGACCGAGAGTTGCCACCTGTAGGCTGTCCTGTGGTATATGATAGCAATTGCTGACCACGATCAAGACCTTTGCTACAAGCCCGCCAAAGACGGAAAGCCCGACAAGTTGGAGGCAAGAAAGCAGGCTTTTGCCGAGTGGGCAGGGACTGTATGTTGACGAGCTTACCCTTGTCCGTCGTCGCTGACATCTGGTCAGACTCATGATCCGCTAGCGTTTACCGTCAGAGGTACCAACACCTTGGGCCCACTTACTCGTGATGAAAAGCAGCTGCCTCATGAGATTCCTGTCCTGGACGAGAGAGCCAGAAAACTTGCCGGGCTGATTCCTTATTGAAGTAAAATGTGTCGAAACTGCTGGCTGTTTTCCTTTGTAGGTCGTACAGTCTGGCGTGGCCATTATGCATATGGATAGATACACATCTAGAGATTCCACCTCATCTAACTCTACTGAGCACCCCTCCTCCTCCACACACCGGGCTTGGCATCGTCCGCACCGTTGGCCGCGGGGGCCGGGGCAGGGGTAGGCGCAGAGGGCGAGGCACCCCCGGAAGCAGCAGCAGCAGCGGCCTGCGCCTTTCTCCTCTCGAGCCATGAGCCACCGGACGCGGGGGCCGGGGCAGGAGACGATGAAGGAGCGGGAGCAGCAGGGACAGCAGCGGGAGGAGGAGAAGGAGCAGAGCCACCACCGGCGGCAGCCATGGCCTTCCTCCTCTCCAACCATGAACCACCGCCCGCAGCGGGAGCGGGGGAGGCAGAAGGAGAAGCGCCGGCACCAGGGGGTCGGTAAGAAGCCCGGGCAGGGGGAGCGGCAGCAGCCTCCTGTCGACGACGGAACGATTCTTCCTCACGTTCCAATTGCTTGCGCCTAATCTCCTCATCCTTCTGACGTTGCTCCTCACGCTCGGCCTTGCGCTTCTCGGCGGCGACAGCAGCCTCGGCAGCAGCGTTCTCACGCTCGGCGGCCTTGCGGGCTTCCTCTTCAGCACGCTGGGCAGCTGCGGCTGTAGATTGTGTCAGCGTTACCCTAAAAAGAATGTAACTAACGTACCTTGCTCAGCCTGCTCCCTCTCCTCCTCTTCCCTGGCTTCCTGCTCTCTCCTGGCCTTCTCCTCCCTCTTCCTCTGGATGATCTGCTCTCGGACACGAGCCTTGTCGGCCTCAACCTTCTTCTTTGCCTCCTCCTTGGCAACCCTGAGCTCGTCCTCCATCTGGCTCTCCACGACAGCCTTGAGCTGGTTGTAGTCGTCCAACATCCTGCCGAGCCTCTGCTTGAGCTCCTTGGCAGCTTTTTGTTGCTCGATAGCCTGCTCCCTGAGAAGCTTGTTGGCCTGCTCGTGGACCGCACGGTCCTCGGCCTTCTGGCGCTCATAGTCGTCAGTGAGCAAAGGAATCTCTTCCTTCCTCATAGCCCTCTCCAAATGGTCAACTCTCTTGCCAACGATCCTGAGCCTCTCGGTGAAGCCCTTCTTCTCCTTGGCGAGCTGCTCGACCTGCATGGCCACAAGCTTGCTAGAGTCGAGGTTTTCGATGCTAGAGATGTCGACCTTGAGAGCACCTTGGGCAGCAAGGGAAGCAGCGAGCTGCTTGGCCTCGGCCTCCTTGGTCTGGTTGATCTGCTTGCGCACACGGTCAATCTCGGCCTGCTTGGCCTCCTCCTTGATCCTTCGAGCGTCGTCCTCAGCCTTGGCCTTGAGGCGCTCCGCGAGAGCGGTAGACTCGGCAGTCTCACGACGAAGACGTGCTTCCTCGAGGAGCTCACGTCGGCGGATGACAATCTGCCTCTTGTGGCTGGCGAGCTTGCGCTCCTCCTCGGCAGAGGCGATCGCAGCAGCGAACGCGTCGGAACGGGAGGTGGTGGGCACAGGGTTGAGGTAGTTGACAGTGTTGTACAAGCACACGGCAAGGCTCTGGAGGTGGGTAGGGTCGGCGGGGGCAGACGCGAAAGTGATGGTCTTGGAGACGTGGTCGACAGACGCGCGAATGTCACCTCGTCGACAGGCAGAGACCAAAAACTTTTCGAGGGAAGGCATGTCGGTAGCCCAAGGGGTGTTGTCGAGAGGCTTGACAAGGTCGAGGATGTGGCTCAAGGTGACAGCGTCGTAGACCTGGGCGAGAGCCTGGAGCAATCGAGAAAGGACGACGTCACGAAGGGCGGGGAGGTAGGGCTGGTACGCGGGGGCGAGGCTGGTGATGAGGGGAGCGAGGACCTTGGCAGCAGTCGTAGGCTCAAAGTCGGCCTCGAGAATGTTGTAGATCTGCCTAATGTCGACAGGGACTCGCTTCAAGTGCTTGCCGGCGGCGTCCTGGACGAGGGTCTCGCGAGTGGGCATCTTGGGGAGGTTCAGAAGAGCGACAAGCCTCTGCTTGACCTCGACCTCACCAAGAGGGACGGCGAGGGCAGAAAGCAAGACACATCCAGAAGCCTTGTCGCTGACAATGCCAGCTCGCTCGGCCTGCTGGAAGTACCTGGCCCAGGCAGCAGCGTGGAACACGGCAGTCTGCTTGCCGCCCTCAGCCTTGAAGATCTGAGTCAACTTTTCGTAATAGTTGGCCATCATGGAAGCCTTGGTACCCTTTCTGCCAGCGATAAGACCGTGAATGTCTTCGACAGATCGGAAAGCCTCTTGCCAGAGCTCGAGCTCGACAGCCGTCTGGAGTTGGAGGAACCTGGTCTCGAGGAATCGGTTGAGAGTCTCGGGGTCAGAGAGGTTGATGGCGTGGGGCTGGTGAGAGTACTTGGCAGCGTTGGCGAGATCCTTCCTGAGCCTCTGCTCACAGAGACGACGGAAGTCGGTCTTTCGCTCGTGGACCTTGCAGAACTTGAATGCTCGGTGGGCGATGGACTGGTAGATGATTTCGAGCCTGTCGTTGCTCTTGGCAATGTCGAGACAAATGTCATAGGCATCCCAGCAGTACTTTTGGGCGGGGGCGATCAATCGTCGCTCGATCCGCTCGCGGTCGCCGGCGCTGTCGACAAAGGTGTCGAGCATGAGGGAGGCGGGCTGGAGGGGGAGGTCATCGTCAACGACGGGAACGTCGGGGAGGGCAGCGACTTCCTTCTTGGCCTGCTCGACGGCATCGGCGAGACGGGTCTCGGCCTGGGCGATAAAGTGGTTCAAGACGCGCTCGATGGCGGCAATGTTGGTGGTCTGGGCAGCCGACTTGAAGACGAGGAGCCCAGACTTGGCGTGGGCCTTTCGGTTGAGGAGGACACAGAGGTCGATGAATTTTGTGACGATGGGCTCGAGGACGTTGATGGGGGTCTGCTTGAATCGTTTACTGGGGGATTGTCAGGTGTGTCGAGTGCACGGCTGTGGATACGCACGACTGGAAGACCTCGATCAAGTTTTCGAAAGCCTGCTGCTGGGACTGGGGAGTGCCAAGGGCGAGAAGCTCCTCGGAGCGCTGTGGGGGTCAGCGGTGGCAGGGTCCGCTTCCCGGGACTGGACTGACCTTGAGGGCGTTCTCTGGCTTGACGTAGATGGGGGGCATGCCGTGTTTCGCTCGAGTGCTCAGTTGTAATGAATGTACTAATGTATCGACTAATGTATCCAGTAATGCATAACCCCGTAAACCCGCACTGTGGCGTCCGCCTGTCCGTGTCCCGCTCCCGCAGCGGGGACCGCCGTCGCCCCCGGACCTGGGTCGAGGACATGGCCATGACGCACTGTCTCCTTCGCATCCATCACCATGGCTTCATCCCTCCAGCACCTGTAAGTCCCCCGCCCCCCCACTGCGCCGCTGACCATCCACAGCGGCCGAGGAGGTACGCCCAGCCCCAGCATCCCAGCCCTCCACTCACAGTCACGCAGGTCTCCGAGTCATCAAGAACTACACCAAAGGCTACACAGACACCCAGACAAAGGTCAGGGATGCCACCTCCAACGACCCATGGGGTCCCTCGGGCACAGAGATGAACGCCATCTGCCAGCTGACCTACAACCAGTGCGTTCCGCCATCAGGGGGTCGGTGCGGAACACTCATACTTACTTGTTCTAGGAACGACTTTGTCGAGATTATGGAGATGCTGGACAAGCGACTCAACGACAAGGGCAAGAACTGGCGCCACGTATTCAAAGCGCTCACTCTTCTCGACTACTGTCTCCATGGCGGCTCTGAGAACGTAGTCATCTACTTTAAAGACAACCTATACCTCGTCAAAACGCTCAAAGAGTTTGTCTATGTGGACGAGGATGGAAAGGATGTCGGGACAAACGTAAGGCAAAAGGCCAAGGACATTACCAACCTGCTTCAAGACGACGCGCGCCTGAGGGAAGAGAGGCGTTCCAGGGGCGCGATGCGGGACAGGATGCTGAACAATATCGAGGCGTCTGGGCTGCGTGGCGAGCGCGATAGCGGTGCACCCCGTAGTTCTGCCCCACCAGACTCGCCTCCTCCCCGGCAGCGTCCAGGCAGGAGCAGGAACGAGGACGACGAGCTGGAGAGGGCGATCGCAGAGTCGAAGCGAATGTCGGAAGATGAGGCAAAGAGGAGGAGCATGCAGACACAGGAAGAGGACGAGCTTAGAAGGGCAATCCGCGAGTCGGAAGAAGAGGAGGCGAGGAGAAAGAGAGAGCAGGAAGAATCAACAAAGAGCGCCTTGTTTGACGACAACCTCAACTTGTCAGTGCATATTGTGCATGTCGAGCTATATTGACGTCTCGCAGGCAAGGGCAGAATGCGTATACCCAGCAACAGCCCGATTTGTTTGCCCAGCAAACTCAGCAGATGCCAATGCAGCCCACTGGCGGCTGGCCGCTTGTAGATGCTGGATGGGGCCAGCAGCAGCAACTCCAGCCTCAATACACTTCCTACAATGTACGTCCTCGATTCAGCTTGCCGACACCAAGCTCATTCGATCCTCAGCCCTTCTTTGCCATGCAGCAGCAACAGCAGCAGCAAGAAGAGTATATGCGCCAGCAGATGGCATTGCAAGAGCAGCAACGCCAGCAACAAGAATGGGCTCAGCAGCAACAGTACCTCCAAGCCCAAAACACCTCCCTCTTTGCCCAGCCTACCGGCTACGGCTCCAACAATCCCTTTGCTCCCGGCGGTGGCCAATCCCAACCCCCAGTGCCTTCCCCCCAGCCCCAACAGCAATCTTCCTTCCTCCCTGTGCCCAGCGTCACTCAGCAGCAGCCTCAGCAATCTTTCAGCCCTCAGCCTCAAGAGCCCCCCAAGCAGCTTGAGCCGCAGGCGACCGCGACGCCGAGCGGGTGGAACGGGACGCTCAAGACGAACGATGCGCAGCATGGAGGCTTGGCGAGTCTGTTGGCGAGGGGTAGAGAAGATGGATTGGATACGTTTGGTAACCAGGGCAATCTCCGTAAGTTATCCTCAAAGAGTTGTAGAAGGGCCGGCTGACCAAGTCAACAGGTATCCCGGTGGGATCCGGGTTCCACGACTCCAACAGGGTGGCGGCGCAGCAGACAGGTGCGGCTGGGCTCGGTGCAAACAACCCTTTCGGTCAGAGGATGCAGCAGCAGGGCCAGCAGAATGGGCAGACCGACCAGCCGTTCTTCTCCATCTAGGTAGTTCATATGTGTTTTCGTGTGGGCCGCGTATGATGATATAGTATGCACATGCTAGATATACGCGGACCATTGAGGGATAGTCCATCTTTACATAAAGACTTTAAAGGGGGCATGAATTCCAGCGATGAAACCGAGTTACTTCGGCGGCCGGATTTGCCACCTCTGGACGCAGTCCTGGACGTCATTGAGATGTTTCATCCTCCTGTGTTGTTTGTCTTTGCATCTCTACAATCTTTACAATGGCACCCACCAACCCCTTCCACGACTCGCAAACCACGGCCACTGCCAACAATGCGCACCCCTCTGATGGCCTGCCAGAGGACCAGATCCCTTCAGAGCCTCCTCCAGCGTACACTCCCTCTGCAACCACGGGCACCGGCGAATCCACCGTCCAAGCAGGGCCGCTCAGGCCTGATTGCTCAGGCCCCCCACCTATGCCTGACTGGGTCGAGCGGCAGCAACAGCAGCAGCAGCAGCAATATACGGGAGGAAGCGGTGTGGGCGTTAATTTGACTGGAGTTGGGATGGGGTATGGACATGGTGGGCAGGGTCATAGCCAGGGGCAATACGCCAATGGGAACAGCTCGAGTGACGAGACAAAATTTCCCCCGCCCCCTCGCCATCCCTCTGCGACTTCCTCGTCGGCACGACCGCCCCCGCCTTTGCCAAGCAGAGACTCTACGACACAGCCTTCATCGTCTCAAAGCGCGGCGCCAACAGAGGCGCCGACTCCAGGCCGGCCGCTACTGCACCGAGGCCAGATGTTGGTCTACCCCGGAGGTTTCTGGTGCAGCAAGTGTAACAATACGGGCTATAAAGCCAACGATCCCTCAAATCCTCATGAGAGAGTGGGTGCATGCCAGGTACGACACTAGGATGTTACTGACGCCAAGGCAATAGGATTGGAAAAAGTATGGCAGGGTGTACAACTCTGCCCTCGCTCATTCTTACACTCAGGCCCTCTCTGCCGGCCTGCACATGTCCGACAACTTTCAAAAGCCTTTGCCTTCCTATGCCCCCGCTGGGCATGCCCCGGCTTCGGCCCCATATTCGGGTCCGACCTCGGGGCAGTACAGTCACCTGCCCCCAGCCCCTGGCAGTAGCGGCAAGTGGAGTACATACCCAGGCCAAGGCCAAGATCCGGGGCAGAGCTATGGCCACTTGCCTCCACCCCCTCAACCTCAACGTCAACAGCAACTACAATACCCAGCGCCAGGGCAACAGATCTTTGTGCAGAGAACGGCGGGGATGGCGCCTCCGGGAGCGCTGGTAGTAGCGCCAGGGGATCCTAGGATCGGTGGGAGGTGAGTCCATTGAGAGTCTTATAATGACGGGGGCTGATGAGCCACAGACTGTGTTGGAGATGTAATGGTTCCGGGACAGAGATCATGTTCTTTGGCTTTGACGAGGGGAGATGCTCAACTTGTTCAGGTCTAGGGCGGTTATTCTGAGTAGCGAGGGACGTCCTTCGAGAGACCTGCAACTGTACCTAACATAGAATATACACCAAGAGAGGGCAGTAGGTAATAGGTTGATGATGACGACGAAGAGGATCTTGATTGATGCATGTGCATGCTATATCTTGCGGCTCGTCTAACTCGTGGAGGGAATGGTCCAATTGTATACCCTGTCAGATCGCTGGCGAGCAGATATTGGAGTAAGTGGTCAATTGGGAGGTCAAGAATCAGCAGCAATCATGATGCTATCGACCATGACGATCAAGGCACTGCGGGTATGACCGCGGGAATCGATAGATTTCGATAGGAGGCTGTCTATCCATCTCTACCTCAATTGATGCTGCCGAGACGACTGGCCATGGCAGCGACCAAGTTGAAACCCCTGCCGCCCGTCTCCGTCCAATTCGTGCGTACTTTGGGCATCTGCAGTCAGCCGCTGACAGACGTCACAGCTTGGAACCAGCAGCGGCGGAGGCCCCATCCAGAGCCGCAATTGCTCCTCTTTGGCCGTGGATTTTGGCAACGAAATTTGGAGTGAGATATCTTTGCAAGCACACAAGCCAGAATGCTCATCGCAAAATATAGTATTTGACACGGCAGACGGTACACTTGGCCGGCTACATCAATCGTCACTCAAAGTCGCCAATATCAGCCGCATCTTTATTACCCATCTACATCTGGACCATGTACTCGGTCTGGTACCCGTACTCACGACTGTCATGAGCGGTGTCGGCACAACAGAGGCGGAGACCCAGCGCGTCAAGGACCAGGGATTGAAGAAGAAGGCAAATTTCAACATTTACGGCCCGACGGGTCTTCGCAAGATGGTTCGAAGTCTATTGCAGACTGTCCATGCGAATCTCTCTGGCGTCTTTGCCGTACATGAAATTCTGCATGAAGGAGAAGAGCCTTCTGCCGCGTGTGGCGTGGAGGACATACACACGAACGAGGCGGTAGGCTCAGACTTTCGAACGGATAGCGACGGTGTCTGGAGAGATGTGCTGCAAGAGGGCAATGGAAAGGGCGGCAAGGGGTGGAAGGTGGAGGCTGGACCTATACATCACAGAAGTAAGCGATCTATGATTCAAACGACCCCATCTGACAACCCTATAGTCCCATGCTTGGGCTACGTCCTGCAAGAGCCTACGCCCCGGTTATCACTCGACACCCAAACCCTGATACCCCTCCTACAATCCAACGCTGCTGCTCTCGCCGAGCGGGACCCTCCAGTAAAACACCCCTTGTCTCTTCTATCGCACCTCACCTCTTTACCATCGCCCCCACCCTACCAACTCCCCTCGGGTGAAACCATATCCCCGCCAGAACCTTCGGGGGTTCCTCCGCGCAAAATTGTCATTTTCGGCGACTGCAATGGCGGCACACCAAACGACACGTTCAGGAGTATGTGCTCTGATGCTAGTCTACTGGTACATGAGTGTACCAATGCTGCCATCCCTCAGGCCATACAAAAAGGAGAGAAGGGCCAAAAAGTGAGGCAGCGAGATTTGGAATCCAGCCTTGTCGTTTCTCGCGGCGGAGTGACGGCTGGCGCGGGAAAATCCCCATCGGTCACTCACCCACGCCCCTCGCGGTGGGCAGGGGAAGACAGCAACGAGGATACCTTTCAAAACGACGAAGAAGTTTTCGCCGATGAATCGAGGGCGCGCGAAGTGATCCGGAAGGCCCAGAGCAGGGGTCACTCGACTCCTAATGAGGTTGGGATGTTTGCGAGAGATATCAAAGCGAGAAGAGTTGCTGTCAACCATTTCTCTGCCATGTGAGTATGCCTCCATCGGATCATTCCTTGCTGACTCCTACAGGTTCCCGTCCCCCCGCTACAGTACTTCACATCCCTTTCCACCCATTCTCTCCCCCATCAACTCCTTCCCCTACCCTTCCCCCACACCTTTGCCACATACCAGCGACCCTCCGATTCCCCCGATTCCCCTCTCCTCCAAACACTCGAGCGAACTGCATGCTCGTCTGATCATGCAATCTATCGCAGATCAAATATCGAAACACTGCGTATCACCGTCCGTCATGCTCGAGGGTCAAGAACCCGCAGATATTTGCAAGACGGGAATGGTGGTACCGAGCAGGGATTTCATGTATCTGCCAGTGTACTCGCATGAGCTCACGGATGCCGAGGTGGCAGATGTGAAGGCTCACAAGGAGGTAACCGACAAGGTCACCCGAGAGTGGAAAGTGAACGGGGGTGTGCGGTTGGACAGGGGTGAAGCGGCGGACTGGGTAGGAGTTGGAAACGAGAATGATGTCAAAGACGCGAGGTGGAAATTTGTGGAAGAAGAGGGATCTTGGGCTGCTGTAGAAATAGAATAGGCATCTTTATCATTGCATGTATCGTTAGTAGACGTTATCTGACACGGGATCGATACAAAATGACGCGCTTCTATAACATCACATATCATTGACTGTCCAGCTCCTGCTTGGTCCACATGGGTGCTGTGGCAAGGCTCCACAATATAGACTCGGGCTGTCGATTAGTCAGCTCCTGTCCAAACTCTTCAAACTCGGACTCACAGTATCCAGCATACTCTCTCTTCCCTTCCTGAGCTTCTTCAGCCCCTCACCTTGGGCGCTCATACTCTTCGTCATCCTTGTCCCCCTTCCTTTGACCAACTTTCCCATACCTGGAATGTCCAGATTTAACGGCGCCGTGCCCATTTGCCGCATAGCCGTGGGCGAAAGGGGTGCTGAAGTGGTTTGTGGATGATTCGACGTGTCGGAGAAAGCTCTACCGTGACGCCCAGCAGCACCAAGTGGCGAATGAGGTTGTAATAGATAGGGCGCAGATGCACTATGGAAGGAAGGTGAAGCCATATCATACGGCCCTGCGTTATCCCCGCTTTCAATCCTTGATGTGACTGGCCAGTCGGGCGCCGAAGACGACCGCATATGAGCGGTAGGGGGGAGAATGAGGATGGTATGGTCGTCTTGGCTCGCCATGTAGCCGTCCGTCAACGTGGGAGAAGGAGCCGAGTCTAAATCATGGCTGGAAGCCCCGTCATCTACCATGTCCTCAATCTCAATCTTCAAACTCCCTTGCCAGCCAATTCTGTCATCCGGCTGCTCCATATCGTCCGCAGCAGTCGACAAGATACGGATACGGTCCGGTGGGACAGGGAACGTCATGCGGTTCAAAGAGATCATGGTCGCTTGAGAGGTACGTCGAGACTCGTTGCCACCGTATTTCCTGGATGAAGGGGTGACGGGCTCGAGCGACTGGTAGTAGACATCATTGAGAAAGCTTTTTGACGTCGATGTATGCGTAGGCGTAGGAGTTGCCGCGCTCTCAGAGCTAGACGAACCAGACGCAGGCGGAAGGTGGCTGCCACCGGGCTCCAACCCGTATGCCTGTCTCTTCACCTCATCCAGCTTGACTCTCAGCGCGCCAACAACATGCTCTTGTCCCTGTATCTCTATCTGCTTGATCTGGTCGTTGCAAATGAAAATCTGCCTCGCCACCCTATCGCACCGAGCGGTCACTTTACGAAGAGCTTGCACCATCTTGTGAAGCTTGGTCTGCTCAACCTTGAGAACTGAGTTCTCGATCTGCTGCTGGAGGGACCCGCGATGGTAGACAAGTGTGTCATACTTTTCGCGTAACCTCTCGAGCTCTGCTCGTAGACGGCCTTCCTCTGAAGCACAGTTCTTCAGTATAGCAGGCGGGAGGAGATGGGGAGAAGAAGTGTCGAGTTGATTGACCGTGTAGTTGACCAGGGAACTGATGTTGGTGAGGCCCAAGTCGGCAGTGATGGTGGGCAGGTCGACCGTCGACCAAGGAAGAGGAAGGTTGAGGAACGGTGATGGTGAAGGGGGTCGTGAGTGGGGAGCATCCCCATCGGTAGTGAGAGCGGAAGCAGGAGTCGAGACCGACTTGTCTATGGTCTCGTCTCTACCTGTAGTCTTCTTTGGCGACAGCCCGCCACTCTTGCTCGGTGACAGTCGATGCAAGGCTGACGAACTTGGTGTCAAGCTCCCTCCTAAATCTCTCTGCAACCGGCCGATGCTCATAAACTCCATGGCATCCCCTGTAGACTTGGACCGTCTTCTCTCGAGAAGTCTGAGAGGCTTGAGCTGAGGCTCGACAAGGTCGAAAGACTTTTGCCACACGGGCGGAGTACCGCTGTCCTCCGTGTTCTGGGACGGCTCGGGGTCCCGAGCGCTGAGCATCGTCCCCAAAGTGGATGAAGCTTTCGCGGGAGACATGAGAGGCGGGGCGAGGGCAGAAGTACCGATGTTGGTAATACGTGATGGCTTGGAAGAAGGTAGCAAGGCAGCAATAGAAGAATCAACGCCCTTTCCCTTCCCTGCTGGTGACGAGGGCTCTGGCGTGAGGTTGCTCGTCCTAAGCTTTAGCGCCGTCGGCCGGCGTTTACCCTCTGTTGACTTGAGACCATCTTTGGAGGTTCGAGGAGGCTCTGCATTGATCTCGACGACAGGACCGTCATACGCGTCGAGCTGGGTAGGTCGTGAGGTGGAGATGGAGGTGGAAGTACGGCGGCCACTGAGCACCCGCGGAAGACGACCATTACCACTCGAAGTGGATGAGGCATTCGAGAGGTTTGAAGAGACATCGCTCGACCCGCTTGGGTCCCGCATATTCCGAGAATTGGCCATGCGACCACCGCCTCTAGAGGGACTTTTGAATGAACCGCGCTACGCCAATCATCAGCATGTGACACTCCAGAGAAAGTAGCTCGACTTACACGTGAAATGGTGGCCGACGCGCCTCTGGACTCGAATATTGTAGAGATGCGTTTCTGAGGCGACGCTTCTGGCGTGGGAGGGAGTGCATCGCTGGGTGGAGGTAGTGGTGCCTGCGAGGCACTAGTGGGCGTTGCCAGGAGAGCTTTCGGGGCTCGGGAGATGGACTTGGTAGGTGTTGTGAGGGATGAGGATGAGTTACTGCCTCGAAGAAAGGGAGGACGGGTTGCCGAGGGTGACGATGTAGAGGACCATGTGCCGCTCCTCATCTTTGTGTTTACGCGAGAACTGGCGCTGGGGGTGCGGTTGAACGAACTGGGCCCGCTGTCTGCTCTTGCGCCTGTAGGCGTCGGCATGCCCTTCCCAGGGCGTACGGGAGTGGTCCTGCCACCGGGCGATGGGATGCCCGCAGTACTGACGGTGCTGGAGGAGGCGGACGGCATGTAGGGCATGGGGAGAGGAGGAAGCGAGCGCTCAGCGCTGACGGGGGTGGAGGGATAGGCAGCGGTGTCGGCGAACGCATGGGACTGGGATTTGGATTTGGTGGCCTTGAAGACTCCAAAGATGGCCATGGCGGGGTGAATAGAGGGGAATCTCTGAGGACTGATGGTACGTCTGCATGGCCTGCATACTTATATCGGTTGGAGAAGAGCGTACCTCGGTATACAAAGACAGACGTGAACTGGGCGACGGTCGGACAGATGGTGCAATCGTCGTTCCTCGCGTTCCTTGATGCAGCGGATGTTCTGCTGGGGACCACAGTCAGTGCACCCCCACCCAGGGGCAGCGCGGTAGGTGTTTGGCTTACGACATCCACCATGTATGGCACATGGCAACTGTGGGCAGTGTGACTGTCTGCCTAGTCTGGGGTGCAGTCTTGGGAGGTCTTGGTGACTCTCTAGCTCCTTTCAGAGCTGAAACGAACTCGACATCATATGGGTCGCACTGTATCTCTGATCGTTATACCCAGATCACGCCAGGAATACCAACAAGACGGCTGTGAGCGGAAGAGGAAGCCGAATCACCATCGACCGTCTCCCTGAATGACAAGACATGTCATCTCCTCGTCTATCCAGCTTGGCCATCTCCCCTCCCTTGGGTGTTATGTAGTGGCTTGTGGATTCCGTGTGCCGTATGCCCTGGACCATCAGGGAACAGTCAATTGTTGCCTGATTTTGAGCACCTCGGTTGCCGAGTAGGGGCCATCATGGTCGAGATCTGCAGATAAGGAGACAGGGCCGGACTGGTGGCCATGTAATGGCCGGTCGTCTTGGATACTGCGGATTGGAATCGTGTCACACAGCAGAATGCAGATGGTTAAAAATAAGCGAGAGCTTTTTTGTGGTGTACATACATTTGAGATGGTACTCTACCGTAGTCACCTAGGTCGTCGCGAACACATTGAAGGACAGTGTCGGGGATCCAGAGGTTCTGATGCGGAGATAAGGTCAAGGAGATCAAAGAAACAAACTATGTAGCGGATGAAGGAGATTGACAGAAAAGCAAAAAGATAAGGAGGAACCCTGACATCAGAAGGCGATAGTGTGAGGCCAGCGACATCGTGCGTTACATTCAGCAAGCTGAAGAGGCAACGCGGGCGCAGAAAAACTTCGCGAGAAGAAAACCCCGTAGGGTTGTAACGCTTCTCACAGCGTTAAGAACAGATACTACACATGATCTTAGCCAAAAGAGGCAAGAGAGGATAAAATCTATGACACCCACGAGCGGGGGCTGTTTCCACTTTGGCGGATGTTGCAGTTTGATCCCGCTGCTGGGTCATGTCGGCGGCCGGCCCCAGACGCGCGCTTAGCTGCATCGATGTCTGCTGAGTTGCTGCTGAGGTCTAAGTTCCTTGTACTTGCACAAAGACACTGGACACATCGCAGCAAGGGGCACAGCGTCCTGCCCGAGTACTCCTAGCTCCTCCCCGCCCCGCCCGATCGACAGAAGAGAACAATAATGGCGGTGAAGTGCAGCAAAGGATTCAGTTACAAGGGTCCTTTCAGAAAGAGGCCTGACCAGGACTGCTGTGCCGTCGCTGTCGCCGCGCGATCGCCATTGCAACACATTTTCCTGCCGTCTCAATTTGACACTTGAATCAATCTTCGTTTCTCTGTACATCCACAAACTCCTCGGGCACTACCATGGCCCACTTCAATCCATTCGAGGATCCCCAGCGAAACCGCGCCCAGTATAACCCATCCCCTGTGCCGACCTCATCGCTATACCCTGCTCAGCCGCAACCTCGATACCCGCCTCAGCCTGCTGCCTACCCTTCTTACCAGCTGCGCGACAACGGAGATGTGGGATACGGCCCTGGACGACGCTCCCCGGCGTGGGTAGCAGGTGAAGAGGAGGATGAGGAACTCAAGCCTCTGACTGCTGTTGGGTGCGTCAAGCAGAGCTATCCTTGAAGACAATTCTGACCATAGCTGTAGCGCAAACTCCTCCTCTACATTCCTGAACAGCGACCCATACCTCAGCGGCGGCCCTGAGCTACCCATCGCTCGGCCCAACTCCGCTCGACCTTCGTTTCACAGCGTCGCGTCCGAGTTTATCAGGCGTCAGACGGCGCCCAAGCGAGGAGCGACTATAAAGAAGGTCAAGCTGACAAATGGCCATTACATCAGGAGGTATGTAGAGCATGCGAATGAAGAGTGGTCTGACTGGTTGCCAGTTATCCCGTCCCCGGTCCTATCTCGAGTGCTGTTGAAGCCAAATGGCTTGGTGGTAAGTATAAGCGTATTTCCGGTAGCACGCACTGATGACTTGAAAGACAAATCTTCCAACGAGTTTACGCATATGCGATACACGGCTGCCACTTGCGATCCCGACGACTTTACGCCCGAGAACGGATGGAAGCTCAAGACCGCGGGTTACAATCGAGAGACAGAGCTGCTTATTGCCATCACAAGTTGCAAGTTTGGCCTCAATCGATGCCGCATCCTAATGCTGACCATTTACAGACAATGAAGACAAGATTCTCTATGCCCGCACTCTGCACAACGTTATGCTCAACATTCGCGATATCTGCAACACCAACGCGTTCGTCGGAATTCATATGCTCAAACTCGTCTCTAACCTCGCAATAGTTCCAAATTTTGGAAACGCTCCGCCGAAGATGGTCAACCCGGATGGCAGAAGATTGTGGTGGCGCTCGTCGCTGATGGACTGGGTCCAATGGACAAGCAGGTCTTGGATGTTCTGCAGACTATCGGGGTGTTCCAGGATGGTGTCTTGAAAAAGGAAGTGGATGGAAAGAAGACTGTTGCACATATCTTTGAGGTGTGTATGGTATCCTTCCGCTTGAAATTAAACTAATGTGATGCAGTACACTACCCAGCTTTCGATCGATGCCACGCCTCAGCTTATGCTTCCTCATCCCGGTGATGAAAAAAATCTTGTTGGTAGTAATGACTTGGTTGAACTCTTGCTGAGACTCTTCTAGGTACCGGTGCAAATCATCTTTGTTCTGAAGCAGGACAACGCCAAGAAGATCAACTCGCACCGATGGCTGTTCAACGCTATCGGGAAGCAACTCAACCCCGAAATCTGCGTTCTTCTCGACGCGGGAACCAAACCTGGACACAAAGCCATATATCACCGTGGGTTTTTGTCTACACTATACCAGCAGCTCGAGCTGATCAATAGCATAGTGTGGGAAGCATTCTACAACAATCCCAATCTTGGCGGAGCTTGTGGCGAAATTCACGCGATGATCAAAAAAGGGGTCAAATTGTTCAACCCCCTCGTGGCTGCTCAGAATTTTGAGTACAAGATGTCCAACATTCTTGACAAGCCACTAGAATCAAGTTTAGGGTATGTTTCAGTCTTGCCCGGAGCTTTTAGTGCGTACAGATATCGGGCTATCCAAGGTCGTCCATTGGGCCAGTATTTCCATGGTGATGCCACTTGTCAGTTTGATTTTTTTTCCTTTTTTTTTTCTCCTTTTTGGCAAATATCTAATAGTCTTTTACAGTGGCTGGTAGGCTTGGAAAGAAGGGTGTCGAGGGTATGAGCATCTTTACCAAAGTAAGCTGACCTGGCCTGCCCACAACCTGTTGCTGACGAGAATGCTAGAACATGTTGGTCATCAAGAGATTGCCAAAATCAAATGCATATACTAATCGTCTACCCCTTCAGGTTCTTGGCCGAAGATCGTATCCTATGCTTCGAACTCGTCGCCAAAGCACACGAGAAATGGGTTCTCCAATACGTCAAGCCGAGCAAGGCTGAGACCGACGTGCCTGAGCAAGCCGCAGAGCTTATCAGTCAACGTCGACGATGGCTCAATGGTTCTTTTGCGGCCTCTGTTGTGCGTTGACCAGAAATGGAGCGCTTATATGGGCTCACTGGCGCCATAGTATTCGGTCGCTCATTTCTTCCGGCTCTATCGAAGTAGCCACAATCCGATCCGGATGTTCTTCTTTCATTTACAGGCTTTGGTGCGTTCATTGGCAATCGAGTGAACTCTGCTGACTGGTGGCCATTTCAGTACAACCTGTAGATCAATGTCTGGTATATATATAGAGTTGGAGTCAGCTAATTCTGTCGTAGTTGCAGTCTGGTCTTTTCTTGGTTTGCTCTCGCCAACCTATGGCTCACATTCTCTATCGTCATCCAACTGCTTCCTCAAAGCTCCCACATATATTTATTTGGTACTGAAGAGGTCGTGAGTACTATTTCCATCCACTCAGATGTCGCTGATCTCAACCCCTCAGACACACTGGGTCAATTTGGTCTTTCAGTGGATTTACATGGCATTCTTGATTTTGCAATTCATCTTGGCTCTTGGAAACAGGCCAAAGGGAGAAAAAGGGCTGTATATACTGACTTTCTGGTGAGCCGTGACTCTCTAGAAACACCATCTATGTGCTCATACCTAACAGCGTATACGCCTTCCTTTCTCTCTATCTAATCGTTTGCTCAGTCATCCTATCTGTAAAGGCCTTTCAGGTGCGTATCGTGGCCATTGATATACGCCAGCTTACATTGCTTCAGGGTGCATTAGGGCTGGATAGCGGTATAGAAGACAAACTGAAGAGCCTCTTCAATTCTACAAACGGTGTGATGGTAGCCGCGCTCATGTCTACTATCGGTGTCTACCTGATCGCCTCCTTCCTCTACGTGAGTATTCTCACACTCCACGGTGCCGTAGCTGACTGTAAGATCAGCGAGACCCATGGCACATGTTCAGCTCCTTCCCTCAGTACATGGTGAGACTGACCACGAATCTACTCGCCTGATGCTTACGCGACCAGCTCTTGGCCCCGTCCTTCACTAACGTCTTAAATGTCTATGCGTTCTCCAATTTACACGACATAAGCTGGGGGACTAAGGGCTCGGACAAGGCAGAGGCGCTGCCCGCTGTGTCGTCGATGAAGAAGGATGGCGAGGCACCTGTGGTCGAAGATACCCAACGGGTGAGTGATCACGTCATCCGACTGTGAATGAGTAGCGCTAACGGGAGCAGAGCCAAGAAGAGCTGGACGAGTCGTTCAAGGAAGTCGTACAGAGGGCGGTCAAGCCTTTCAAGGTAGATGAAGAGGTCGAGAAGCCCAGTGCAGATGTGAGTACGGATATTGGCGGTTCGATTTGTAACTGACTGACAATCGCTAGGACGAAAACCGAACCTTCCGAACCCGACTCGTTGGTATCTGGCTTCTGTCTAACGCGGCCTTGGCCATCTCCATTCAGACTTTAAACGGAATCGACAATACCCAAACTTCGGTCGAGGCCTGTCTTCCCGACGATTACAACCCCAATAACGGATCTATCGTTGTTTCAATGAACGGCACTTGTATCGAGAATGCTTTGAAGCTGGACAATGCAGAACTGCAGGACAAGCAGCAGATCTACTTTAGGATCTTGCTTTGGGTCACCTTTGGGCTGTCCATGGTGCGATTCATCGGGGTACGTCCATCCTTTGCTTTGTCGAGGGTATCAAGCTCACAGGCTCTAGTGTGTGTGGTACTGGCTTGTGAGACAACTGGGCAGATGCTGCAGGAAGAACTAGCGGCTGTATGATAACGACGGACAATACGCCTTGCCTCCATACCCTCCTGTGTACTATTTCGCGACGTCCCATTTACGAAGAAAAAGATGATCACGAGGCCCTCCAGAACATGTATCGTCATGAAGTTCTCTACGCACGCGATAGGCATCTTTTGACCTGCTCGAGTAGATTCCAAGGCTGCATGGTGTTTATACGCACCACGGCCAATGATATCCATGCGTACATTATACATTTCTCGAAACAAAGGGTATAGGGGCACTGGGCCTTGAGGATTGGGTTTGGCCCGCCGAGCGGCGGTATTGTCTGAAGGCAAGTGATGATATGCCGAGTTGGTAGACTTGTGGGAGAGATGCTGGTCGGTCGACTTATCGCCCACCGCCCATCATCTTCATGAGCTGACTCATGTCTAAGCAGTCATTAGCACCCTGTTCAACACAAGCAGGGCATATAGACTTACCTGGCATCCCACCACCTCCCGCTCCACCCATACCCATGCTCGACATCATTTCTTGCATCTGCGCCATGTTTGGCATCCCTCCCATACCCCCGCCCCCACCTCCGCCACCAAGTTGACTCATCAAGCTGCCCAGATCAGGCATGCCTCCTCCACCGCCTCCCATCCCTCCCATCCCTGGCATACCGCCGCCACCCATCATATCCGCCATCATCTTCTGGGCCCCTTGAGGACCAGCGGCACGGAGCTTTCTGGCAACTTCCGGTGGCACCGCCTTTCGCATAGCTTCAATCTGGGCAGGGGAGGGCTGACCGTTGGGCCCGAGGGGCTTGCCACCAGCTGCTGCTTGCATCTTTTGCATTGCTGACATCCTGTTCGTCGTGTTAGCAAGCTCGATGACACGGCGAATTGTGGCACTCACCAGCCGTTCTGACCACCAGCTTGCTTCGCCATACCCGCCATCATCCTCACTTGCACCAACAGCTCTTCCACCTCCCTCAAACTCGTCCCGCTCCCCCTAGCAACCCGCTTCGCCCGTCTATTCAGACCAGTGGGACTTCCAGCCTTGTCAAAAGTGATAAAGATCAGCCCGTCAGAGTCGAGTTCATCTGCTCGCATAGCGTCGGTGATGAATATCATGCGCTTGACCTTGGAAGCAGCCTCCTCGTCACCACCGCCGTCCATCATCCCAGCTGGTAAACCGGGGATCATGGAGGCAATCTTGGAGATGGAGCCCATACCCATGATGTTTGACAATTGGTCTTTCCAGTCGCGGATGGAGAATTTGCCTTGCTCGATCTTTTTGGCGAGATCCTTTTGCTTGTCCGGGTTGACTTGAGCCATTTCTTGCCTATAATCAAGTCAGCATTTGTATCGATCACCGGACTATATCCCTCACATGTGCTCCATGAGACCCTGCATATCGCCTTGACCCAAAAGTTTGGAGATGAATGGCTGAGGAGAGAATCTTTCAAGATCGTTGAGATGTTCACCGGTACCAAGGAAGATGATCGGTGTCTTTGTCGCCGCAACCCTGCTAAGAGTCAGATACCGAGTATGAGAGGCAAGGGCCCGGACTTACGCCGAGATAGCACCACCACCCTTCGCGTGGCCGTCCAGCTTTGTCACAATGATTGCTCCAAAGTCGGCTGAATCCTTGAAAGCTCTGCTTTGCGCCTCCGCCGCCTGACCGATAGAAGCATCCAAGACCATGATGGTCATATCCGGCTTGACAGCGCCACCGATAGCCACCATCTCCTCAAACAGCTCGGATTCTTGCTTGTGTCGACCCGAGGTATCCACAATAATCACATCGAAGCGCTCCTTGCGGAACTTTTCAACACCCAGAGAGGCGATGGCGACTGGGTCGGTCTCGGTGTAACTGCCGTAGAAGGGGATCTTGGCTTTGGTTGCGTTCTGTTTGAGTTGGTCGAAAGCACCGGCACGGAAGGTATCGGCGCAGACAAGACATGTCCTGAAACCTCGTCTTTGGTAGTGCACTGCTAGCTTTGTACACGTTGTGGTCTTTCCCGCACCCTACCAATTCATCAGCATTGTCTGCAACCGGACGAAACCAAACTCACCTGGATACCGACTGCCATCAAAACGTTGGTCTTGCCCTTCACTGGCTTGTACGGTTCCGTTCCAGGATCCACCAAGGACACTAGTTCCTCAAAGACCGTCTTTTGGACCACATTCTTCTTGTTCGCTTCTTTTCCACCGGCTTTTTCACTCTCCTCTAGACTCTTCTTGACTTTTGTTTTGACACGGGAGCGAAGGGAGGCGACGAGTTTGACATTGACATCGGATTCGAGGAGAGCAGCGCAGAGTTCTTTGAGGACGGCGTCGATGACCTATGCAGTATGAGCAGATGCAGATGGGAATGGGCGGGACTTACCGAGTCATCGACGACAGGAGCTCTTGCGAGTTGGTTGAGGGCGCCGCCAATACGGGTACCGAGGTCTGCCAGGACCATGCTGGATAGAGTTGGAGGTGACTGGAAAGTGTATATGTATAGGAGAAGCAGAGATTGAGCCGTGGAATGGATGGCCGTTGCAAGGAAGAGTGCTTACGTAATCAGTCCCTGCACGCGATAGGTCGCGTTGCCAGCGTTGTGCAGTGCGGTGAACGAGAGTATACCCATTAACCCATACACCAGCGAGGCATACCGGCCATGCCCACCCTGCCCTCCCTCAACCCCTTCTCCCGCTCGCCCAACGCACCCCAGGACCCCCACCGTACCCTTTCCGAACTCCTCCACGGAGCCAACACTCAAAACGGCTCGCGGTGGTCCAACACGGTCAAGGCGTCCCTAATCCGCCAGCTATGGCAGACAGTGTGGCATGACCCCGAGTGGGTCCAGTACTTTGTACCCGACGATCAGGCAGGCTCGTTACCAAAGCAGGCCGAAATCAAGGATTGGTTGGTAGACACCCCGGAAGCCTTGTACCAGTCGTGGAGTCTGAGTGCTACTCAGAAGGCACTGCAAGAGAAGAAGTCTCGAGAGGGGAAAGGCCCAATATGGCCGCCGAGGGCAGGACAGGTGTGCGGCAAGGTCTTTCAGAGGCATGAGAGGACTTATACCTGCAAGTGAGTCACACCTGGTGCACTGGCGGCACACAACTCCTGACATTGTCACAGGACGTGCGCTATAGCGTCCGCAGTGTCACTATGCGTCGATTGCTTCAAGGCAGGGGATCATGAAGGCCACGAAGTCCTCTTTAGTCAATCCTTCTCCTTCTCGGCATGCTGTGACTGTGGCGACCCTACCGCACTTTGCGATGATCAACATCTCGGCTGCTCCCATCATCCTAGGCTCCCTCTCGGCCAGACCAACCCACCCACGCCATCAAAGTTCGACGTCCCCGACGGGCTTGTCATCGCACTACAAAAGACCATCGCCATATGTGTAGAGTACATCATACACGTAATCGAGCATTCTCATCTCCCCGCTGACTATGGACAACTGCCAAAGACGGAGGAGGAAATGCGGTCCACCAATGGTCCCACCGGAGAACCGAGGGAGAGATGGGGCAAGGGGCCATGGGCGGTTGTGATGTGGCACGACGACAAGCATGTGATGAAGGAGCTTGCTAGGCAGGTCAGGGATGGAGTGGGAGTCAAGTGGGAAGTGGCCGAGCAATGGGCGAGAGAAGCAGACACTGTTGTAAGTGCATATCGACCGATTCTCTCCTTTCTGACTCCCGGAAAGGGTCGTAAAGTCATACTGGCATCGCCAAATCCAGTAGTGGCATTCCATGCCGCCAACATGCTCCATCAAGTGGACGCCGCCGTATCTCTGCGCCCCGCCGCAGATGTCTTTAAAGAAGAGATAGTCGCCGTTTTGATCGAATGGCTATACGACTTGCGAGCGTCCATCATCGGAGGCGACGATCGTTTATCGAAACGCCTGCTCGCAAACGCCCTCTTTGAGAAAAGAGTTCTTCCTCCCGCGGCTCCTGGAACCCCTCTGACACCGGATTTGAATGATCTCGTGAATGGCAAGATACTAGGAAAACCGCAGGAGATCAAAAGGATAGATTGGCTGCTACAGCTTGACCCCCGGCTGTGGAAAAAGGCGAAATGGCAGATGCGACAGATATATTGCTCGATATTCTTGAATGACCAAGAAGTCAACAAGGCATTTGGTAAGCTACACTGTATGCGGATAATACGAGTGCTCATACTTTATAGCTTGTCGCTTTGCCCTCAACTATCCCAGAATCGCCGAACATTTCCTCTTCCAAGACCGCGAATTCGACACCAACATCCTATTCTCATCTGGCTACGTTGTCCTCACGAATGGTCCCGCCGCAGCCTACGCCACTGCCCATGACAATCTACTCTCCAACATTGTCCAAGTAGCGCAAGCATGGTATACGGGCCAAGTTGTGACTACAGATGGAGTGGACCGGCTGGTCATACCACCTGTCAGTCTAGACATGGTAGATCAGGCGCAGAAGGGGAGATTAGATTTGGAGATTCCGGCGTTTTCGGTAGCAGGAAAGAAGGGTCTGGCGATCATTGGTCATATCAGAAGCGCTATCAAGCATGACGAGACTAGGCGAGTGATTGTCAAGCAGAATCAACTCTTCAACCGACTCCTTGGCTTCGTCAACATCTTTGTGGGTATCCAGCCTCAAAGACGCGAAAAGGGAGGGCACATCGAGTATGAGATTGAATGGTTGAGATCATTCATCGTTCTGGGTGACTTGTCCAGACTCTGTCGAGATATGGGAGAGATTTTCTCTGTTGCTGCACCAGATGCTCTGCTACAGAGCATGTCTCTGGTTGCGAACCGCGTCTTCTGTGACATGTTTCTTCTATCCAACACTCTCGACAAAGAGCGATACCTCCCTATAACCCAACATACCGTCAACAACGTCCTTGTCCCTGGCTCCAGCGCCGTCCTCATCAAACAAGACATTTCCACCATAGACGCTTTCAGCTTCCATCATTATCTCAACTTGCTTTTTGCAGAGATGATGAAGAATATGAGGACGGCCATCACGTGGGTAGATGGAAAGGTGAATGGAATGGGCTTTGTGGAGGTTGTGGAAAAGTTTGTGTTTGGAGGAGGAGATAAGGCGAGTTGTGAGAGAATGAAGTTGATGATGTTGGAGTGGCCTCTTCAGAGTGAGTTTCTACGAGCTCGACAGTTGGACGGCACTGATTCTTTGCAGAGCATGTCGTGTTTGCTCAAATTCGCGCAAACATGTGGAAGAAGAACGGCTCGGCGTTGAGATTGCAACACCACCACTACTGTGACGTGTCTGTTCGTGAATCGACCATCGACCAGGAGCTGTTCCTCCTTCAAGTCGGCCTCTGCGTTGTTGACCCTTTCAAATTTATTATTGCTTGCATCGACCGCTTCGGCCTAGGAGACTACTTTCAGGGCAGTGTGACGGACCCCAGACTATGGTACGATGAGGACCTCGAGCCCAAGCAGAAGATCAATCTGCTAGAAGACTTCTTGCTGTTGATCATCCAGCTGGCGACGTATCCTGTCTTCATCAACGGCTGGGATAGACGTAAGCTGACGCGCAAGTTGATCATTCATCTCTTGGCTGTCCAGCCTATGACCTATTCCGAGATATACCGAAAACTCCCAGAAAGATCACAGGAGACCAGCTGCTCGCCCATCTTGTCGGAGGTGGCCAACTTTAGGAGCCCGACAGAGAGTGCACCTGGACAGTACAGTCTCAAGGACGAGATGTACAACGAGGTGGATCCTTACTGGAGATACTACTCCCGTAATGACCAGCGTGCGGTCACCGACAAGCTTGTTGCTCGCGCAAAGAGACTGAGCGGCTTGAAAGACGAGCCTCTCGTTCAACCTCTTCCGCTAGAGCTACCTGACTCTGGCCAGCCATTCTCCACTATCGCCGACTTCCTGGGTACCCATGTGGTCGCCGACATAGTCCATTGGGCGTTTGCGCACTCCATGCACATCGCGACTCCGGAACAGTGGGCCGATACTGTCCAGTCCGCGTTCCCACAGGATTACACCGATAGTCCCGTGATACCCACCTGGGACTTGGTCCTCGACTACGCCCTGCACCTGTCCATGCTTGCTCTCAGTGTGAACGCTCAAGAGTTTGCACAACAGTCGGTCTATCTGAAGGGTTCGGAAGGGTCAAACAGCACGTTCCAAAACCTTTGGGTAATGCAGTCTGACGCAGCGTTCCAGCCGTTCAGAGCCAGGGTGGATTACATCCTGGATACTATCGTCGCCAACCTACCGCCCCACTACACGGCCGACTATCGCGCTCACAAGGAGAGCGAGAATCTTATAGCTCTGTCAAGCCCGGCCAAGCCAGACCCCAAGGCTTCGGCGGCTGCAAGGCAAAAAGCGATCATGGCCAAGTTTGCTAAACAGCAGCAACAATTTGCGGCCATGATGGACGGCGCGGATGATGATGACGATGATATCGAGGTGGAACATGGGGTGAAAGAAGAAGAAAAGTCCTTTGGCAATTGTATTGTCTGTCAGGAGGAGGTCACCGCCAAAAATCCTGGCGGGATGCTCACTCTGCTACAGCCGAGTCGTCAACTGCGCGAAACAGTAAACTCGAGAGACTGGCTGGAAGAGTCTATCTTGGTGCCCACTAGCTTGGACAGGTCGGGAAGATATCAGCGATACACTCACGACACCCAACATCCTGAGCCGGCCAGTACAGAGGGCTACCCGTGCACCAACATGAAATTCGGCATCCACATGTCGGCATGCGGTCACTACATGCACGAAAACTGTATGACGAGTCACTTTGAGGGTACGAAAGTGCGTCATACCCAACAAGTACAGCGTCACCATCCCGAGAATGCTGTCCGGCTCGAGTATATGTGCCCTCTGTGCAAGTCATTGGGCAATGTGCTCATTCCTGTTGAACCGACAAGGACGACGACGAAAGCTGCTGTAGCCGCAAATAAGGATGATGATGTTGTACCAACTCTCTCAATGGTCATCAGGAGAGTGTCGAGTGAAGGGCTGTTGAGGGTCGCGGATAGTCAGAGGATATGGGAGCATCACGTCGAGACTGGAGAAGTCGTACCATGGTTCTCTGATTGTGTCTTCTCCTTGCACTCTCTGGACCATAGCCACCGAAGAGGTAGCATGAGGGTAATATCAAGGATGGCCGACAGAATGGGTGGTCTAGTGCGGCCTCTGTCAGAGCAGAGCCAGAGGATCAGAGGCAAAAAGACCCACATGTACCTTCCCGACGACATGGTGGCATACACGGCATCGATGATCGAGATCACCCAGCGCGGTCACAAGAACAATAGCGCGGATGCCTTGACTGTAGCCGAGCAGATCAACGAGACCTCTCTCAAGCTCATAGGGAAGCTGGTTGGATTACTCCAACTTGAGCTTGACCTTTACTTTGGCCCCTCATTTGACCGGACGTCTTTGCGAGTCGGGATTTTTGCGAGATTCTTGCCAGACTGGTATCGATCCAGTACACTTCCTTCCCCTCTGCTCATCAGACATCCCCTTGGCATGGTCATTGAGTGTGCTGCCATCGCGCCCGATTTGCTCCAAGCAGTCATGATCATGGCGTACTATGCCGAGCTTACGCGCTGTATGCTCGCCTTGTCTTTGTATGTCAAACGCTGTCTTGGCCCTCGACAGAGCCCCGCATTGCGCACTCAGCCTTCTAGCGACGAGTCGTCAGCGGACGCCCTCACCGTCTTTGCAAACTTCAGGCCGGTCATGCAGTCCATCCTGCGACATGCTGGCCCGTTTGCCGACACCGATGGCGTCCTGGCACTCCTTTCCGATGAGATGCTGTCCAAGCTTCTCTACTCTTACACTCTCCCGTTCCTTCGTAGATGTGCTATTATCTACTACGCTGTGACGGGGACATACCCGCTCACGAACCCTTCGCTTATCAGCGACTTTACCTCCTCCACTAGCGAGTATAATCGCCTCCTCACTGTCCTCGGTATCCCCAGACCGACAGAGACCCTCGGTAACCCTTCTTCAACTGAAACTCCCATCGTCGCGCGTTGGATTACCCAGTGGGCTTTACACGGGCGTGTGATGCCTGTTCTGGAGTACCCCGGGACGTACGAGCTGGTGAGGTTACCGGAAAAGTGGGAGGATCTGGTGTTGGCAATGGTGAACAGGAAGTGTCAGAAGTGTAAGACGAAGCCGATCTGGCCGGCGATTTGCCTGTTCTGTGGAACTTTGGTGTGCTTGGCGGGCGATTGCTGCTTGCAAGGGGAGCAAGGGGAGTGTAATTTGCATATGAGAGAGTAAGTCATTGAGGGTCGTGGTGTGACAATGCTAACAAGTCTGGCTAGATGTGGTGCTGTAGTCGGCATGTTTGCCGATATAAGACGCTGGAGCCTGCTTTATCTCTACGCTGGCTCCGGTAGTTTCGGATCCATGCCCTATCTCGACGCACATGGTGAATTAGATGTATCTATGAGGTGAGTCCCCGATTGTGGCGTTATCTGCATTCGCTGATGGGAATCCAGGCGTGGTCATCGACAATACATGCATCTCGAGCGGATGGATGCGCTGAGAAAGACGTGGCTAACGCATGCTATCCCGCATGTCACGGCGAGGAGGTTGGAAATGACGCTAGACCATGGAGGTTGGGGATGCTTATAAGACGCACAAGTCATACAGTACGAGCAGTAGAAGACAATACAAGAAGACAAGTCAGACAGTGAGAAGGTTTTGTGTGCATGTATCTTGGCATAGTAGCTTATGTTGGAGAAAAGATCGGCTATGGAATGTCAACAGCGTATTCGGGGAGCTGAAACACCAACAGTACAGTACAAGCCGCGAAGAGCTCAAATTTCAAAGCTGGTGGGTGTTCTTCGGGCGTCTGGGCGGTTGAGTCATGTTACTGTGCAACCTACAGCGACGTCGTGGCTACAGTGGCTACAATCGTGCTTATGCCCTATGTCATATGGTGACATTCCACATCTTCTTATTTTCAATGAGAGAGGAGTAAATGCTGCACACCTATGCATGTGCTGCGCTCTGACGTGCGCCCACTATGAAGTAGTCATGGTACATAGTTTCGTGAACAATACGTGAAAGATTGTTCTGATGTAACAATAATAGTACTGTACTGTACTCGTACAATTGATGGCTAGCGTTTCATGTGTTTTGCAGCGCCCTGGGTCATATGGGAGAGAGAAATTACGGCGAGAGTGGGGCAATGGATCGGATATATTTCCAACTCATCTGCGCAAGTAAACAAACTTGGTGGCTTCGTTGAGGCACTTGTTGAAGATCTCTTTGCCAGCAATGACAAGTATAGTATTTGCTTGCCTGAGAACAGAACGAGTTGTATTGAACGCTCGGCGTTTCTCATCATCACCAAGCAAATACTGTACTCTTCCAAGGGGTCATCATAGACCGCTGAGGGCGCACGGTCGAAACTGCCATTGTCTTCCTCGTCGATAATGTCGTCTTCCATGACGCCACCTGGTACAACAATCAGCTTTGTCCTCAACAATTGGAGTCAAACACGACGGCTCACTTGCAGTCTGTTTCGGCACTTCCTCCTCGATGTTTCGAAGCTCGGGAAGGGCATTATGATGTGTTTGACCACCGTTCATTACAGGCTCCATGAGCATCGACTCATAGAGTGATCGGACTTTCTGGCTTGCGTTCGATTCAGGAATGTAGGAATCGATGTTTTGGAGATTGAAAGCGGTCAGGGGATCATATTCTATTGCAGATGTATATTAGTCACTAGTACTGAGAGATATTGGGTACTCACCTGTAGTTGCGACATCATAATCGGCTTAAGTACCGGTCATCACGGGATTGATGACGATTGATGCATGAGGTGTTCGAACTTCCTCTAGAACAGGATATCAGCACAGTGAACCCTAGCCTGCGTTCTCTGAGCTCAAAAGATTCACCTTTGAAAGAGGCGCTCTCGAGACTGTCTTTCCCTATCAAGACATTCGCTGTATTGTCATTGGTCCCCCTGATGTTGCCAACCCTACTCCCAAAGGTCCTACCCGCTGTCTTGGCCCCGCGCCCGTGCTGACCTTCCTTGGTAGCACTCGAGGTTGTAGCAGACGGATCGGCCTGAGCGGCCCGGATTCTTGCGGAGCGGCGCTTCGTGGGGCCCTGCCCACCGCCGCCAGGGGAAGGCGAACGATCGCGCCGGTTTTTCGGAGGGGGGTCGTTGACAGATTGCTGCTTGGTCTTCTTTCTGTTTCGTTTCGGCTCTTTGGGATCGACGTCGGTCCCTGGCTGCGCGTCCGTCGACTCGGGTCCCTCTGGAAGAGGAGCCACTACCTCAGAGTCCTCTGCCCTCGGCCCACTTTCAGCATTCCCCTCAGACGCAGGAATTTCCTCGCGTTTGCGCGACTCGTTCAATTCAGCCACTTTCTTTGTTGACAAACGCGCCGATTCGAAGAACGGTTCGGGCTGAGTCACGGCATTTTCGAGCTTGAACGTCTTCACCATGTCCTTCAAGGTTGTCCATGTCTCCCCCTCGGGGCTGGGAAGTCGCTTCAAAGGCTGACCATCGCGAGGAATTGCCTCGAGCTGCTCGATTGCAGCGCCAAACAGCTTTCTAACGTCTTTGACCAATGTGTAGTCCAGATCGTCTTCGCCTTCGCTCTTTTGGACAAGGAGGGACCTTCCAACTTTGACACTGCCATCTTTCAACCTTTTGTCCAGGGTGTCGAAGTCCCCAACAACCTGTGCTTCGTCACTAGACGTGCCTTCAAAGACGATGGCGTTGTCCAAGACCAAAAGGCGATACACCACCGGACCACGACCTGCGTAACCGTAGCTGGTTCCACAGACATCATGGTAGCTTCCAGCATAGCATGAGGTCTGGCCGATCAGGAGCGTCTCGGGAATGATTGGGGGCTTTTCTTCTATCACAAAGCCGACGATGTGGTAGAGCACCTCGTTGTCTTTTAGCTTGTACTGGGTACGAAGACCGGCTGTCACGCGGTCAAGGAACGTCAACTTCTCGTTTGGCTCCATGACAGGCTCGCTGCTGTTGACGAGGGTAGGCATGTGGTCGATATTCTTGGGGCCGTACGTCAGTGCGGCCTTGCACTGATAGGAGTTAACGCACGTCAAATTTGCAGACAACACTAGCAGAAATACCCCCATCTGGCTTGATGATTCCTTCTCCAGATCCAACAATGCCTTGGAGGTCTTGGCCGGACAGCTTTTTGTTGCTGCCTAACCAATTGAGGAATCGAGAATAGTGTGTACTCTGCCGATACGTCTTGTCCTGACCATCATCTTGCCGTACTCTGGCATCGAAGAGAGAAAGGGATCCACCCTCAGTGTGAAGCTCACTATACCCTTCTCTAATTTTGGAAACTGCGATGTTATAGTTCGATTCCAGCAATCGATCGAGGAGAGCTGCATGCGACCTTCACTGTGACCGGTTCGGCGTGTCAAGCCCAAGGAAAAGATCGTTTTTTTAAGGATCCTCCGGTCCGAGAAGAGGGCCGACACGGCGTCCACCTCCGCTTGTACCCGAAGGGCAGTATCGATATCGAGGCATAGGGGGGAGCTGGCCCAGGTTGGTGCTCGAGAGAGGCAGCCATAGCAAGTTCAAGTGCTGATGCTGTTGTGATGCTGTGAAGTGTGTGAACGCAGGTTTGATCCCGCGCAAAACGCCTATCGACCTTAGGCACGTGTGTGGTGGTGGCCGTCGGCGACGCGATGAGCACTGTTACGTAAATGAATGCCGTCATCAGTACTAGGGCGTCGTGGACAAGTCGTGGAGGATGTTGTTTCTTCTTGCATCTGCATCTCTATCTTCTACTCTCCTCTCCTCTCCACCCCCCACCATGCCGGACCCCTTCTGGATATGTCACGAGGTACGCCAATAACCATCCCGACACCGCTGACGGTCTCATCAGTGTCACTCGGAGATGCGCCCCATCTATGTAAGTATCTCGAAATACACAACTCGCATTTGCTAATACTTCTCAGACCGACAACATTCCACACTGTGCTTCGTGTAATGGCGAGTTCATAGAAATAGTACGCATCCATTCTCGGGCCCCTTGCTGTGCTTACCATCCTGCAACCTACGCAGCTCGATCCAGAAATCAACCCAGACCCCTATCACGAACTTCCTCCTCCACCTCCAACTCGCCCGGGACAAGGGCCAGCACCTCCCCGTGGCAATTTTCCCCCGTTCTTGTTCAATTTCCCCCCGCCACCCCATCACACGGCGCGTGATGACGCTGACCCGCCAAGTCCAACTCTTCCCGAGCACTCCGACAACCCTCCCACTCCTGGCTCATTCCTCTCCAATCTATTCGGTCTTCTGTCAGCTGGAAATCGGGAAAACAACCCTGGAGGTAATGGTGGACAGCCGAGCCGTCCCCCGCCCCTGTTTGCAGACCAGCTCCCACGCGACAACCAAGGTGGCGAAGGATCTAACGGTGATCAGGGTGGTCCAGGAAGGCCCAGGACGTATTCTTTCAACCTGGGAAACACGCATACCAGTGTCACAGTGGGAAGCTTCAATCTGCGTGGAAATGTGGGCGGACAAGGTGCACCGCAGAATCCATTTGCTGCATTTGGAGGGTTGGATGACCCAGATCCATTCGCTGCGTAAGCTAACAATTTAGTCCACTCGAGATCTTACTGATGTGCTCAAAGTGAACCCCCGGGCGCTGGAAACCGCCCTCGTAATGATCCGAACATGACTGATGAAGAACGCCTCCAGCAGGAAGCTCGGCAGGTGGTGCGTCATCGCATATCTGATCTGCACTTGACAGCAGTTGATCGCGTCTCGTAGCTGCAAACCATAACTGCTGTGCTTTCCGGGGAAGGGGGTGCAGGATTCGTCTTTCCTGGTGGAGGTAATCTCGGAGACTATGCAGGCAGCGATGGTATGTTGTCCTTCACCAGACGTCCGGGTCAAATATTACTGTGCTGACGCAAGACTGCAGGTGAATTCCAAGACATTCTGGATAGATTCATGGATGCCGCCGGACCACAGGGCTCGGTCCCGGCAAATGATACTGTCATCGAAGGTCTCCCAAGGTTTAAATTCGACGAAAAGTCATTGTGTATGTAGGAGCTGTTACCCTGTCCAACAGACAAGACTGACGGTTCCCAGCTCAGAGCCAATTCAAAGACTGTCCTGTGTGCAAAGACGATTTTCAAGTGGATGATGCGGTTGTCAGAATACCTTGCCAGTGAGCCTCGAGAATTCGTCAAGGGATCACGCTGATTCTCAAACTCAGGCATACTTTCCATGACGATTGTCTTGTACCTTGGCTAAAGCAAAACGGTACCTGTCCAGTCTGGCAAGTGTCTGTACTGTCTGATTGCATCCCCAACTGACCATGTGTGCAGCCGGTTCTCCTTGGTCAGCGAAGAAGATCGGGAAGCACACAGGCGCCGAAACAATCCCCTCAACCAGCCTTTCGGTGGCCTCAACCAGGGCCAAGATGGCAATGCTGGCAATAGGCAAGGACAGCAGGGTCAAAATCTACCAGGCGGGATGCCGGGAATGCTAGGCGGACTGTTTAGGAACATCTTTGGCCTTGGTGATGAAATCAACTTGGCAAGTGGCCGGGGCGCGAACGAGAGGTCAGGGCGCGATGTTCCCAGACCTCCTGGACCCGACGTCTCTGCTAGGGACAGCCACCAAAACCCGGCTTATGATGATCAACGCACCGCTTCCGAGTCCTCGGACGACGACTCACCTATCCGGGTCTTTGCCGAAAACCCACCCGCCAGCACATTCCAATCTTCCGCGCATAATGACTCTCTCAACCTCGGCAATCCGATCCCGTCTTCAGGTGCGACGACCCCCGGAGGCACCGCGCAATCTCGAAATCGGGAAGAAGATGCTCAGAGAGTGCAGGCGTTTGACAGACTTCAAGAAAGGGTCGCGAGGGATTATATGACGCCGAGGGAAAGAAGGGAAAGGGAAGAAAGAGAAAGAGATCAGAATGATAATGGATAGTACGTATCGTCATGATTCTTGATTACGAAGCAAAACTCACGAAGACCCAGTCACCCTGACCTCGACTGAAAAGGGTATCTTGAGGAGAAGAGTAAAAACGCACACAGTCAACATTGGTTCACTAAGAGTGGGGGTGGAGAACGAGTTGTAATCATAAACTGTTGAAAGTGTACACTTTGCTTGCGGTATGTAAACACCAACTGCAAGAAATCCAGAAGCAGATGACGGTCCTAGCGACCTATTTCGTCAAACATGCATACACCTCAATGCAAATATGCAGAAACACTACTATCCCTCCACATCCTCCCACCGTCATCAGTCTCTTCGTCCAACCCCCACTCCAGCCCATCTTCATCCCCTACTTCTCTCACCGCTTTCTCCAGGCTCTTATATATCATACTCTTCTTCGCTGGAGACGTACGGGCGAGTCTCGCGGGGACGATAGAAGATGTACGAGTAGCGCGGGGCGTCTTGGGGTGGGTGGGTGTGGCGGGACGACTCTGAGATCTGCCAGGCTCGATAGACACTGACTGGGAGCGCGAACGCGGGCGCGCTTGTGGTACAGCAGGCGACATGGACACGAATCTGATGCCCGCCCCTGCCGTCGGCGCTGAAGCAGGTGGTCTGGCAAGAGTCGATGCGCGTAGAGGGGTGGAGGATAGAGTCGTTTTGAGCGGCGATGATGACGGTGTAGCACTCTTGAGCCTGTGAGATGGTATAGGCGGAGGTAGCATGAGACCCGCTTTGGGATTTTCGTTTCTCTTCGCAGAGTTTCCATTCCTGGCTACCGAACCCGATTTCAGAGTTGCGCTGGGCGCTGGACTAGACCTGGAACCATTTGACCCAGCACTACTCGGTGGGGGCGTCGGCAAAGTGAATCCCGTGGATGATGACCCAAGAGTCGAGCTCGAGCGATAGTTACTCATGGATGGCACCAACGATTTGATCATTGTAGACGGTAATCGCCCTGTGTGCTCTGGACCGAGTCTCATTCCAAGGTCTGCGGCCCGCACACTGAACTCGCTCCTCAAAGGACTCGAGCTCGACTCATACACCGGGAACTTATCATCAGAGCGATCAGAGCTTGAGAGAAGATCAAGCTCATCTTGGCTCTCATCGCCCGATTCGGGCTCGGTCGAGGATGAACCAGGGTACTTGGGGGGGGAGCGTGGAGCAAGCGAAAACCTAGTACGCTTTGCACTGAATCCAGGCCCTAATAGGAGAGACTCTGATGGGCGACGAAGGGCACTCTTCTTCAGAGCAGACGAGGTGGGAACGTCGCTGGACAACGATTGACTCCGCGTGCCATCTGTAGACGAAGGTGGTGGCGTCGGTTGGAACACCTGGCCCCCGCTGACGCTGAATGATGGGCGTGTATACGATGTAGTCATAGGGGAACTATCCAACAGACGGCTGCGACTCGTTGAATTGGACGGCGACATCGTAGGGCGTTGCGTCGAGCGGACAGGGGAGAATACATCCGGGTGCGGGGGAGATGATGGGGGCAATGATGGCATCCGAGAAGCCCTGCCTTGAGCCATCAAAGGAGATGAGAGTGGAGGAGAGGGAGGGGCGGCGAGGTTGACTGGCGTTGGCCTCTTTGCGATTGATCTAGCCCGACGAGGAAGAGGCGCCGTTGGCTTGGGCGTCGGGACATCCTCATCATCGTCGCTGATGACGATAACAACCGGCTCTGTTGCTGAGCGAGATGGAATCACGCTCGGCGGCCCTCTCTCGATACTCTCTGGCTGAGGACGTGGTGAATGAGGTTTGGTGGAAGTTCGGCGTTCTCGTGAATGTAGCGTAGGGGTACGAGATGCCTTCTCAGCCTCGCCCTCGCTTTCCCCTCCATCGGTATCGTCTTCTCGATACTGATCAAAGTACCGACAACGTCTGAACGAGTGTTTACCCAGACACTGCTCCGCCATTTCTGCTCTTTCACCACCAGCGTCCCGACATAGCCTACAGATCCTCTTTCTTTGGCCACCGGCAGAACGAGGCACGGGGGGGCGGGAGAGTTCCTGACGGGCTGATGCGCTATCCGTAACTGTATATAGATTAGTCGACACTCATGGCAAACGCTTGATCTACTTACCACTCCCACTGTCAATTGACGCAAACTTGCAATCACTCGTTCTTCCTTTGCACAATCCCGCCTTGGCTCTTCTGTCGCCCCCAGCTCTCAAGCAGTCCTTGCAGGTGAAGGGCTTTCCGTCCGCCATGTATATCTTCGTCGTCCAATAAAAGCCTGTAGTAGACGTTGATCTGTCCGGCACGTCTTCAGCAGGACGCTCCCCTATCATGCGCTGCTTTCCCTTGTCAATCTTCGAAATCGACAAGTTCCCCATTGGGGGAGGGGTGAACAAATCGGCGAGTGTAGGAGCTGATGCGGATTTGGGAATAGATGGATATGCTGGTGGTGGGTTTGAAGAGCTGGAGATAAAAGATCTGGATCTTGGCCGACAAGGGATGACAACTTGTACGGTCATTCGGGGTCGCCTTCGAACCTGTACAGGCTTCGGGGGAACTATGGGCTGAGAAGAGTCAGAAACCATAGAACCCATCGTGATCATACTCACAGATGACACACGCGCTGGAGCAGGGGTCTTGCGGGACGCCTCGTCATGCGTATCTCGTATGTCCGCCTCGAATTCATCCTCCGAGCCCGACTGGAACAAGTCGGCCAGAGTAGGAGTGGCCAGTATTCTGGTACCAAGTGATCTTGGAGACCTTTCCGTATCGGCGAATGCGCTATTCATCCCTTTTGCCAATGGCTGAGCGTCATCTTCAGGATCCTCTTCCTCCTCATCTCCGTACATCGTCTTTCTGCGCTCCTCAGCCCTCAAGAACTCTCTAAAGTCCTCGTCATCTTCTGTTGTCCAGGCAGGACCGCTATCCACAACACTTTCATATTCTGGAAGCTGCGAATCCAGCCCGGACCGTCCCTCCCAATCTCCCAACTCGTCCTCGTCAGACTCGAATTCGTGGTTGCCATTGACCGAAGAATCTTCGTCCTCTCCGTCGACGTCTTCTCCAAAGTGCATGGGACGGAGGAGGCTTCGCAAGGAGCCTCTATCTTTGACAATTCTCCCCGTGAGAAGGTCCACCTCGTCGTCGTCCTCTACATCCTTGTACTTGTCAAACAAGACATCCCAGCTCGATTTGAGCTTGTCGCGAGACTCTTGCCTCCGCCGTGATATTTCTTCCTTCTTCCACTGTTCTTTGCTGAAGACTGACCCGGAGCGGATGATTCTTGGCCCATGCGATGCTATGAGAGGCGTTGAAGGGCGGGATGAGGCGATGGTGCCGGAGGATAAGGAGAATGTCGATTCAGCACGTCGGAGGAGGGGCGTAGAATGTGCTGTATAGGGGTGGGAGGGTCGGGAGGGTCCAGCGATGGCGTTGGCTGCAGACATGGCCAGGAGCGGTGCCCACGAAGGGGCGGGGTATTATAGAGTTGTGGGAATGCAGAGATGTGCGAGCATGAGATGGCGGTTCAGATGTTTGTGCGTCCTCGGGTGTTGATTTCATAATAGTATTACAAGCTCAGGGCGCCTTCCTACTCGACGCGTCGGGATTAGGAAAGCCATTACAAATTGTCTCTGATGTTGACTGACCATGTCCAAATACTTGGTGGATGCATAGATCAGAGACTGAGATATAGACTTGGGTTCTATTCCGTCTCCCCGCTCTCTTTGTCCTCAGGCGGGTTGGCCTTGGGAGGGATTGAACACAAGGTAGCGCCGGACATATACAAACCCGTCGGGGGGCGGGCCATCCCAGTGCATCTTCTTCCGTCTGTATTTCTACGATTTGTGACTCAGTCGACTGCGCCACTACACAGACAGGCGATCTTGGGTCACCGACCCAATACACCTTGTGGTTCGCGAATTGTTCGTCATTGTTGTTGTTATTGTCGGCGGCCTTAGAGTATGTACCCGGGCCGGGCCTTATGTACGCGCATCTGATGCTTATGTAACAGGCGCGCCTTCATCGATTGTTGTTGTCATGTTGAACTGCATTGTGATGATGGATCTTTGTCGAAGCGACATTCTGTCTTTCGAATTGCAAGAGCGGTCGACTTTTTCTGTCCAACAGCATGTCAAGATAGAACTGCCAAATGTCTTTCATAGCTGGTCCAGCCAGGAAATCGCAAGGGAATGTTGTTCCGACATATAGGTACGATTCCCTTGGCTCTTCCTCCCGATCGATATCGTACCCCTGCTCATCAATTTCAGACACCTACTTTCGCCTCAAGCCCTAACACCAGCGTAAGCTTGGCTTCAGCCAGATCCTGGTCTCAGCTCATCACGTATGTTGTAGTAATCCTTTGAGGTCCATCGCCCATTGTGATATAGATGCCGCTTATGCTCGTAAGTCGCTAGCAGCATCAAGAAAGAATGCAAGAGCTGACCGATAACAGAGTTTGAGCAAGTTCGACTTGGTATACCGGACGAGGTCCCTCTGATCTGTGCCCAATGGCAATCCATCATTGCTGTCAACTACCCAGCGCGCAAATTCGGCATCAAAAGGTGGGTTTTGTACAAGGTCTGTCTTTTGGCACTGTTGCTGATCTTGGAAACAGATTTACATCTATAGACGATGCCAAAAAGATGTGCCCCCACCTTGTTGTCCAGCACGTTGCTACCTACCGGAACGGCGAGGCCGAAGCCGGCTATTGGGAGAATGTCGATTCGCGCACGCATAAAGTCAGTCTCGATCCTTATCGTCGGGAGAGCTCGAAGATATTGGCCATTTTCAAGGAGATGATACCGAAAGGGGAAGTGGGTGGGTGCATTTCGATGTGATTTCCCTATAAGGTGCTGACCTTCATATAGAGAAGGCGTCTATCGACGAGGCATTTCTTGATCTTACACCCATGGTCCTAGAGCGACTCCTCATCGAACACCCTTACCTAGCGATTGTACCCGAAGATGCCCCAAACGGCATGGATTCTCCCCTCCCACCACCACCTCCCATCGACTGGAACAAAGCTGGCACCGTTTTTCCCAAAGACGGTAAGGAGCATGATGATGGCGAAGAAGGTGAAGTGACCAGCGAGGATGGCGAAAGAGTGCGCGGAGTCAGAGACACGTGGGAGGACTGGGCACTGTGCCTCGGGGGGCAGCTCATGTCAGAAGTGCGTGGAGAAGTGTACAACAGGCTGCATTACACGTGTACAGCTGTAAGTCTGACTCTCATCCCACTTAATGGTGGCTGATCATGTACCCAGGGCATTGCGCATAATAAATCACTGGCCAAGGTATCTTTCAAAATTAGCAGTGAAATTACAGCTGACTCTTTACAGCTTTGCTCGGCCTGGAAGAAGCCAAATAATCAAACCATCTTGCGTTCTGCGGCGGTCGCTGCTTTTCTGCGTGACAGGGAATTCACGGATGTCAGTATTCATCATCTTATCTTGATTATATGACTCACTTCCGACATCAGATCCGATCCCTTGGAGGCAAGCTTGGAGCCGCAATCGCGCAAGAATTCGACGTCACGACCGTGGGCGATCTGCTGTGAGTCACTATTGAGTGCTATGAGACTGACTGACTGACAATGGATAGCACCGTACCTCTTGATACTCTGCAGAAAAAGTTCGGGGAAGAGAGCTTATGGATATACAACGTCGTGAGAGTGAGCCCATATACATGCGTTACTGAAAGCGGCAGTGCTGACCATTCACTCAAGGGCATCGACCTTTCCGAAGTCAAGGAGCGAGTGGCTACCAAGTCGATGTTGGCCAGTAAGAACATCCGGCCATCAGTGACTGCTCCTTCACAAGGCTATCATTGGCTTTCTGTCCTAGCTGGAGAGCTCAATGTCCGCTTGAGAGAGTCGAGAGAAGTTGCCCCTGGTCTATGGCCAAAGACACTGGTACTTGGGACGAGGCAAGGTATATCTATCATGCGTGTAAACCTAGCAAGACTGACGTGAAACAGGTTTCGAGGCACCTCGGTCTCGCCAAGCGCCCTTCCCCTTTACCCGCAATCTCTCTACGGAGTATATCCTTAAGTATGCTCATAAGCTATGGGAAGAAGCGACGCAGCCCATGAACAAGGGTAATATGAAGCTTAATAACGTGAGACTTCTTCATGGTATATGGATGGGAAGCTGATCGAAATCCCAGATCGCGTTATCATTCACAGGTCTGGAGAAGCTGGAAGAAGGCCAACAAGGCATTGAAGGTTTTTTTTCGACTGCAAAGGCAGTGCCAAAATCTGCAAAAGCCGATCCAGATTCTTTGTCTACATCGTCGGGGCCTCCAGACGCCAGCCTTTCAGCTAAAAGAGCTCACTCACCAGCTCCCTCAGCCGACCCTGTTCACAAAAAGCCACGCCTGCCTAAGCTCCATGCTGTAGAACCAAAGACATCCCTTCAGGCTTTCCTCGCCAAGGCAGGGCCTTCTTCCGCCAAACCGCTCCCATCTTTATCAAGGACCTCGTCTTACTCGGATCGCGAGGAACGTCCATCCACAGAAGCGCCAGAGGTCTTTGTCGTAGACGACTCTGATGACGAGGTAGAGTCTCAGGATGATGGGATGTCCTGGACATGTGCAAAGTGCAAAAAGTTGATCTCTCGGCCAGGAGACTTCGCAATGCTGGAGGATGAACGGCCAGAGCTGTTACGGGCTATGAAGCAGGAGCACGAGGATTGGCATTTCGCAATGTCTCTGCAAGATGGGGGCGAAGGGAGCTCACACCCCTCTGAATCCAAGAGACGTGCTCAGGGCAAGGCCACAGGGAGCCGATCGAAAGAAAAGCCAAAGACTACCGTGAAGAAGAAAAAGGAGGGCATCCAGGCGTTCTTTGGGCCCAAACGGCCATGACATCCTTGGCTGTCCGACTTGCTTTTCCTGTGCACTGCTTTGCATGTATGTGTTTTCTTGCGACATGCCCGGTCTTTGTTCGGGAACCACAGCGCGTGATGGTCAAAAGGCGCCATATCATACAAGCAAAAGCAGCGCTGCAGCAGCTCGCGGGCGGGACCTGAGGATAAGCTTCATGATGGGCGGGGGGCTCCGATATTTGGTTCCATTTCCCATCGCTTTGGTCTCGCTTGTAGATGGCGTGCTCAGGTTGGGAGGAGTTCCAAGAGGGAGCCAAGTGAGGGAGCATGTGGTCACTCTCGGAACCGCGTGGGGAGAGTGCCAGCCGGGAAGACGACAACAAGATGCAGAATCACGCCAATTGCAAACAGTAGGACTTTTCAAGGCCAACCCGTAATAATATATGTACGAGTTCCCACCGTCGCTTTCATCGCTCCTCACAGATCACCGCAATGTCCAAATTCTTCACCAAGTCTGGTCACAAGTCAGACCCCACCAGACTTCACACCAACACCTCTGACGACTACGACTACAAGGATGAGCATCTTACAGGAGACGACGAGCATTACCCCGCAGATGACGTCGAAGCAGAGGTGACCTCTGTAGCGGAGTCCGACCTGCCTCAAGGCCGTCAGCTTGGCCTGATCAGTGCGACATTTCTTATGGTCAACCGTATGGTCGGTACTGGCGTATTTGCTACGACATCGACGATTCTTGCTCAGAGTGGTTCTGTTGGCATGAGTCTTCTGTAAGTCGGCGTTAATGATGAAGAAAATTGCTCATGGGCCTTAGCTATTGGGTCATTGGAGCGGTCATTGCGGCCACAGGATACAGTGTCTATGCCGAATTTGCTACCTCCATACCTCGCAACGGGGGTGAGCTGTGCGCAGATCTTTCCATATCATCCCAAGAGAGTCTACTGACGTACTTATGTTACAGCAACTACTTACAACATGTGTACCGAAAACCAAAGTACTTTGTTGCGTGTATATACGGTGCTCAGGCATTGCTGTTAGGTCAAGGTAAGCTCCGCTGAAGGCGAACAATGTGGAATCGAAATTAACCAACTTATAGCTGCCGTGAGTTGAAGATCGTACCATGACCAAAGTAACCTTGTCTGATTCCTGGGCTTTAGGGGAATGCTTATACCTCCGGACGATACTTCCTTAGAGCTGGGGGTATCACCGATAACGAATGGGGATCACGAGGTATCGGAGTCGCAGTCCTGATTACTGCGCTCGTCATCCACGGCACCCTTCTCAAATGGGGTCTTCGATTCCTGAAGTGAGGACCTGTGTATCGTCAGCTGTCTGACATATCGGCTAACATCTACTCAGCATTGTTGGCTTTTTCAAGATTGTCATCCTCCTTCTCATCAGCTTTGCGGGCTTTGGTGCTCTTGCCGGTCGTACCAAGATTGACCCGCCTCACAACTTTAACAAGGCCTTCGTTGGCACTCGCAGTGACATTTTTGGTATCGCAGCTTGTATCTATAACGTGAGAGGCTTTCAGTATAGCAAAGCAAAACACTCATACTTGACAGGCTTGCTGGAGCTACGTCGGATACTCTAACTTGATGTACGCCGTCGGTGAGGTCAAGTCGCCTATCCGAACCATCAAGATCGCTGGTCCCCTCGCCATCGGCATCATTACCGTCCTCTACCTCCTCACTCAAATTGCCTACTTTGCCGCCGTCTCCAAGGAGGACATCCTTGGAAGTACCCAAATCACAGCTGCTCTGTTCTTCCAAAACATGTTTGGCGAGTCTTCTGCCCGGGCGTTGAGTGTCTTTGTGGCGCTTTCGGCCGTTGCGAACGTCTTTTCAGTCATCTTCTCTCAAGGGCGACTGAACCAAGCTCTGGGCCGGGATGGATTGATCCCCTTCTCCAAGATCTTTGCTTCCAACCGACCGTTCAAGGCGCCCTTGGCAGGCCTTACCTGGCATGTCATTGTGACTCTGATCATTTTACTCGCTCCTCCAGCTGGAGATGTGCGTATTTCACGTACACCCTCCGACCAAAACTGATTCTGAATTTCCCAGGCTTACAACTTTGTGTTGAATCTCTCCTCATATCCTCTCAACGTAGTCAACGCGGCCGTATCCTTTGGCCTACTCGCGACTTATATCCCACGTCGCTTCAGGCCCGAGTGGGCACGTGAATGGAATCCCCCATTCAGGGCTACTCTTCCTGTCACGCTCTTCTTCACCCTTGTTTCCTTCTTCATGGTCATTGTCCCCTGGATCCCTCCCAAGAAGGTACTTTCCTTTCCTTCTTCACATATCCGCATGCTGACATTATGCTCGACTAGGCATCCGACGCAGTGTACGTCAGCATGTGGTACGCCATGGCCCCAGGCGTATCATTCGGCATCTTTGCTGCGGGTACCATCTACTGGGCTGGGCGATTCTGGCTCGCGCCAAAGATATTCAAGTACGAGCTTGTGCCCACGAGAAAGCTGTTGTCGGATGGGACTGCTGTGACGCATTTCGAAAAAGTGCATCGAGAGTAATTTTTGGAATCTTTGGGGTTTGGGACTCTGTGTAGGATCTCGAGTAGTGTTTTCTGGGAAGAAGTTCATATTCGCTGGTCTATCATATCTTCTGTAATGGCTATGTATGGTTGGTGGTCATGGTGATTGAGGGAAATGTTGTCAAAATGACTAGCTTTTTGAGATGACCTTCTGTTGACCTCTGGGAAGGCGAGATTGACTTGCATACGTAGCTAGGACACCTTCAGTCCACTTGAGTCTCCTCTAGCTCAAAACCCATCACGGCGAAATCCTCGGGCACTTTTGGGTTATCGAAGCGCTCCACCATGAGCTCAATGACAGGTTGACGAAAAGGAGGATGAATCGGAGCGGGCGGAGGCAGGTCATTGACCGGGTGAAGATGGGGAGATGGCGATGGTGGAAGGAGCTGGCTGATATCCGACTCGGGATCGTTGTCATTTTCATCGACATCAACAACCAATGTAAGTGTCTCTTCTCCCTCCGGTATATCATCGTTGATCATCACGACATCCTCCAAGGCATCGACGTGGAAATCGAGTCGCTCATCCAACGAGGATATGTGATATTGGTCGTATGAGGGCTCCTGATTTACATGCGGTACACACGCAGTAGGATCCTGATCGACATCTTCGAGAAACGATACTTGTGGGGAGCAGGCTACAAGCGACGTTTCTGATGGTGGAGAGATTGCCGAAAGAGCATAGTCGGATATTGGAATCGGGACGTCTAAGTCATCTTTGGATGGGAAGACAAGCTAAGGATCGTCAGCATGCCGCTAAGAGAACAGGGGATGGAGCCCACCTTGACTCGGCCATACCCAAGCTTGCGCCGACCCTTCCTTCGTTCAATCAGGTCCTTTCGACCCAGGAATACCACCGCATCCCCAACTATCCTCTTCAGCTTGGCCTCGGCCTTCCTATGCCCTTGCTTGTCAGACCTGTCGATAGAGACCTCCACTTCCTCCAGATACGCTCCTTGCCTCTCGTCTCGGTCAACTTTGTACAAGTCTACCTCGACCTGTTCTTCCTCGTCCCGGGCCGTGTCGACTGCGCTCTCTCTAGCGACCTTCTGCCGTTTATGTGCGGCTTCAATTCTGCGATCCTTCTTTGCCGGCAATGCAACCACTCGACCAACTCGAGCTTTGAGGTTATCCTGTTGTGCAAGGGACAGGCGGGCCATGCTTTCGGACAGACTGGGGCCAGTAGTGATGTTGTGTCGGACGTGAAGGCGTTGTATGTGAGCTAGAGACGAGAAGAGGGATGGTCCTGGGGTCGTCTTTGGCGCAATCTAAGGAGAAAGATCAGTGTGTCGCCCAGATGAACAACAATCTCGTTTTACGCGATATGTCTCTCCATCAAAGATCAAAGGATACCGTCTGCGATTTTGTCAGTACGGCCCAAGGTCAGACGATGAATATACTTTAATAAATGTCCAATCAAAAGCTTGAGGAGAGCTCGTTCAATTTGTTGATCAAGCCAGCTCTGGCTTGGCTCCTCATGATTGTCCGCGTTGAGCGGCAGGCTTTCCATTTCTCCCTCGGGGGCCTCCTCATCCAACTCATCCATCAAAGGCAACAGCGCATCCCCTTCTTCATCGACCACATCGTCATCCCGTTCCAGCTTTCTCTTGCCCCCCGTGCGTGTCTTTACCCATGAGACTCGGACTTCCAAGCGTTTCAAGTAAACGTAAGGGTGCCCGGAAGAGACAAGCTGATGCGGAATAGGGTTGAGAGTAGGCGAGGAGGATATGGGAGTCAGGATGAGGACGTTTGGGTCTGTGCGTGCTTGGGCCACAGGGCGGGTCGATGAGAGAGCGAGAATGGCTGAATTCTGCCACATAGTCAGTAGACGATCACAGGGATGACTACAGCGCTTCTCACATGTCGCAGCATCCCTGCAAGCCTGTTCCGAATCCGTTGTTTGACTTGCCCATTTTCATGTCCCCCTTCCTTCAGAAGCTGATCATCGATGTGCAAACCAATTTCGACTTTTCCTCCTATAGGCACCACGACGTCCACGGTATCGTCTATCCGGGGTGCTTTCGTTTTGGAGGAGATGATGGTGCTTTGGACTTGATAGTGGTGAGTGATGGTGAGTTTTAGGGATGGACGGATGGGATCGGAGGCTGAGGTTGTGAGGTGGGTGGCACGGAGAGCGAGGGGTAGGTCTGGGGTGGGCGCGTTCATGGGTGTTTTGTGATAGCAGAGGTATGGCGTTGTGTTGGGAACATATGTTGCAAGGGGACGCGTGCAACCCCGGCGGCCTCAAATTACGCGTTTCTTACGCGTTTCTACAGGAAGCTCTCCTACATATCAGTGTCGCTCGAGACCCTGCCAACGTTCATACATAAAGCCCATGCATTTGACTTCTGAATTCATTATGATACAACCCAAACGACACAACATTCATTCTCCGACTTCCTGACCACTATGTACCCCTTCTGCATCAAAGCTCAATCAACAACGCCTCCTCCTTCTCCTGCTTTTCCAGCCCATTCACTTCGCCCTGCTGGGCAGGTGCCTCGACAGGTGCATCGGGGAAGATGGTAGGCGGGAGGGGTTGGGGGAAGAAAGCGGCGTTGTAGACGCCTGGAGGAAGGTGCTGTTGTTGTTGTTGTTGTTGTTGTTGTTGTTGTTGCTGTGATTGTGATTGGGGAGGCTGATATTGCCCCTGGGGATGAGCCTGGGATGGGGGTTGAGAGTAGAGCGATTGCTGATGCTGCTGAGGAACAGGCGTCGCCTGCTCTTCAGCTCCCTGCCCTTCCCATGCCGGCGCGCTCCCTTCTAGCTTGGGCGACGGTACTTCGAGCGTCCTCTCCGACCCGACCGAACCCGGCGGCGCACTCGCTGTTTGCTCTGGAGAGAACTGCGGCGGCGCGGAAGGCGCTGAAGGGATATCCTGCGCCTGGACGAGGGGCTGGGTGGGAGCTATAGGCGACGCGGGGTGGGTGGAAAGGTTGACGGGTGGAGGGGCTGATGGTACCTCTTGAGGAGCATTCGGCTGAGCCCGAATCTGAGAGGGATGGCTCGAGATTGCAGGCGCTCCATAAGTCATCGACGTCTGCCTCTGCACCCCCACAGGCTGGACCACTGGTGATACCGGCTGGATCTGCAGCGACGCATGCCTGCTCAACCCCGGTTGGTGAGGCACCTGCTGTATCGGCGATGCGACCGTGGGTACAGGATGGGGTGACCATGCGTGGTTCCGGTGTGCGGGGTACATCTGTGGTTGGTTGAAGGAAGGAGAAGCATAGGGCATGGAAGGGTAGAGTGAAGATTGAGGCTGCGCCAGGGGGGGTTGGTACGCTGGTTGAGGGGCAGCAAATTGCTGGTAGCCATTCACAGGCGGTTGGTAGCCATATGGTTGATACTGCTGCTGCTGGCCGTAGTACATCCCCTGTTGCTGCTGGTACCTCCTCGCCTGCTCATCCTGAGCTCTTCTGACAGCGAATGCCTGTTGGCCATCCAGTATGCCGCCATAGATGTTTATAGCCTGAGAGAGCTTGTCTTGCATCTCCATGAGCATCTCTGTGTACCATGTCAGTGAAGTTCTAATCGTATGTGAACCGACTCACGCTGCTTTGTACTCTTCTCTTCCACATTCCTTCTCAGCTTTTCCCCAACAGCCCCAGCCTGCTCCGCCAACACATGCGCATGGGGAAACCTCCTCAAGTCCCTTTCTCCGTACGCCGACATTTGGTCCATCGTATTTGAGAATGTCAACACTGTCTCGCTTTCCCTGGCATTCAAGTCGAATGTGGGTAGAGGCGGCAATTCAGTCTCTTCGCCGTAGCCTGTTGGAGCCGAAGGGCGGGCCTCGGCATCTCGAAGAGAAGCTTCAATAGCAAGCCGCATCTGCTCATCATCGTCCTCTGCCGCATTATGTACTAGCGGAGGCTCCGAGGGTATCCCATGCCCATGCGACTGGGTCTCGGCCAGGGACAGTTCGATGGCTCGCTGGAGGTCCGCATCGAAATCACTCCTCGACCTCCTCGTGCGCTCGGGCACAGCCGGCGCAGGCGGTGGTAGTACCACCACCTGCTCCTTTCCCTTTCCTGATTTGATCCAACACCCATCGCACACCCGCACTTGCTCTGTGATGCCATACTTTGGTAAAGGCATGTTGTGGCTGGAGCATGCCTGGTCAAAGATGAGACCACAATTACGACAGTGGTGTTTGCGGTTGGTGAATGTAAAGGCGGATTTGCAGCGGGTGCAGACTTCGGAATCGTTCCAGGTAGGGGCGGTGATGGTTGTGAGGAGGTGGTTGGGAACTGACTGGGGAGGTGGAGGGAAAGGAACGCCGGACGCCTTGAGCTCGTTATAAACGTCGCTCAAGAATGAGAGCTCGGCCTTGGACCTGAATGCTACAGCCCACTGTTGAAAGTACACGAGGAGCATTTGCACGACTCCACGACTTGTAGACTGCGCCTTGGTCAGCTTGGATGTATTGCATGGTAGAGTGCACGTACGTCTGAGCGGATCAGGCCGGCTATCTCGTCGACAAACTCTTTGCTGGCAATCTCTATCAAGAAATGATCTCCCCCGTTCTTGATACATGTATCGGTGAGCTATGGTATGATTAGCATGCACCTTTACAATATCAGCGTACTTACCGAGATAGCATACATCTGCACCCGTCCGTTTTTGCTTGCTATTCTCCGCTTCAAGCTTTGCATGGCCAGTTTGGGAGGTACAGTCTTGGCCCGCACCATATCAGCCACCTCCAGGGCTGTCGCCATGTCCTCGGACTGGGGATAAGGCAGGTGGTTGGGGGAACATGCCTTCTCTGAAAGGAGGCGAGAGGGAATGGCCTGGTCAGCGGGGAGTGGGAGACGGGGGGGGCACTCACCAGACAGTTCCTCGAACTGGGGGTTGACGGATGGGCCCCATAGCCAGGACATTGTCGTTGATTGCTCGAATGGCACAACGGGACAGGCGAGGTGGAGGTGGATAAGCCGCAACATGTGAGGAGCGGACATCGCCGACGCGGCCACCCCCGGCTATTCGGGGTTACCACGTTCCAGGCCGGTGTGGCACTTTTCCGCTCACTCAGCGCTCACAACCACAACAGCACTCTCTCCATCCACCTCTCCCAGCTCCTCAGTACCCGTATTCAGAGGCACACAAAAGGGAACACTACTCGCCTCCACCCAACAGATTCCGCCCTCCAGGTCCCCCTCGCGACCCGTCCGACCGCTTCCAACTCACTTCTTGTCCCTTCCGCCGCCCCGATTCACCACGCATACGATACCCCCATTCAACTGTTGTAGGATCCAAAATAATATAAACCAAAAAAATCTAGACCGGCGCGGCACAAACGTAAAAGAAGGAACCCCTCCAACATGACCGTCACCTTTCCCTACTCCTCTGCTCCGACCAAGCAGGTCAAGGAGATTCAGTTCGGTATCATGAGCCCAGAGGAGATTGTGCGTTGGCCTCCATCCGCATCCGCCCTGCGCTAACGGTGCCCTGCAGAAAGCCTTCTCTGTGGCCAAGATCGAATACACCGAGGTCATGGATGAAAATGGAAAGCAGAAAGTCGGAGGTCTCATGGATCCCAAGATGGGCAGTAAGTTGTCCCGCGATTGCGCGGCGATGACTTGTTCACGCTCTATGTTTTTCTATCAGCTATCGACAGAAACTTCAAGTGTCAGACGTGTCTAGAAGGCATGGCAGAATGTCCCGGTCATTTCGGTCACATCGAGCTCGCCAGGCCAGTCTTTCACCAGGGTTACATTGTCAAGGTGAAAAAGATTCTGGAGTGTGTGTGCTTTTCGTGTGGAAAATTGAAGGTGGACACGGTGAGTGTTCAGGCGGACGGTGGAACTTGGCTAACGATCTGCAGCGCGACCCGATGGTGGCGAACGCTGTCCGCCGGATAAAAGCCCAGCACCGACTCAAGGCTATCTGGGCCCTTGCCAAGGACAAGAAGATTTGTGAACCTGACGAGCTTGACGAAAAGAATGGCGATTCGACCTTTGAGGATGAGCATCTGCAGGAGCAACAGGTCAAGGGACATGGCGGGTGTGGTCACGAGCAACCGTTGTGGAGAAAGAAGGGCTTGAAATTAAACGGAGTTTGGAAGCCTACCGACAAGGGCGATGTGCGTATTACCTCGTTTGGAGAAATTTATCTGACGATTCGCAGGAAGAAGCGGCTGAACCAGAAGAGCGCAACATCTCCCCCGGCGAGGTCTACAACATTCTCAAAAAGATCACCCCCGAAGACCTCCACATCATGGGTCTCAATGCCGAATATGCCCGTCCCGATTGGATGATTCTCACCGTCATGCCCGTCCCTCCGGCCGCTGTCCGACCTTCCATTGCGGTCGACGGTGGCGCCATGCGAAGCGAGGATGACTTGACCTACAAGCTCTCGCAGATCATCAAATTCAACGGTGTCGTCAGACGAATGGAAGCCGAAGGTGTGCCCCCCAGTGTCGTCAATGAGCAGTTCGACTTGCTCCAATACCATGTGTGTACCTATATGGATAATGACATTGCGGGTCTGCCGAGGGACCAGCAGAAGGGTGGACGTGCGATCAAGGCGATTCGTGCGAGATTAAAGGGAAAAGAGGGTCGAATGCGAGGAAACTTGATGGGAAAGCGAGTCGACTTTTCGGCACGAACAGTCATTACTGGTGACCCCAATCTTCAATTGGACCAAGTCGGTGTACCGAAGAGTATCGCCATGACTTTGACCTACCCTGAGCGAGTGACGCCTTACAATATCGTCTACCTCCAAATGCTTGTCAACAATGGTCCCGCGACCTATCCCGGTGCCCGATACTATGTCAAGGATACAGGAGAGCGAGTCGACTTGAAATACCGCAAGGGCGGCGAGCCGATCAGTCTGCAATTCGGATGGATTGTAGAGAGGCACTTGAAGGACGGAGACTTTGTGTTGTTTAACCGACAGCCGAGTTTGCATAAAATGTCCATGATGTCGCATCGTGTCAAGTTGATGAACTATTCTAGTGAGTCTATTGTATCCGTAATCGAGCACCACTAACGTTGTTTAAGCTTTCCGTCTCAATCTTTCAGTCACTTCGCCCTACAATGCCGATTTCGATGGTGATGAAATGAACTTGCACGTGCCGCAGAGTGAAGAGACGAGAGCCGAATTAAGTCAGATTGCTTGGGTCCCCAGACAGGTAAGTTGTTCCTTCTTACATGAGACGATGACTCAACCTCGCTAGATTGTTTCACCACAAGCAAACAAGCCTGTCATGGGTATCGTGCAAGACACCCTGTGTGGTATTCGAAAGTTTACCCTTCGAGACAACTTTCTCGACTGGCTTCAAGTCCAGCACATTCTCCTCTGGCTCCCTGAATGGGACGGCACCATCCCCCCTCCCGCCATCTTCAAGCCCAAACCTCTATGGACGGGTAAACAGCTCATCTCCATGACCATCCCCAAGGGTATCAACATTACCTACAAGAACAACGAAAAGCCTTCGCCGATCGATGTGACGGATGAGAATGTCTTGATTGAAGATGGAGAGTTGGTGCATGGTACAATTGTAAAGAATATGGCGGGAAGCGCAAACAACGGTCTTGTTCACGTCATCTTCCGTGAGCTCGGACACATCGCTGCGAGAGACTTTTTCTCTGCCGTCCAGCGAGTCGTCAACTATTGGCTCTTGCACTTTGGTTTCTCTGTCGGTATCGGAGACACCATTGTCGACAAGGCCACTATGGCGGGTATCACCAACCGAATGGTGGAAGCCAAGGAGGCCGTGCAAAAGCTCGTGTCTGAAGCTGAAGCCAACCGAATGAAGCCCAAGCCTGGTATGACCATTCGAGAAACCCTGGAAGCATCCATCGCCAACGAGCTCAACAAGGCGCGTGATTGGACGGGTAAAACCACACAAGACAACTTGAAGGACGACAACAATGTCAAGCAGATGGTTGTGTCTGGTGCCAAGGGTTCTTTTATCAATATCTCTCAGATGTCTGGTGTCGTTGGACAACAGTTCGTCGAGGGTAAGCGTATTTCGTTCGGTTTCCGACACCGTTCATTACCTCATTTCTCACGAGACGACTATGGTCCTGAGTCCAGAGGTTTCGTCGAAAACTCGTATCTCCGAGGTCTTACCCCTCAGGAATTCTGGTTCCACGCCATGGGTGGTCGTGAGGGTTTGATTGATACCGCCGTCAAGACTGCCGAAACTGGTTATATCCAGCGTAGGTTGGTCAAGGCCATGGAGGACTTGAAGGTCGCGTACGATGGAACGGTCAGGAACAGTGTTGGAGAAGTTGTCCAGTTCTTGTATGGTGAAGACGGTATGGACGGAGCGGCTATGGAGAAGCAGGTGAGTGTGTGTGATGTTGCAGGGTTCAGAACTGACGCTTTTGCAGAGCTTGGATATCATTCGGTTATCTGATCGCGCGTTTGAGCGCCGATACAAGATCGATGTCCTCGGCAACAGCGGATTCTCCCGCGGTACTCTTCAAGCTGGCATCGACCAGTCTTCCGTCTCTCTCCAGAAATTGCTTGACGAAGAATTCGAGCAACTCACCGACAACAGGCGTGTGTTGCGTGAAGAGATTTACGAGGACGGAACCCCTGGCCATCCCCTTCCCGTCAACATTCAACGTGTCATCCAAAACTCTCAGCAGATCTTCCACATTGATCCTCGAGTTCCCAGTGACCTTGACCCGGTCTATCTGCTCCAGGAGCGAAACGCTTTGGCGTCTAGGTTGATGGTTGTGCGTGGTGACGACAAGTTGAGTAAGGCCGCGCAGAGAAATGCCACTTTGGTGTTCAACATGCTCTTGCGGTCTCACCTCGCTGTCCGTCGAGTCTTGGAAGAGTACCATCTCAACACGGAGGCGTTCGACTGGGTTATTGGAGAGGTGGAGCAGATCTTCAACAAGGCTGTCGTCAATGCCGCCGAAATGGTCGGTACCTTGGCCGCTCAGTCTATCGGTGAACCTGCTACTCAGATGACGCTCAACACGTTCCATTATGCTGGTGTGGCGAGTAAGTCTGTTACCGGTGGTGTGCCTCGTCTGAAGGAGATTATCAACGTCGCCGTCAACATTCGAACGCCTGCTCTCAACGTCTACCTCGACCCAGAGTACAGCCGTACCGAGCACGACGCGCATCAGATCATGCGAAAGTTGACCTACACGCGTCTGAGAGATATCACGGCTACCGTCGAAATCTTTTACGACCCGAAACTCGACTCTACAGACATTGAAGAGGATAAAGACTTTGTGGATGCCTTCTTTGCCATTCCTGATGAGGACATCCGACTCGAGCTCCACTCTCCATGGTTGCTGCGTCTCGAGCTTGACCGAGGAAAGGTGCTTGAAGGTGGATACGAAATGTCGCAGATTGTCGATGCCATCGCAGAGACTGTCGGCAAGGACGTTTTTGTCATTCATTCGGAAGACAATGCCGACAAGCTTGTCATCCGTATTCGAGTCGTGGCTGAAAAGGAGGACGAAGAGCTGTTGGGCGACGAAGACATGTTCTTGAAGAGGATTGAAGGGACGCTGCTCGACCAGGTCGAGCTTGGTGGTATCACCGGCATCATCCGTGTGTTTATCTCTGAAGGGAAGAAGGTTGTCGTATCTCAGAACGGCGAGTATGACCAGGAGCGGGAGTGGTTCCTTGAAACCGACGGTATCAACTTGAAGGCTGTCATGGCCATTGACGGTGTCGACGCTTTCCGCACCTACTCGAACAACTGTTACGAAGTCTACGAGACGCTCGGTATCGAGGCCGCCCGAAATGCTCTCTACAAGGAGCTCAACGGCGTTATCGAGATGGGTGGTTCTTATGTCAACTACCGACACTTGGCGTTGTTGTGTGACTTGATGTGTAGCAAGGGATCTCTGATGAGTATCACTCGACACGGTATCAACCGAACGGATGCTGGTGCGCTTTCAAGAGCTGCCTTTGAGGAGACTGTCGAGATCTTGTTGGAAGCTGCTGCTGTTGGTGATATCGATGACTGCCGAGGTGTGGCCGAGAATGTGTTGCTGGGTCAGATGGCGCCTATGGGAACTGGTGCTTTCGACGTGTCACTGGACATGAACATGCTCAAGGATGTCATTGTCGACCATCGATTGCCGGTGCAAAACATGATGGTGACGGGTATTGCGGGTGGCATGACTCCGGGTGGAGCGATGACACCGTACGACAATCTGTCGCCGACATGGGGAGACAAGGGTATCTTGGGCGGAGCGGCGTTTTCGCCTATCCAGTCTTCTACAAACGACGAGGCTGGCAACTTTGCCTACATGGGTTACGGACAGTCGCCGATGCACGGTGGCATGTCCCCTGCTGGATACTCTCCTTCATCACCTGCTGGCTATTCGCCCACATCACCCTTCGCTGTTACTTCTCCCGGCTACAGCCCGACGTCACCTTTCGCGGGTGCTGGTGGAGCTTCTCCTTGGGTCGGACGAGGTGGCTATGGTGCTACCAGCCCAGCCTATTCTCCGACTTCCCCTCAGTACTCTCCTACGTCACCCCAATTCTCTCCTACCTCGCCTTCATTCTCACCGACATCGCCTACATACTCGCCTGCTTCACCTGCCTATGGCGGAGCTGGTGGCAACAAGGCGTCGCCATACTCTCCCACCTCACCGGCGTACAGCCCGACGAGTCCTATGGGTGGTATCACCTCGCCCCAGTACAGCCCTACCAGCCCGAGATACAGCCCGACGAGTCCGGCGTTCTCTCCTACGAGTCCGTCGTACAGCCCGACGAGTCCAGCGGCGTTCCAGGCTACGAGCCCGAGATACTCGTACGTGTTGCATCGATTATGAGAAAATAGCTGACATGTATGTAGCCCGACGAGTCCTCAGTTCTCGCCGACATCACCTTCCTACTCTCCTGCCAGCCCGGCGTACTCGCCCACAAGCCCGCAGTATTCCCCCACCAGTCCTGCTTACAGGTAAGTCGGGTCTCCAAGATCTTGTGACTGAGCTGATGTATCGTAGCCCTACATCACCGCAATACAGCCCAACATCTCCGGCCTACGGGGGTGCTGCCCCGCCTCAGCAGAACGGGCAGGCGCAACAGCCTGCTCGACCTGGATGGGGTGGACAGGGTGCAGGAGCTGGGCGTGGAGGGTACGGCACGTCGCCGAGCTGGAAGAGCTAAGAGTTTGAGGGGAGTTGTACGTTAGTGGTGTCTTTTTGTCATTAGGTGTTGGCGATCTTCGAGCGGGATTGAATAAAGCTTGAAATGCATGAATGTCACAGTAGACTGCACTGTTTGGTTCCGGGGGGATCGGCGCGGAGGGGTGTTCTGGGCCGTGTCACCGAGCTGGACGATGGTGTAGTGATGAGATCTCTGCTTGGCAATGGCTGCGCGGAATTTGCAGTGCTTGGTTGGCATGCCCATCTACTCGGTCAGCACTTGCCAGGCACGTGGAAGGAAGCGGGGACGGTCTCGGGGGAGATGCCCGCTGCGGTCAGTTCGGTGAGTGAATCCGCTGTTCGCTGTCCATGGCGGGCATCATCCTCATCGCTTTATGCTTTATTATTCATCGGCGCCACAGGGCCGCTCCGTATATATATTCCCGTATGCACAAGATGCCCCAGCTACCCATACTCCCTTCTTCCACCACAATGTCTGACGATACCGCCGACGTCTCCTCCTACGGCTACACCCCCACTGCCTGGGTCGCCCTCACCTTTGTCTGTGTCTTTTCAGCCTCCGAAATCGTCCACTTCGCCCAAGGGTTTTTCTACAAGTACTACCTCGTCTTTCCCACCCTCATTATCGGGTGTACCCGTGAGTCTGCTGTCCACAAGATGAAGGGATCAGCAACTGACAAAAATGCCAGTCGAAATCATTGGATGGGCAGCTCGATACTGGAGCAGTCAGAATGTGCTTGCCCGTGAGCCCTTTTTGATGCAGATCATCACGTACGTTTTACCATCTGTGACTCTGGCCAATGCTGACATCGGAACAGCCTCATCTTTGCGCCCGTCTTCTTCTCTGCCTATTGTTACACCATCCTCGGCGTGGCCATCAGAGCTCTGGGCCCGCAATACTCTCGCCTTTCCCCCAAATGGGTACGTCCATTTGGTTTCTTTCCCTCCTTACCCCACTAACACGCATGTATAGTATGTCGCTGTATTCGTCTCGTGCGATTTCATCTCCCTCATCCTGCAAGCTATCGGCGGCGGCTGGGCAGCCTCCACAGACGTATCCCCCGTACCCCATACACCGACCAATATCATGGTCGGCGGTATCATCTTCCAGCTCGTCACCATGATCATCTTTTCCTGCCTCGCCGCCGACTTTATGTGGCGGGCGCATACTAGAAAGCCTATCGAACGACGTGCTGCCGCCATTCAGCAGCAGGAGTTTGAGTTGGCAGATGCGGAGGCTGCTCAAAAGGGGAGTTTGAGGGATAGTCGGGCATCTTCCGTTGAGGACACTTCTGTCAGACAACGTGAAGTGCGGGGTTGGTGGTTCGTCATGCTCGGTGTCGCCATCTGCAGTATCTGCATCATCCTCCGAGGCTTCTACCGTTCTTTCGAGCTCGTCCAAGGATGGGATGGGTATCTGGTAAAGCATGGTAAGTCATCTCAGACTGGGTGTTGGGCGAATACTGATGAAGAGCAGAGGTGTACCAAGATGTGCTTGATGGTATCCCCATGATCATCGCCATTGCGTCAGTCAACATTTTTCATCCGGGCTTCTTCCTTCCCAGGCGACAAGGATGGAAAAACCTCTAGTCGTCTCGCTCTCATCCTTCGACGTATGGTGGTGCGTGCATATAGATGGAAACGACAAAAGAAGCTTGGTATACGGACAGCTGCAGAACATTATATTAGAAGCCAAGACATCTTTTGACACTTACGTTTCTTTATCTCTTGATCTCCTGTAAAAGTTTTCGTATGATATAGATATGCAACTGCTTGCTGTCCATCATCATTTCATTGTACTGGTGCCATATGTGTAGTTGCGTCAGACAGACGGTGCTGTGAATAATATCCGGTCCGCGCGTAAAGATTATTTACCACATGGTAAGGAGCTGAATTCCAAAGAACCTATACATAACATATTTGCATCGTCACTATTGCACAATACAGCCACCAGACCTGCGAAGTGTCTCTGGTGGTGGTTTATAACGGATCATATTGGTGACGTCAGTCCCCCCCCCAATGCTTGTTCATCTCTTCTTCCCATCGTTGTGCATCACCTCCAAGCTCTTCAGCAAGCTCCTATTTGTAGGCACATCATTAGCCGGCTGTGATTTTCTGCTGCTACGAACAACGAAGAGACCCACCCTCCAGTGAAGACCCAAATTCTTGAGCCTTTCAACAATCAAGGCCAAGCCGACACCGATTAGGGATAGCTTGCCCGAAATGTCGTCATCTCAAGGCTTGATGTGGATGACTTCTTGCTGAGAAAGATGATCCAGCAGAACAAGGCATTCTCTGTCGAGCACGTCATCAGGGACATGCCATCCAGATGGAGCACAGTGATGGAACTCACGATGATAGAGAATCGAGCAATTTATAGAGTTCAACAGACACCTGTACATGTGAGACGTATATGACGAGACTTGCACAGAGAGCATTGGATACAGAGGTATAGATAACAGCCTGCGAAGCACTATCAGATCTCGACATAACCAGGTGACAACGTCGGAGAGACCCACGATGAAGAAAACGGAGATGGGCACGATGTTACGTCTGAACGCATACTTCTCACCAATATCTTGGACCCTCTTTCCCCAAAGCTTGATTCCCTTGGAAGAGCCTCGGCCTTCATCCGCGGTCAGGAAGCTTTCCTCTGATATCTTATCGAGATAGTAGTTGAATCTGTTCTTTTGAAGTACATAGAACTTTTGAGCAGCAGCCAAAGCAAACTTGTACGGCACGCTAGAAGACCAATGAACTTCGACACTCCCCGGATCTACACGCGGTCGGACAGGCATAGCTGGGATGATAAGAAGAAGTCAGTGGCGAGGAGGCTGAAATATTGCAGCCGTGGGTATATATGCAGGGCAGACAGCATGATGGGCGTTGCTTGCCATCAGAGCTTTCCTTCGGGTGGCTGCACCGACGTGTTTTTTCTTGTCCTTGCCAATGCCATAAGAGGGAAACGTGGATCCGCGGCAATTGACCTCATGTTGATCATTGTGCCACGACCTCGTGATCATCGAGACCGCTACGTTGCGCCGGATTGTCAACGTCCTATGCCGACCGACATGTCAGCTACTATTAGACAGTACAGCTATGCATAGCAATTGTTGTATGAAGCAGCCAACAAGTCAATATTCTCGTCAGCAGTAAATCCCTCGGCACCCCCTGGCATCGCGCATATCCCCATTCAAGAAGGTGTTCTGCATCAGACGAAAACCTCGATGAGTTTTTCCCTCTTTGCTGGTGCATGGATAAAGGTTGAGAGGGGCAGACATGAGAAAGAGAGACATATTGAAAAAGTATAACAAGATGCAAAAAGATGGCGCCACCCGGGATCGAACCAGGGACCGCACGAATGGGATCCAAGAATTGAACTTCAGTCGTGCGCTCTCCCAACTGAGCTATGTCGCCTTTCATGTAAGCTTCACTTAGTGGTTCAACAGGTCCCAGTACAGCATATGTGGAGATGGCGTCACGTCCCCCGTCGGCTGTCTCCCCACAATCTTGAGAAGACACTGCCAACGCAACAGCACAGCGGTCGACACCCCACCGCCCAATGTCCCATTGAAAGCCTACAGTGAGGCATCCCAGGCAAAATTCACCGCCCAGCCGCCAGATCCTTGCGCACATATATAAGGCTTTGACGATCTGACGAACGATCTGACGATCTGCTCCTTCTTCTGTGGTTGCGTATCTGGCCCCGAATTCGTAAGCCTCTTCCTTCTACCTCACAATACCAGTCCGCAGCCTTCTACATGCGTTCACCTGGCGTCTGCCTTTGACTTCAAAAGGTGATCCCTCAGTGTCCTTTAGGGCTTGCCTTGCATGTCGACCCGAAAGCGTACAGCGGGCCCTGTCGCTCTTTTGTCTCTCCTCGCAGATATCTCCATCTGGGGTGCCTCTTCTCTATCGCTTCTCACCATCGTCCTTCGACTTTCAAGCTGACTCTGTACTCTTTGACCAGATAACAGAACTATGGGTATCCTGTCCCGTATCCGACAACGATCGTCCAGTATACATCATGATACATCAAGCCGCGTATCATCCTCCCCTGCACCCCACTCCCCGTCCGCTTCAAACCTTCTCTCTACCCCCCAAACGCCTGGGACGCCTGGCACAAGCTACAACCCCAGCTCACCTGCTGCGGCTTCGATATCGTCCAAAAAGTCCAGACGGCCATGGAAGAAGAGGGAAGAGTCGGAAGATGTCATTGGAACCAAGTCTAGCTGGGGGAGGAAGAGTGTAGGCAAAGACTTGGAGAAGGAAAAGGAGACGGAGAAGGGGGGTGATGAGAGTATAGGTGGAGACTCGCAGTATGCCGACTTTACGCCACCGCCCGTACCAGCTCTGTCACTCCCTGCGCTGGGATCCAAAGAGGGGTATCAGTCTAGCCCCCTCTTGAACAAGACGCCATCATCAACAGGCGATCAAGAAAAGGGCAAGTCCCGCACTAATAGCGGCGTCTTCAAGCAAGACGGAGGACTGTTAGGAAAGCTCAATTTCGAGCGTGGGGACAGAGAACGAAAGGTCTCCAACTCTAGCTTCATTCTCAAAGTGGAACCGGAACTCAAGCCCTCCCCGCCGAGACGATCCAGCGTGCCCGGCACGCCTTCAGAAGAAGGTGAATCGCTAGTCGTGATCGACAGCCGTGATCTCTCCCCGGAGAAGGACGAGAAGACTCCAGAGTCTAAGCACCCACTTTCAACGTCCGTAATGACCCATGATAGTCAGCAGGAGGAAGATCCGATGGAGGTGCTGGAGTCTGCTGAGAAGAAGCACAAGTTTTGGAAGAGTAAAGGAAAGGTCAATAGACATTCCAGAGTCATGAGTGAATCTCAAATCGAGAGGGTGAGTACGTTTCCTCGACAATTCTTCTCGCTAATCCAAAATAGCCTGAATCGCCCTCTCCCGTCAAGCTTCCTACATCATCCACGGCCGACAACTTGTCTAGCCAGGCGAGAAGGTCCTCCGAGTCTACTAGACCAGCTCGACCTCCGCCCCTCCGCAGACCATCGTCCTCCTTCCTTGCCAACCCTTTCAACCGATCAGTCTCCCGAGCAGGAAAAAGATCCCCAGCTACCGACGAAGGGACTTTTCAGCTCAGAGGCTTTCGACACGTATCAGGCATGTCTGACGTTGAAAGCGCCGGCAAATTGGAAGGCTATCTTTCGCACGCCAAGCGCGAGTCGGTCTTGGCACTCGTCAAGTCGACTACGTCTGTCGACGACAGTATCCCCTCTCACTCACCTTCGGCCTACTCGGCTCCGCGCCATTCGAGCTACGTTCCTCTGACCAGGCCGCCCAGTGCTGCTCCGTCACTTGTCTCTCTTGACGATGTCCTCACTAGCTCCAATCGGGTCAGTGTTGGTGCATTCCGAAAGGGTCTCCGACGGCCGAGTGCTCAGTTGACGAGTACCATGAGCGATGTCGGGCACGGGGCGAGTCGGTATGATGAAGATGACGACGACGTGCCCCTAGCTATGCGTCAAGTCTCTCAGCCAGTTATCCGACCAAAAAGCTCGCAATCGCTGTCAAGCATGCGAGGGCTTGGGCTGACCAATGTTGGGGGCATCGCGGTACCGAATGAGATTGAGACTGTCGCGCAAGTTGCTCCCGAGCCTGGACATCAAGAAGTGTCGGGGCGAGAGATTGACAGGACGGAGAGCCCGGCTCTCAGTTTCCAAGTGCGACCACGAACACGGAACAGGACCAGCTCTGGCTTTGTAGTAAAGGGGAGAAGTCCGAAAAGCCCACCCGAGAGTTTGGCAAAGAGTCCAGCCGATTCCTACTTTCCTTCCATGGCCAATGCGTCAGACTCTCTGCGAGCAAGCCCCGTACAAACCCGCGTTTCTTCTCCTGCCAATGGTGAAAGTAAATCTGTCACGCCCCTGCCACGTTCCCCGGCAGAGGCTTCTGAGGAGGTCTACAGCACTCCCCCGACTGCGGCCAGACCTGTGTCTTTGCATTTTTTGAAGCCAAAGCCTGATTTCGGCGAGCATGCTTTCCCCTCGCCCCTCGATACGGCCAGGCAGCCTTCTCAATACCTGAGTCGATCTCAAGAGTCTCAATCTGCTCTGAGATCACCACCTCCTCCAGAGCCCCTCGGTCTGCCCGAGCCAGGACAGGTTTCTCCCACTCTATCTACTCTCAACCTTCCTTTGCCGCCTGATCAGATGCCCGATACACCACCAAAGGGTCCTGTACCTCTCCATCAGCTCTCTCTCCGCCAAGACTCTGGTGGTCCTCAGGCTACTTCTCCAGGTACGCCAAAAAAGCGACTGTCATTGTTGGAAGAGCCAATGCGGTATCTGTCGGGTCTTTGGACATCTCCGGGTGCTGGGGAGGATGGTTTTGATCCGGTATTGGCGGCAAACTCTCTGAGAATATTCGGAGGTGATGAAGTCCAGTCGCCGACCACAGCGGATGATAAGGACATGGCGTTTGTCGACAGACAAGCGTCTCCGACTCCCGTTTCCGCGCCTGCTCCTATTGCCGAGCGTGTAAGGTGTCCACTATCCGAGCGGCTGGCGGGGGTGGCAGCTCTCAGCGCTTCCGGATCCTCTGGAAACTTGGCAAAACCGGAGTTTGAAAAGCTCAAGACTGGCGATGATATGCTTCAACCCCAGCGCGACATGGACGACGCAAAGTCACCTGCGAGCGATGATACTGCTACTCCCGTATACCGACCCAGTCCCCGTCCATTCTCTAGCTTCATGAAGCCTTCCACTAGCAAGCGCGGAGAGAATGAGGAAAGCGGCAGTGAGACCGAGGGCGAGCGTCCTGGTCCTTCCGTCCAGGAATCCCGTCGAGTACAGTCTCTCTCGCTTCGCCAATCCACCAGACGGGCCCCGGGAGGACCTCGACATCCCAACCGCTCAAGCCGCATTGCGTCTATGCCCATTACCACCTCTCAGATGGCGCGTAAAGAGTCCATTGCGAGAAACATTCACATTGGGGACAGCGACGATGACGACAAGCCGCTCTACACTGTAAAGCGTCGTATGCCCAGATCCTCGTTGGCTGCGGGCAAGTCTCCCGTATATGGTCAATCTGATCTGCCTACACCACCTACGAGTATTGCCAATGCTAGCCTGAAGTCAGCTAGTCCCCCTGAGCGGCGTAGGCCTCTTATCGATATGGCTCCTGTTGTACCCATCACGCCTCGCTCCATTGGCGAGAGTTCTGTCGAATCTGCTTCAATCTCAAACAGACCGCCCGACAGATCTCAAACTTCGACCCCGGCGTCTGGTCAGCTACCTTCGCCAGTGAAGGCCCAAGTCAGGTTTGATAGCCCTGCAAAGAGGCCGGCGAATCCGCGAAGGACTACGGGCGGGAGTGACAAGGGTTCGAGGAAAGGCGAAAGTGGTGTGCGCAGGAGCAACAGCCGAGAAGCTTTGCAGAACGGCCAAGTAAGTACAAATACGGCATCACTTGACACTGCTGATTGCCTTTGTAGGAGCGCGATAGACGGGAACGCAGGAGATCAGAAACGGGCTCAAGACATCCATCGCCTTATGATCCTCCTGTGCAAGCTCAAATGGGCACTCAGCCCATGCCGGATATGCAGCAAACGTCCCAAGAAGCTTATCTGTAAGTCTTGCCCGTTCAGCCTGGAATCAGATACTCATCTAGTATACTCGTAGGGCATGGCAAAAGCACCAATGGCAAATGCAATACCTAGCTGCCGCTTATCGTGCCTCCGAGGACGAGTGGGAACGCCAAAGCGCCGTGTCAGGTTCTACAAACCAAGGCCCATCTTCCCAATTCTCGCCTTATTCCATGCCCCCCATGCCCATGTTCAACCCAAACATGAACATGATGAACACGGGAATGCCTATGGGCTACCCAGGGTTCCCGCAGATGCCTCAACAAATGCCCCCGCAAATGTTTAACCCTTTCTTCGGGATGGGTCAACCGCAACATATGCAGCAAGGAAACGGTGGTGGCTATGCCTATGGGAAGGGTGCGCAATCGGTGTTTGGGGGCGAATTTGGCCCGCCCTCGAATATGCCTTCTCAGCAGCGCCAGATGAACGAGGCTATACGGACAAGTTCCATTGATCAAAATATCTCGCCTCCTCGCAAGTCGCACAACGATCAACGAGCCAAGACTAGAAGCACCTCGGCTCTTGGTGTGAGGAGACCATCTGCTACTGAGCCATCTCCTCTCAAGGATCGACTGGCACAGCATCCTTCGGGCGTCTTCCTGGGGTTACTGGCGGAAAGGGAAAAGGTCGAGTTGCGGGAACAGATGGAGCGATCTGCACACGAGAATCTAGAGAAACAGCGTAGGGTGTCCAAGGAGGGCAAGAGTAGTGAGCCTAGACGAAATACGCAGTCTCGTGTTTCACCACCGTCAAGCTGGAGTCGGCGGTCCGGAGAGTGGTCCAGTGGAGAACACGGAGCGAGTTCGCGGCCCAATGGAGGCAGAGCTTCAATGGCGGCTTGATGAGGTTTTCTAATGATCCATAGATTTTTTTCACGCATGTCTGTAACGTAGAGTTTAGTATTCTTTGAGCATTGTTACTTGGATCCGCAGCTGTATACATATGACGAGTAGAACATGGCATAATACTGCATCGGCTTGAGTTTGTGGGCGGGTCGAACGGACAGGGTTCTCGTCGAACGCACGGTCTTTGACATGACATCCGATGCTGCAGGTCATGTACCAGAACTCTGCACACAAAGCTGTCTCGACATGTCAGCCACAGCATATGGTAGTACATGATCGATTATTTTCTCTTGATATCTAAATTCTTTGTATTTTCTGTTCCCCCCCTCGCCTATCGTACACTTTTTATTCTTCCAGGACACTTGCCCCCTCATTCTTGTAAGACCACAAAACGTTTCTATTCTAAACACCGAATATATGAAACAAGGGCAAAAAAAAGGCGAATGATAGTCGACAGAAAGAAAAAGGGCTCCTATTCTACATGAAAGAAGATGATGACTTTCGATGAATTTGTTTTGTTGTCTGTGCTGTCTTGTTTGACTAGTAATACATTATGCTCTTGGATCTATCTTCTCGTCAGCCCCGCACGCAATGGACGCAACAGACGACTCACCATCCTTTGAAACCATCGACATCCAGATCCTCGACTTGAAGATCCTGAAACACTCCTTCGTAAGGTCCCTGAAGTCGACCCTCTTGTCGGCTTTAAAGTAGAAGGTGAGCTTTCGGCGGTCCCTACTTGGTCATTAGCTTGAATCTTGGACGGAAAGAGGGCTTTGCGCACCATTGATACTCTGCATCGACAATCTGCATGGGCAGACCTCGCTGGAGGACCTTTTCGCGACCAATCATCATGGCATCGTATTCGTCCTGTGCCTTTTCGCGCATCCTCCTACAGTCTCATTAGCGTCAAACACAACGACTACAGGTTGAAACTGACTGCTGCTCCTCCACCCCCTGACTGCTCTTTGCAAAGATCCTCTTGGGCGCAATCTCCTTGGCCAAAGGTCCCCTCACAGCCGTAGCCCCACCGGCAACTTCCATCTGCCCTCCCGGCCCCACACCGGAGAACAAGTCATCCAGGGACAGACTCGCCAGCTCCATCCCATGCAACAGCAGCCCAGGCTGGTTCCGTCCTTGAGAGAGGGACGGCATACGTTGATGCCCGCCGGGACCCTGGGGCGGGGCACCGTCCATACCCATCCCAGGCGGCTGGTGCTCCCTCGCCCCGCTGAGCAAAGCCTTGGTAGCCATCCTCTCTTGCCACTCGCGCACGTCAACAGGGGTCACCTGGTCCGCTACGACAACTCCCAAATCGCTCCCGCGATCCGCCTCGACGATTACACGGTCACCGTTGCTGATGAGCAAAGTCGGGTCGGGGCAGTAGTAGACATCGCGGCGGCCGGCTTTGAATGTGACGATGTACAGAGGGGTGGATGCCGGGAGGGAGGAGAGGGGAAGGCCTTTACCGAGGTCGGAGAGGGAGAGAGAGGAGAATGAGGGGGAAGTGGGAGCTTGGGGCTGGGATGCCTGGGGAGCAGGGGTGGAGGCGGGCATGTTGGGTGGACTGTACTCGGTGCGAAAGTTGCTGTTGGGAGGGACAAACTGCTGGGATGGCGTAGGGGGGACAGGTGGCTGACCGGGCTGGTAAAATCCATAGCCGCTGCCCACAGCACCAGCCGGAGGCCTGAACCCTTGGTTGGGCGGTGCAGGCGCCTGGTATGGCGGTCGCGCCGAGCCAGGAGGGAACGGCATAAAGGTCGGTTGCTGCATGAGCGAGTTTGCAGGTGGAGAACCGATGGGTCCTGGACCTTGCTGAGACGGCTGGGAGATGTTGCGGGGCAAACTCACGCCGAGAGATGAGCCGAGTGGGGGCGCATTCTGAGTACGCGGGCGTCCAAAGTTGGGCGGCTCGGGGGCGTACTGGGATGGACGGCGAGGCTCGGGAGTTCTCTCTACCTGGGGCACTTGGGGAGAAGGGCCCCTGCCTCTTCCTAATCCTCCGAATGGCCCATCGAATTCGTTCCCGTATAAGCCCTGCGCATTCTCCCTCTCGATATCCAAATTCAGCGCATTACCCAGGTCATTCTCCAAGCCATACAATCCCCGACTGGGAGAGTATGGGGTGATACCCATACCGCCTTCGTTGACCCATTCTCGCCTACCACCAGGGCCGCCGACAACAGAGACTGAATGGCGCCTACTGGAAGCGCCGGAACGGCCCTCCGAGCCCGTCGTCTCGGCAAAAGTCGCTGCACTGCCTGTATGCGTCGGCTGGTACCCACCCAGCGCTTTCGCGACAGAAGACGTCAGAGCCGATTGAGTATTCGAGTCTGCCCACGCCGCGCGGGCAGAGGTATAAGTCGTATCTTGCTGCAGCCTGGAGCGCGGCAACTCTTGGGTATTGACCAGGTTTGTCAGGCCGCGGGTGAAGGGCGACATGTTGGAGGCGTCGGACGGACCCCAAGTGTCGAGCTTGACAAAGGGACTGCTGTCCAGGCTGCTCATGGGGGTAAAGTACCCTCGGTCGATGAAGGACGGGCGGACACCAGCAGCCAAGGACTGGGAGCGGGATCTCGAGACATTCTGCGCTGCTTTTGGAGGCGAGTGCGGCAGAGGCTGCTGGCGGATCGCCGCGGGGGAGGTGGACGGCGTCGAGGTTGGGGAAAAAGTAGGGAATGGGGAAGTGGACTGGGAACGGGACGGGACAAACTCTTCGGTATGCGAGGAGAGCGTCCTGGCCAGAGACAGATTCTGCCAACGTCAGCACTGCAGCAATGTAATCCCGCGACTCTTACTCTTTTCTGGGGCATCCTCTCGCCGGCGGAAAAGCTGCTGGCGCGGGTGACGGGCCCCATACCTGCGAGTGCGTTTCCAAAGCGACCTGTTGAGCGGGTACCGCCAATCACACCAAAGTTGCCATTCCCATTGACGGCTGGGGCAGCGTTGGGGTGGGCGTGGGGGACGGGAAGACGCTCGCCGGCGGGCTGTGATGCGGCGCGGGTCTTGTACTGCTGTGTTGTGGCGCCGAGGGATATGGTGCGGGTGGGGGGGCGGCTGTGTGACTGGGGGGGCGTGGTGGACATGTATGGTCTAGTGTCTATGTGGTAGAGAACAAGATCTGACATCTAGCCGGAGAAGTCAGATGACTATGATGTCAGCACATTCGAGGGGCTTCTGGGGCCCAATGGGGCATAATAATGGGCTGCCACAGGGATAAGCCCGGGTTACATAAGCAGCGGGTCGCCACCCATTACTCCTCCTGCACGTAATTACACTCTACACTCTACATCATCCGGGATGTTTGTGCTCAAGGCGACGCTCAAGGACGAGACTCGCCGTCTCTCCTTCGACACCACCCGCTTCCCCAGGTACTCGGACGTCCAGGCAAAGGTGCGCACCCCCATCGAGTACTCAGCTCACCCCCAGATACGCGCCATCTTCAACCTCCCCTCCACATCCCACCCCTACTGGGTCAACGTCCTCCTCTTCCCAGACGACTCGCGCGATGCCAGGATCATGTTCAAGCAGCACGTCTGTGATGTCGAAGAGTGAGCCGCTAACCTCGCAGCCATATCCCGCTGATTCCTTTGTCTAGATACGAATCCGCCCAGCTGCCTTTCGTCCACACCATCGGCACCTCGCCCGCCTTGGTGTTCACCGTACTCCTCACCTCGGATCCCCGCCTGGACTCTATCCATGGCTTCCACCGCGCCAACCGCCTCATCAGCTCCTTCCAAGCCTCCACTATGCGCCTTCAAGTCAAGGAGAATGAGCTTGTTCACGAGTGCGCCCTGCTGACTGCGCTCGAGGCAAAGGTCCAGGACTGCATGCAGGTCGGCGATCAGACGGGCATCGCCTTTTGGTCTTCCCGCGCGCAGGATAAGCGAAACAAGGTCGCTTCTTTCGAAGAGACGGTCAAGCAGATGCGACACGATATCGAACAGCTCAACCAGCAGCTCGACAATGTGCCGGCCGAAGGATACTCGCACAGCAGCTTGCGTGATCACGCCCAGGCTCTCGGCCGAGAAGAGACCCTCCGCTCGCAGCAGACTGCCGAAGAGCTCGAAGCCTGGCGTCTTGGTGAAGAGCTCAACCAGCAAGACGAAGGTGCATTCCCACCCCTCGAAGCCGTCATCAACGGCGGCCGCCGCGGCAGCCATCCTCACGGCCCAGGCTTCTTCCGCCCCAGCTTCCCGGGGATGGCGCCACCTCCGCCTCATGGCCACCCGCGGGCATTCCCATTCTCCCACTTTCCGCCTCCCCCTCATCCTCCTGCGTTCGGCCCGCCCTTCTCGCACGAGAGGATGCAGAACCACGAGCGCAAGATCAAGGGTATCCTTGATAGCGTCACTGAAATCCTAAACCCGAGCAACCCGAATGGACTCGTTCCCGCGCAAGAGATAAAATCGATGCTCGACGGCTTCTTGGGAAACCTCACCAACCAGCTTGCTGGCACGTTCGAAGGCTCCCCCCGCGTCTCTTCCACGCCCGAAGCCGAGCCCAAGATCCCCGGTGCATTCGTCTCTTCCCCCGTCCAGAACGACGTCTCCACCCAAACCACCCCGACCGAAAAGACGACATCCGCGACCAAGCTCGGCGAAGGCGGATTCCGCCACCGCCACATCTGGTGTGACGGCTGCGAGCAAGAGATTCGCGGGATGCGATACAAGTGCGAGCAATGCTCCGACTATGATCTCTGTGGCTCTTGCTTGCCGCTCCTCAACACGGCCGCGCTCCACCCCATCACCCATTCGTTCAAGGCCATGCTCCACCGCGACCTCCAAGATCGCATCAAGCTTACGGCGGATGGGCTTGCTGACGAGAGCCAGATGCACCCTGCTACGTGTGATGTCTGCAGCAGGAACATCTTGGGGGTGAGGTGGAAGTGTCTTAATTGTCCGGATTGGGATGCTTGTGGCGTTTGTGCCCAGGGGTTGGGGCAGAAGCACCCGGGACACAGCTTTGTCAAGCTCTACAAGGCTGGTGATTATGTCACTGATAAAGGCATGGAGGCTAGGGACAAAGTCGCTCATCCTCACGTCTCTTGCGACGGTAAGTCTCCTACAAGTCTTGTTGAGGCTGGCTGACGACACATTGCAGGCTGTGAAGCTCGTATTCACGGCATCCGCTACAAGTGCATGCACCCCTCGTGCCCCGACTATGACCTCTGCCAAACATGCGAGGCCCACCCCGCCACCGTCCACCCCGTAGACCACCCCATGCTCAAACTCAAGGCACCTCTCCGTGTAAAGTTTCAAAGCTCATACGAGCAAAAGACCCGTTCCCACGCTTCGTCCACCAGCTCGCCCGAAAAGGAATCGCCCGAAAAGGCCAAGTCGGACAAGATGACGACGACGGCGAGTTTCAAGGCGAATAAGGTGAAGCCGCATGGGGATGCGTTCGGGGCGAGGACGGGGGGGCAGTGGCAGCAGCATGCGCATGCGGAGCATTCTCCTGCGCCTGGTGCGAGGGCCAAGGTTGTGGAGGATTTGCTCTCGTGGGCGGGTACTTCTGATGTCAAGAAGGAGGAGCAGCCAGAAACTCCCAAGGCGGAGAAGAAGGAAATTCTTGCGGTCAACCCTGCACCAGAGGTGAAAGCCGAGGTGCCCGCCAAGGCTGAGGAAGCTCCCGAGCCGGCCAAGGTTAAGATTGAAACTCCCGAGCCGGTCAAGGAGCCCGTCGGGCCTCTAGATATCTTTTCCTACGTCCGCCACGTCACCATCCCTCCCGGCACGTCCCTCCCCGCTGGTACAGTCTTTACAAAGATCTGGAAGTACAAGCATTTCGCTTCCGGTGACGAGTACCCCTTCGGGTCCATCCACCTCGAGCATCAGAGTGGACAATCGCTCATTGGAGGCGTCGAGGGGTGTAATGTCAAGTTTGTGGTTGACAAGAATGATGTCAAGGAGGGGGAGGAAGGCGAGGTGAGGATTGAGGGGTTGAAAGTACCCGAGAGGAAGGGAGAGGTGTTGGAGTGGTGGAGGTTTGTTGATGAGAAGGGTGTCCAGTATGGCCAGCCTTTCAGGTTGAGGTGCGTTCTTGTTTTTCAGTGAAAGGGGCCGAGCTGATACAAATTCGTAGGATCGCTGTGGCTGAAGACTTGGCTGCCAGCCGCAACATGTCTGCCTCGAGCTTCATCATGCCCAGCTCGACCTCTACGTCCGAGCCCGAGCCCGCCGCTCCCAAGCAAGACGGATCCGTCCCTTGCGGTACCCTCTACCACCACTACAAGACCTCCGCCGCTGGTGCTGACAAGGGCGCCTCGACCGAGAGCAGCCAGTACCTCTCCCCGCCCAGCTCGCCCTCTCTCCCACCCGTCACCTCTCGCAGCCGATCCGTCATGGACGACGACGACGATGATGACCTTTCCGTCGTCTCGTACGACTCGTATGTCGATGTGGAAGGGGTCAAGACGGGTACGACTCAAAGTGTGACGAGTGGGCTTGCGGATGGTGAGGAGGGGGAGGCGGTGGAAGCTGGGAGCGATGAAGAGTTTGAGGTTGTGGAGGATAGTGAGGAGGAGATGACTGCTGATGAGCTCGAGAATGCTTAAAAACAAGTGTCTCGCCCGTTTCTCTTATTGTATATTGACCAAAGTTCTTTTTGCTGATTGCCACCACCACCACTCTCGTTGTCAAATTATCGTATTGTTTACATGTGTCTCTTGAAAGTCATTCGCTGGCGATCTGAATGAATCAAGAAGAGAAGAAGTTGATCCAAAATCTCAGAAGTTTCCCCCACCCGCCTTTTTGTTTGTAGAGAATGAAGCCTTTTGTGTATAGTTTTGAATATTTTGCACATGCATTTTCTGACAGGTAGACAGACTATTATGCGAGTTGATTGATATGTGGCAGAATGATGATATTTCGGGACACCGAACGTTGAATGATGGGGTGGTCCGCCAAGTGCAATATGTTTACTTTCCCGGTGCGACTTTTCCATATCTTTCTCTATCTGTCTCTGTATCTCGTCTCTTGTTCTCTCCAACTTCTCTGGCTCTCTCCACGCCACGATGCCAGTCATCCCCAGCATCATCTCCCCACCCCGGCACTCCCACTCGGCCAAGTTCAAGACCGGCAACTCTCACACCGTCATGCACCATCGCCTTTACGCCCCCTCCGAGTACCCCGAGGATGAGCATGGGACTGCAGCTGAACCGGAGCAGAGCAATACCCCTAGGCCGAGGAGGGGGAGCGAGACCAATAGCGAGCGTATTACGGCCGGATACTGGAGTCTTTTTGACGGCTTGGTATGTCCCAGCCCAGTGTTACCTGGACGGAAGCTGACCACCGCAGATGGATCCGCCCAATCTATACGCACCCTCCAGCACCAGCAGCAACAGCGACCCCGACATGACCATGCCCGCCTACCTCGCCCACCTCGAATCGCACCATTCCCACCACCCTTCCCCGGCTCTCTTGGACCATTGCTGTCGCACGGCAAGCTCTGCATGGTATAGATCTCAGTGGAGGCCGATTCCTGAGACTGATAGAGGGCCAACTTTACTGGAGACTTGGGGTGATGTGAGTGTGCATGGTCTTGGTAGAGGATTCGGAGACTGATGGGGATGATGTAGGAGAGGGAGCGAACGCCTACTCGGCTTGCACCCCGACAAAATACCACACCTGTTCAAACGCAGAATCGTCAGCCTGGCGCCCACGATTATCATCATCGCGAACCATCCACTCCCACCAAACCTCGCCGGGCTCCTGCACACCCCTCGCTTAGACACCGGATCTCCAACCTCTTCACTCGCGGGCTTGCCCCTCTTGGTCCGCCGCAAGTTGCTCCCCTGTCTGGTACGTCCCGAAGTGTGAGAAACACTCGCTCGACACCAGGGTTGGATGAGATGGGACGCTTGGTGTCTACAAATGACCAGGCTACTGGGACGGCTGTTGGACGAACCGAAATGATGTCTTCCAGACAGACACCTACCATCACTTCCGTCAGGTCGCCCGAACGTAGTCACTCAGCGCAGAGTAGCCAGCCTTCGTGGTTGCGTAGCGAGCGCGAATCTTCCAGTGATGAAAACAACTCGCACGTGAATGTCATTCCTCCCAGTCTCTCCTGCGGCGTCGAGAGCGATACACCACCTCCTCCGCCCTATAGTGCGCCTGTCGACGAGTTTAAAAGGGGCGCAAGGCCAGGCCTACTCCGCCCAAGTCACCTCCAATACGCACGATCGAGCCAAAACTTGCGCGGAGGACGGTACAGTCCTTATGGTAGCTCGAGTAGCTCGAGCGGCGACAGTACGTCTAGGGACCGACGAGGATATGCACGATTGTGCAGCAATCAGTCCTCCCGCCTTCGCTTCAGCGAAGACTCTGACAGGCCGACCGCCCCTTTGCTCGGCCCTGTTACACCTTCGACGATGCACCACTCGCGTATCAGCCGGGATCTTCGTCTCCCATCCCCAGCTCACCCAGTCGGGCCTACTTCCAACAGCAAGACTGCCCTCCCTCCATGGGGATCCTTCGATGTGGTCGGGGATAGGAACGAGGTTCAGTCGTTTGGCAACATGGGTTTCGTGGATCACCTGTTGGATGAGCCCCAGCAGGCGATGAATGAGAATATGGCCAGGCGCATGTCAGGCATGAGCATGGAGGTGGATGCTCCCGAGCCTGGGGCCGACAAACTCTTGGCTCTGGCCCTCTCCCCGTCTCCCTCTGTCACCTCTGCCTCTGCCTCCGAGACGACCGTGTCGGCACCTTCATCGACCGACTACGAGACCGCCTCCGTCGTGTCCTCGAGAGAATCCGCCCCCGCCGAACCTACGATCCAGCTCTATTCCCTCTACTCTGTCCACATTGCGCGCTTTGTCGAAGCCGTCCAATATCGCAACGCCCTGCATGCCGACAACCCTTCCTCACTGCCTACATTCACCATCAATGGCACCGTCGTCCGTACTTGGGACGAAGCTACTCGGGTGGAATGGGACGCGCAGAGTTTATATCCGGTGGCAGAGTATTGGGCTTGCAAGTTTAAGCAGGGGAGAAAGGATGAGAGACGGGGGCGAATGTGCTTTCTAAAGTTGAGGGATGGGTTGCTGCATGCGTATGCTTTTGCGAGAAAGGGGAAAGGGGTGAGGGAGGGGGTTGAGATGGAGTTGAGGGATTTATGGTTGGATTTGGCGGACGATTGGGGGTTGACGAGATGAACGATACTTGGGGCGACCTTCTTGTTGCTAGGACTACTATTGATTCGCATATTGGGGGAAGGCTGTTTGACATACGAATTTGAGATATGAGATGAATGACTCTGTCACCTGTGACCACACCCCGTGAACACAAGATAGGGATATATGCTGGAAAGCGTTGCCAATGTCGATTGATCTGCGACTGCGATGAGTGGCAACATATACACTGTTGGCGTTTTGTGAGTCCGAATCAGTCCCATCTCCGATTGCTGCCCACGGCATGCACTTTGTCGTGGATGAATCAGTTACATATACAGGTATACAATGTCCAGATGCCAATGAATGGCTCTAGATGAACGAAGCGCCTCCACTGTAGAACACATTAGTGCTCAATCCCGAAACGAGGATACACACGACTTACTCTGGTAATCTCTCGATCTGGTATCTCCTCTTGACGACGTACATGAGAGGCACACCGGGGACCTTTCTTATACGTCTTCTGAGATCTCTATCGCACTACTTTTTGTCAGTACAGGTCTGACATATGGTGATGAGGACGACGCACGGTGGCTACGATGTAGCACTTGTGGGCCGTCACTCGCTGAACGAGGCAGTCATCCGCATAGGTCCCGCTGTCTGGGAGAGGATGAGCAGGGGATCACAAAGCTGAGAGAATGAACTTACGGTCACAGTGCAATCGGTCGAACCGGGGGTCTTTGGCGATCCTATTGTCCCCATCAGCTCATGTCCGACTATCGCACTCCAACGAAGGGGACTCACTTCAAAGCCAGCCTGTACTTGGGCCCCAGCTTCTCCAACTCGGCCAAAACACAGTCCGATATCGTAGGAATACATTTTGCCATCAGACAGTCCATCATGCCCTGCACAAGCTCGATCTTGTTTTGGATCGAAAAGTTGATGAAATTGGTATCCACCAAGATGCGATAAGGGGGTCCGAGGTCAGAGTTGTGAGACAAGAAGAGACTTGAAGATGCCTGGGCACTGGGTCGAGGGTTAGAAGAGTTGAGCTGCAAATCTGGGAACGAGCTCACACAGCCTTTCGCTCCTCAGCGGCCTTCTCCTTTTCGACCTTCTTTGCAGCCTTCTCGACATTCTCCTTCCTACAGTCTCGGGTCAGCTAGTGACTTCTGCACACCAGTGAATTTTGACGAACAGTCGAGGGTCGCTCGGCTTGATCATGCGCTTGACGGTGGCAAACTTTCTCGTCTTTGCTGCTTTTCCCTGTACACTGTCAGCATCCCCCCCTCATCCGCCCCTTCTGCACTCACCATTTTGGCTATAGCTGATCAAGTCAGAATACCATCCCCTTCGGTCGTCCGTCGTAAAACATTTCACGTGAACGTGATGCATACGTAATCATATCATTGTTTACCCTGACCTGCCTCCACTCTGTCTCGTCCCCGAAAAAGCCATCCACAGTGTCCATCTCGCTGCATCCCGCCATGTCAGCCCCCTCTCCGATGCTCCCGCCCCAGCAGGTAAAACGCCCCAGGCAGTACAACAACCCCCACTCAGCCACAAACACCCCCGGTCCAGGCGTTCCGCTCGCCGGCAATGGTGCTGCTGGAGGCCCCTTGGGGCCGAGGACAAAGAGAAGAAAACCGGAACCCATCGCTGCTGAAGTGAATAAGGAGAAGGAGATTGAAGGCGATATCAAGACAAAGGTGAGTAGCTAGTGTGCAGGATACAACCCTTGCATGACTAGATCCGTCACGAGCTGTTGTTGATGCGAGTGCAGATCGACTTCCACGACCTCCCCGTCGAGACGCTCTACAAGTATCTCGAACTGCACGACCTCTTACCATCTTGGGATCCATCGCCTTGGTCTGAAGAACCATGTATGCCACGTACGTCTCTGCCAAGCAATGAAACAAACCGGGCAAAAAGTGATAAACATATCCCATGCAGCAAACCTCCTCTACAGCATTCCACCTCCACCCCCATCCGCCCCGCCTACTGCCACTGCCTTCCTTGGTGCTTCTCAGAGCCAACAGGGTCTTGGGCCCTCGCCGCCACCAGAAGAGACCGCTGCTCCCATTGCCAACGCAGACGAAGACGTCAAACCACCTCCACCTGCTGCTGACGCCGCGGTGCCTGAGCAGCAGCCACAGCCGAATGGCGGAGAGAATGGTGTCCATGTCGAGTCACAACAGCAGGCTGAGGGAGGAGAGAAGAATGGTGTACAAGAGAACGGTAATGGGGCTTCTGGAGAGGAAGCGCAGCCTGATGTGTCAGAACCTATCGTCACCGACCGCCCGGAGGAAGAACGCGGTTCACGTTCGCCTTCCCCTCTGCCCGTCGAAGCTCCTACAACGAGATCCAAAACGTTGCCCACCCGAAAACCACTCACCCCTCCTCCCCCTTCTCCTCCCCAGTTCACACGTGGGGTCGTGACCCTCTCGGACGTACTGGCGACGAGGCACGAGTTGGCAGAGAAGGCCAACGCCCATTGGGCAAGGGGTTTGGGAGGGGGGCAGAACAAGGAGAGCGAGACTATTGTGCAATTCCTCTACAAAATGAAGGTCGGCCCTGGTGAGTTGCTTCTTTTTTTTATTCATCGCGCGTCAACTGATGTTGTTGTAGGACGTTTACTAAGAGTATACAACCCCACGACTTCGGCCCAACCTCCTTGGCTATGATCATCCTTGTCAACAACTGTGTCGCTCTCTACTATAAGATACTCTGTTACTCGTACATAATCCATAGTTGTCATCCACTAGGCCCATTCTCGACTTTGCGTGTTCTCTAATCATGGGGCGATGTATCATACCTGATTTGTGTTTCAATCAACCATTGAGTCCTAGCAGAGGCGCCATCAGGTTTTGAGAAAGAGTTACATTGGATGGCAGGTATCACCAAGCAAAGTTGTATTCACAAAATGAATCGTCGTGAAGGGGCGTTATAGATATTTCGGATAGAAGAGTAAATATGTCGTAACCTAAAAAGCAAAGTAAAGAGTTCAACAATGATATGGTGATCAGAAAACCAAAATATCCACAAAATCTTGAACAACGAGATGAAACATGGGGAAATTTCACACGACCTCGTACTCATCCCCGTCACTCATGTTCCTCCTCCAGCTCGGTCAAGAAGCTCAACCAGGCTTTCTTCGTGATGATTCCCTGGAAGACACCTCGAGAGTTGACAACGATGATCTGTCTCACACCGAGCTTGACAAACAGTTGCTGCACAAGCTCGAGTGGAGAGTGAAGCTGAACAGTGATGGGCGCCTGTAGAGGGTTAGCAAGGTGCAGCCCGAGGGAAAGAATGTGGCGTACCTGGTCAATGTACCGGCTCAAATCGTATGGATTGTGTGCGTTCTCTAAGAAAGAGTCGGCAAAGCTGAAAATGGACATGGTACTGCTATGCGCCCGAGTATTGGGCGATTCGTCGGGCACGAGGTTGACGGCAGCATCAGGGTCATCTGCTAGCTCGGCTATTGCTAGAGTCAGCGACAGGGGCATGTTAGACAGCAGGAAAACTCACTCAGGGCGTGCTCCAGCTCGTTGATACCCAAGAACCCGACCACCCTCAGACAGCTCCTTTCCCTACCACTGTTGACGCCTCCCTCAAGTCCTAAACCCAAACCTCCGCCTCCACCATTACCGCCCCCACTCGTCACTTCCTTGACAAGTACGGGAAAGCCTGTATCTTCCAGGCCAAGGCGGACGAGCTCGAGTAGCTTGCCAGTGAGAGAGCGGACAGTGTGGGGTTTATCGGCACGAAGGTGTGGAGTGGAGCGGTCGGCTACTGTCGAGGCGCGTCGGGATCCCCAGAGATATTCGTGTTTGGAATCAAGGTATGGAAGCTGATTAAGACTGCTTATAGTTAGCAGATGCTCAAGCTTGCTGAGATCAATGGAGCTTACTCGATGACGAGGTCATATATCCCCTTCTTCTCCAACCCATCCGCCACAGTCTTTGCAATCAAAACCCCCAACATGACGGGAACGACATAATTCAACGTCGACGTCAGTTCAAACATGATGACCGCCAACGAAACAGTCGTCCTAGTCACACCCGCCAAAGTTGCAGCGGCTCCAACCATGGCGTAGAGGCCAGGGACGACGCAATCCGTATCGCGACAGACGTCAAATATGGAGAGATCGGGGTTGGTGAATTCAATGTACTCGAGGGCGTGTCCGACAATGCGACCAAAGCAGGCGCCGACGGCGAGGGAGGGGATGAAGATTCCAGCTTTGTCAAAAGTCACCTCTGGCTTGCGTGATATGAAGGGTAATACTCACCGGGAACTTTGATACCGAATGTGACGATGGTCAAAACGCCCTTGATCAACAGCGCCATAAACACCTGCCAGATGACCGCAGCGATTTGATGAGGATGATTGACACAGAGACCCGATGTGGAAGATGGCTTGCACTCTTCGAACAAGGCAGCAACAAGCTCTGTTCCGCCCATTCGCGTGTAAGGGTTGGTAAATGACACGATGGTGGTGAGGAGCACAACCTGATGATATCAGTATACAATAACCTTCAGATTCTATGGACTCACGAGTACGACCTCGATGATCGGATGCCTCTTCAACCAAGTCCCGTTCCGCACGTGTTTGCTCCAGATGATATTCAACCTCGCAAACACGGCACCATACAGACCACCAAAGATACCAAGGACAATAAAGACGGCGTACTCCCAATAGTGATACTCCTTCGTGTATGACACGGCAAACTACAAGACGTCAGAGCTGTCTTTAAAAGTATTTCAAGAGCTCACCAGAACGAGACTGCCGTTCCCGAACGGATTGAGAGCTTTGAGTGTGATGGCCGCGATTGCAGCACACCAGAAGCTACATCGACAGTCAGTCCCAGTCATACTCGCGATCGCTTGCCGACTCACCTTCTCCACATGACCTTGGACGGAAAGTAGTAGGACACTTCTTCCAACGAAAAGAGAACACCACCAACAGGAGCTCCAAACGCAACTGCCACACCGGCAGCACACGCAGCAGAGAGAATCTCTCGTCTCTTGGCTAATCACTAGTCAGTCATGCTTTGAGTCTTGAGTTTTGATACAGGACATACCTTCGTTACACTCATATTTGATGAAAAGCCTCGACACGATATTCCCCACACAACTGCTGATATGCACCAACGGCCCTTCCTTCCCCAGACTCAACCCCGAAGCAACACTCAACGCCAGACCCACACTCTTTGTAATCAAAGTCCATCCTCCGAGGTACCCATGTATCACAAATCCGCTCAAAATGGTCTTGATCTCGGGAATACCAGAGCCTGCTGCGTAAAACATGACTTTACGAGAAGGCTCTGGAGCCGATTCGAGTAGAGGCGTGGGAGGTTCGTTTGTGATTGCATCGAGCAGAGGTTGGCGTTCGTTGGCGAGTTGGTTTGAATTGAGATTGGAGTGATTCGGTTTGGTGGGCGACGAGGTGACAGAGTGTTTTGCGGTGGGTGCACGGGAAGGAGGTTGGAGGAAGGTAGAGTCTTTGGAAGTCGTGTGGTGTTCCGAGGAAGACAGGTAGACGGTCATACAGCTCGCAATGATTGCTAGGATCAAGGCAACAGCAGCATACGCCATAAACTCTGGACCTCCGTACGTCCAAGCTCCATCCGGTCCGCCCTTTTCTCCGGGGTTGAAGAATTCACCCCATTCCACCCAATCTGTACACTCGTCCTCCCCTCCATCACTTCCTGGGCTCTGATGCCGTGGCGCACAGCAGAACCGTTTTGCCGTGCCCCAAGAGGTAGCACAGAAACCTTCTTTGAGGTCGAAAAAGGCCATTTCGCCGCGGACAATCAAAAAAGCGATGAGGGCTGTGATGATACCGACGAGGGTGACGACTAGCCAGCCTTGGAAGCGGTCCCAAGAGTTGAGTATCTTGCCGCGTATGGATCGGGAGGCCATGTGGCGGACACGTCGGACCCGTGAAGATTCTTTAATCTGCAACAGCGTCAGTAACGGCCATTGAACAGAGCAGAGCACTTACAGCATCGTGAATCCAGTCTATCGTGACATACGAGCTATACCACACTCTCGTACCATTCGCCCGTTCTCCTTCCGTATCTTCCAGCATCTCTTCATCCTCTCGCCGTACCAACGCAGCCTCGTCATAGTTGTCTGGTCTTCCCAACCCCAACCCCACCGCACTCGCGCGTTTACGCAGTTTCTGCATGACAGAGCCTTTGGGCGAAAGGAACGGAGAATTGAGTCCTCCGTTGTTGGCATACCCAGAATGTGCAGCCAACCCCGAGACGCCCGGTGCTAGACCAGATCCGGATTCTCTCGACTGGCCCAGAGCACCGTACCCTCCCGAGCTCGGATGCCCGCCGCCCAAGCTGGACGTGTGCTGGTGACCCTTGCCGCTGCGAGAGGTGTGCTTGTCGCGGAAGCGCGGGGTGGTAGCGCTAGCCGGCTGGCTAGCTGAGTAGTACGCTTCGTGGCTGGGAAGGCCGAGGCCGCCAGAGGAAGAGGGATAGGCTGATTGGGGTGGGTGTTGGAAGGGCCGTGATGTTGATATTCTGCGCGGGCTCGCGAGGGGACCATCGCCTGGTTGTCCGAGCCCGATAGTCGAAGATGTAGAGCCTGAGCCATTGCGTGAAGGAGTAGGCCCGATGCCCAAGCCGATATTGGGATGCGTGGCCGCATACCCAGCTACAGGCGTTGAAAAGACCCTGCTCGATCCTTTTCTCCGCGCCTGCTCCTTGACGTTACTCGAGCTGCTCGATCCAGTACCAGTGTTGGAAGCGTTCTGCTGCCGCGACGCAACTCGAGGAGAAGGCGCTCCGACGTCGAGCCCTAGCATGGTATTTGGGTTGGCATTAGGGGCAGGGTTGAGGCGGGGCGTGCGCAATGGTGCCATGGACCCTGCTGGGGCGTTCGAGATCATCGACGTGGGCTCTTCCGAGTCTGTCGAGATGGGCATAATAGAGGCGGTGGGCGACGTAGACGTCGAGTTGGTAGCTGAGGGGGTAGAGTAGACGGGCTCTGTGGGGTTGGCAAAGGTCGATGGATTTGGAAAGTAGGTGATGGGCGATGGAGGTTGCGAGTCGAGGACAAGGGTGTCGACTGACTGCCGCCGGGACTGGGCGCGGTGCTGGTGGCGGAGGGAGGCGGTGGAGGGGGGCCGGGTGGGCTTGACGGTGGCGATGCTGCTCGAGGACATGGCGGGCTGCCGCTGTTCTGGCATGTTGCGTGGTGGACAAAGGCAGAAAGAGATCACTGAGAGCTCGGACGCGGCGCTGCTGGGCTCATTCCCGCAAAGTCAATTCCACAACGATCGGGCCTGGCTCGGCTTCTGCACAGCTGCATGGCGTATCTGCCCCATCCTCCCCCGTCCCCCGTCCCCCCTCCTCTCTCTGCCTCCCCTCCACTCTTCTGCAAATTCATCATCCTCGACCTCGAAGCGACCCGCCACCAGCTGGAGAACATCCGGCGACCTCCACCCCAGGGCCCACGGGTGACTATGTATGGGGGACTTCTGATCTCCGCTGCTGCTTGGTTGCCGTGCTCTACTGGAGATACGGGACATGATGCAGAAAAAGTGCTGTTGCTGTGGCTCCACCGCCACGTTGATGGAAGGAAGCATGTTGAACTACTTCTTACGTGAATCTCGTGTCATAGAGTCACATGCATGCACCCCCAGCGTGTCATGCCGGTCTCGGCGAACGCTAGCCATCAAACAAACAAACGATACCATTCATCTTCTTTATATACTCCCCTAACTATAGCTAACGGCCCTCATACACACGTCAGCCAGCCAAGATCACTCCATACGAGTATCGGGGTCTCTTATGAATATACATGCTACACCTGGAAAATACGAAAAAAAGAGTCCAAGAACGTCTTTTATTTTTGTGTATCACTCTAAACAACTCAAAGCTTGCCCAACGTCGATTCACCCTCCGGCGCTCCAGCATCCTGCACAACCTGTACTTGCTCCGCCATCGTCTCGCCCTCGACTTCCTTCCTCAAGCCCTGCACTTCCTTTTCCAGCCCTGCTGTTTCCGCCGGCGTGGCAGTGGCATGTCCCTCCTTGGCCCTCTTGACCAAACCTTCAACCTCTCTCAATTGCCTCACTACACTCTGCCTCTCCCTAAACAGTCCCTGCCTAGCCACTTCCACGCTCCTCTTCTCCCCTTCCAGCATCTCCTCGAGTCGCTCAAACATGGCGAGTTTGAGCTCGACTTTACGGGTTTGCGCAGAGACGAGGCGAGAGACGAGAAGGGAGATACGGTGGTCTTCATGGGAAGCGAGGGTTTGGGCTTTGGTCGCGGCCGAGGAGAGGGCGAGGGTAGCAGCGCGAGAGAGGGAGGAGGCAGATGGTTCCTGGCCTTCTTCGGTCTCGGCTGGAGGGGCCGTTTCGTCGACAGACATGGGTTCGGCAGAAGTTTCCTTTGTAGGCTCATCACCATCCGCCGCTTCCTCGCCCTCCTCGGCATCGACTTTTGGACTCTTTCCCTCCTTCCCCCCTTCCTTCTCATCTCCCCTCTTCCTCTTCAGCCCCTTGGCCAGCTCTCCCAACGCACTCTGCGCCGCCGCAGCCGCAACCCCAGGCCCAACCTGTCCCGCCAAAAACGCCACCACGCTCATCACCGGATTCTCGCTCCCTTCAAACGGCAGCCCATTAAGACCCGCCTGGTACCGCAGAGGACCGAGTTCGACAGCAGGGTCGTTGGAGGGGGAGAGGTAAGAGTCTTCGATAGGGAGTTGAAGGAATTTGGTGATGGCTTGTGATTTGGAGCGGGTACCGATGTGGTCGGCGACGGCTTGCCAGTCGTCGTCGTACATTTCAACACCTTCAAGCAAAAGCAAAGTCTCTTGATCAGACCATTCGTCGCCGGCAGAAGCAGCAGCGTGCTTGAACGCTTCCTCGTCGAGACGGACGAAATCGCCAGAGTACATTGATGACGGGAATCGCCCCGAGACGAAACAAGACGGACACACAGTGTACTCGCCATCTTTGAGCGAGTGGTATCGTGTCGTAGTACAATCCGTCCCACAAGTCTCACAAGCATATGTCTTGCCCTTTGTCACATCGCCATTAGCACCTGCCGCAGCGATTTTGGACGCAGTCTCCGCCGAGACTGGCTTGGTAGCGCGCGAAGTGGAGTGGTAGATTGTCTTGCGTAGGTCGAGGTTGGAGGGGTGGGGAGTGACGCCGTTGGTAGTGGACGCGAGGGCACCAGCACCGGGCTTGGTGCCGGGGTGAAGGAGGTTGGACAGACCGCGAGGGGTGTCGAGGGTGACTCTAAAGTGGCCAGTGAATGGGGGGCCGAGAGCAGCTGGACGAGAGTCCGGGTCGACCTACACGAGTCAGCTTGAGACACTACCGTAACGCGTTAATCTCACCTGGTAGTTGACCAGACCCCATTGCTCCAAGAACGCGTGCACCCTCATGATAGCTCCCACATCTCCTGCCAAGTTTCTCCTGCAAGCAGTCACCGTCAAGTACTCTCCCGGATTCAGCCTGTAAGTGTTGATCATGAAATCCCTGTAGTCCTTGTAGATGCTCGGTGTCTTGGACCTGTTGCGGGAGGAAAAGAACTCGGGCAGGGAGCGGCGCTCTATGGGGTGGATGGTGGAGAGCGAGAACCAGGAAGAGTAGGAGGGGATGATGAGGGGGTGGGTCTGGGCCGCGAGGTAGGTGGTTGCGAGGTCGTGGAGTTGGGAAGGGGTAGGGCGTTCGGGCTCTGGGGCTGGCGAGTCGCCTGGGGTGTCGGCTGAGTAGAGTCAGCGCATGCTCCGTCTGTTGGGTTCTAATGTCGCCTTGACGCGTTTCCACCGAGTCGGGCACGCGTCTTCCAGCGCAACCATGCCACATTTCCACCCATCCATCTACCCACCCCCCCAAAGAAGCGCCCACTCACCATGATCGCCGTTGCTGATGTTTGCAATGTCCCCGCCAAACAGGGGCTCGCGCTCCTTCTCCTTGCCGGGTGCGGCTGCGACGTCGTGGGTGATGACTCCCTCGCCGGTGGCGTCTCCGTCCTGGTTGGGGAGTTTGAAGGATATCTTGGGGGTGGACATGGCCGCTGGATGTATGCAAACACCTGTCAACACTGGTGATAGAGGTCAATAGCGCGGTACGGGATTATTTTCGGTGTTTCGGCCCTCGCCGCTGCAGCCTCCCTTGTGGCTCTTGACGTCACGCTTTCATCTTTCTTCTTCTCAACTTCTTCTTCTTCACAATCCACCATTCACCATGCCCCAGTCATCTGCCGCCCCCGTCTTCTACTCCTTCGACGACACCAACCACCTCCAGTCATCCCTCGCCAACTTTGTCCTCAAAGCCCAGGCCGATGCCGTCTCCCACCGCGGCGTATTCACCATCGCCCTCTCCGGCGGCTCGCTCCCCAACCAGCTGAAGCCCCTCGCCGATATCGCGGGCATTCACTGGGACAAGTGGCAGGTATTCTTTGCCGACGAGCGTATCGTCCCCCTCGACCACCCCGAATCCAACTACAATGCCTGCGCCAAGGCCTTCCTCGACCACGTCCCCATTTCCCGCGAGCAGATCCACACCATCAACACTGATCTCTTCCGAGAGCAGACCCGTGTAGACCCTACCGGTGAAATCCGGAAGGGCGAAGAAGAAGCTGCAGAGGCCGAGGCGGTGGACATTGCGGACGAGTACGAGAAGCAGCTGGTGCAGACCTTTGCCGGTGGTAACGCTGCCAGATATCCCACATTCGACTTGATCCTGATGGGTATGGGACCGGACGGTCACACTTGTTCGCTCTTTCCCGGCCACGAGCTCTTGTCAGAGAACGACAGATGGGTGGCGGAGATTCAGGACAGCCCCAAGCCCCCACTCAGGAGGATCACCCTTACGTGAGTTGTCAAGTGGAGGTTTCGTCTCGGCTGACGAATCACTAGCTACCCTGTTTTGAACCACGCTTTCCGATGTGCTTTTGTTGCCGCTGGTAAAGGCAAGCAAGACATGCTCGCTCAGATTCTTGACAAGCCCGAAGACGGTTTGCCCTGTTCCCGTGTCCGCCCAGCTTCGTAAGTCTCTCCTTCTTTTTCTCAGTACAAAGACTGACTTGTATCTAGCCCTGGTCTCGTCTTCTGGTTTGTTGACAATGCCGCTGCCGCAAAGGTTGTCTACCCCAAAACAGAGTACAAGTGGATCTCTGGTAACGACGAGGACGATCCCATTACAGTGGAGAGGAAGAAAATGAAGAGTGAAATGGATGCTGCTGTGAAGCAGGCCATCTAAGGTGTCGCTTTTGTTGATATAAAAAGGGAAAGAGAGGTGAAGGAGAGCCGTAGAATGGCGGGACGTGAGAAGCACTTATAGATGGTTTTCTTCTTCATTTTCATATGGTGTTATGAACTGTGAATATACACTACCACCTCGCCAAAAGGTTTCGTGAGCACGGTCTTATTTGCGCCCTATCGGGCTTATGAATCGCCGCCAAGCGATACTGAAGCGGACGCCACCATGATGGTCAGCACCACAATGTCAGTGTTCATAATGGGCGTTGGCACCGATCTCATGTAAAACATACGTGCCGCGTTTAGTGATCCCCATGAAGGCATACAAGCACTCGATTCCGGTAAAGTACATCGGCGGGATTCTGGGTATCCTGACATATTCATCAAGAACTTGCTCGGGATACCAATGACAGCTTGCATGACAAAAGTATGCCGATGATCATCATAACTCGTCTTTAGCCAACAGAGGTTGCCCTGGTCTTCTTTCATTGTTGTCAAGAATCTCAACCTTCACTCTTCCTCCTTTCTCCATGTCCCTCATTATCTCATTCATCCCCTTCTCTCCGGTGGCTATTCCCGCTGGTGCAGGTTCGGCGACGGCCACATAGTCATCAACGCCGTTCGCTGCGTGTGGCTTGATGTATTCGAATTCCGAGTCGAGAGAGCCTGCAGCCGAGTCTTGGCCTACTCGCGGCAAGGCACCCTCGTCCACGAACCCGTTCACCTCGAGCCCTTCTGGTCGTGTAGCTGGCCCATCCCCTCCAAAGCCCATCTTGACCAACCTCCAACTCCCGCCCACATACCACCCCACCCCCTTTCCAACGCCTCCCACAACCCACCACCCTGCCCCTAACGCCTTATCCAGTACTCTCCTCTTGACTATCCACCCGCAGACGAGGAGGAAGAAGAAGAGGGAAGCGAGGATGATGTAGCGGTCGAGTGTATCGGCGCGGGAGAGGGTTTGGATGAGGTGGTGGGATGAGGTGAGGAGGGAGGTGTAGGTTTCGTGAAGGGTTTGGGTGAGAGTGAGGGTTTGAGTGGATGATTCTTTATTAATAGTTAGCGATGGGGAGTTGGGGCAGTAGATGGAATATCATACCGAGCATTTGGACAGATAAAACAGATCGCTCCAGCTCTGTCTGCATCAGAGCCGTCGTCCGTCTCAGCGCCGACGTGACCTCGTTCGTCTTGGTTTGCAGCTCATCATCACCTCTGCGCAATCACTATCAGCACTTGATTTTAACGATATCCGGGATTGTAATATACCCAATCCCCATATCAGCAGCACTGCGGGCAGCGCCCTTTTCCTCGACCGGTGTAGTCTTGCTCGCCGATTCATCTTTCTCGGATCCCTTTCGCGAGAGCTCTTGCATACGAGCATGGCGCACGGCCATGTTCTTCTTGGCCTGCACCACCGTACTTCGAAACAATGATTTCAGTCTGAAAACCAAGTCAGCTACGGCTCCAAAATCATGGAGATGACACGCACTCATGATACTCTCTCTCGGCCTCGTCTACCCCTGCTTTCGCCTCTGCCCCACCAGCTCCAAAAGCAATCATCTCCTTCTCCCTCTCCAGCCCTCTCCTGACCCCCTCCAGGTCCACTCGTAGCTCTTCTACTAGTTCGTCGAACAGTTGTGTCGGTAATGGCGCGCCTGAAGGCGAAGAGAGGCGAGGGAGCTGGTATGTGCGGATGTCGTTGAGGTGGCGAGATATCCCGGGAAGGGAGGAGGATGGAGGGATCGGAGCCATGATACTGGTGAAATGTAAAGTGGTGAAATGTCGATTGAGATACAGATGCGTAGATTACAGGCGAGACGACAAGTGTGACAGCGAAAGTGGAGGCACCTCCTGCTTCATTGACAAGTGCGGTCCATGTTCTACAGGTCTCTTTGGCCCATGCTTCAATGCAACATGTCCTGGTCTGGGTATGGCAAGCAGTATCAAACGGCCAGGACGACTTTGAAATATCGTATGCAATGTGTTGTACAAGTTGTAACAAAAGACGAGGACCCCGACCACAAGTCTTTGCGATTCTGCTTCCCTGCCATCCCAGTGCGCCTCTCGTGCCCCGCCACCATCAACGTTCCCCGAGCATGCACCCTGCCTGCCCTCTACAACGCGTCGCACCTATTTGCTTCTTTAGAAAGGCGTGTGCTTGTCGGCCACCCCGATCTCCTGGAACTCGATTGATGGATTTCTAGGAGCCGCCAGATCCTTGCTACAAGTCAGAAAAGTATCAGCATGCAGCCTTCTGGTATCAAGGGGTTCGACTAGTGAGCCGAGGAAATACGCACACTTTCTGGGCACGCTTGAGTACTGTCCATTTGATGATGGAGGGGTCACTTCTGAGTGTTTCGTTGATGCGTTTCAAGACGATTGGCGAGGTGTCAAAGGCCATTGTGAAATGACTATAACATTCAGAGATCAGCATGTGTGCCCTGGTCCTCCCCTACAAGGTCAAGAACTCCAACACTTCGACCAACGCCGGCTATAGGGGTAGACGCAAGGATGAACCATCAAACTCACTCTCCCTTCGTGTAGTACTGCCTCATCCTCCGTATCCTTTGCGGCAGTGTCAAGTTCAGCCCCATGTTCTTCAAGTCCCGGACGACACCACCGGATTGGTGAACTTGGGTCGAGACCGTGTTAACGATGCCTCGCAAGTTGACCTGTAGAGTATTAGCGTGGGAAAGAGCGGGACAAAATGTGGGGGCATACAGAGGAGACGGGGTTGTGGACTGCTATGCAGAATAGTTCGTAGAGAGGCATGGCGAGAGGCTTGGTGCGAGGTATGTATAGAGAGCGAAAACAGCAGCGAACAAGCAGCGAACGAAAGGACGAATTTCCCAGCAGCGACAATAAGCCTTACGTAACATTACCCTCTTCTTTCTTCGAGTTTCAACAATTCAGCAACAACTACAACAAAAGCAGCATGATGACTTTCGAACTCTGTTCTCATTGCCTATAGTTCCCTTTGCCCTTGTCACCCGCCTTCACCCTACCGTCATCAGCAACCATCTGATTTCTCACCCTTACCGCCATCGCCGCGCGATGAAGTACTCTGCCCTGCTTAACCCTCCGTCGGTGCTTCTTCCCTTGATCTTCGTTCGGGAGGCGGCCGCCCTATTTGCCTACATGGACCTGACTGGCTGCTTCCCAGAGACCTCCTCGCTGATATACGCCAATGCCTTCCACATTCTACCTTACAGATTGTGACATCATATGGCTTCACTTGACTGCCTTCAAAGGTTCTCCATCGAATGGCGATACTCTGGAATTCATAGCAGCAGAAGCTCACGTCATCACTGCCAACTGAACTGTAAACTGACTCAACTCTACAGACTCATCAGGAGATAATACCCAAAGGAGTGGCGAGTCGACTCACAGATGACCACGACGACTGCCACCCTCATGACCTCCAGAGTCATGAAAAGAGCGAGCCCTTTGAGGTCGTTCCAAAGATAGCTTGTTCGCGTTTCATTGCCTGTTCGCAGGGACATGATGTCTCTATATAAGGTGAGCCACTTTCAGCTCATCTGGTCCTCTACTCGAACGAACAATCATCAAGATGTCAGCCCCACAGTCTCAAGTAGCTCAAACCAAGGTCGAAAACGACCAGTCCCTCGTCGTATTCTCTCATCTCTCCACCCGACACACCACCTCGCCTCCATCTCCCGACGACAAGGCCCCATCTCCTCCTCTCGCATCAGCCTACGACATCCCCCCGTCGGCACTGGAGGAGGGTGGTGGGCTGGTGAACAGTGATGGGCGGGTATGGTACATGCTCTCTGCGCCTTTGGAAAGAGATGCGAGCGCAGTGAAGGAGATCGTCGTGGACACCGAGTCGAAAGACCAAGGATGGTCTTCCTTCCCCGAGAATCACGGTAAGTCGCCAACATGGCCTTCAGCTATAGTAGTATCGGACGGCTTCTGACAAGATACTAGGAACTTATGATGTGACCTCCTCTTGGTTTGACCTCACTCTTCTTCGAGATGGCAAGGAGGTGCCCAACACCAGATTGGACGTCCAGCACAACGTTCACGGTAAGTTACTCAACGCAACATATGTGCCGCGCCGGGTTGACTGATGAATGACCCCATGTGCAGCTGGCAAAGAGTTCAAGTCACACACCAATACCATTCCGTCGACACACCCGTTCGTCAAAGAGATGCAAAAGGGTGATTGCATCACACTTTGGGCCCGGGCTTTGTACCCGGGATGGGAGAATCACGTACAGTGAGCTCGACAGTACCCGTATACATATCGGATGCTGACGCGAAATAGGCGTGCTAGTATCGCCATCTCCTACGATGTGCTCGCTGAAGACTCTAAGGATGAGGAGTGACCGAACTCACCAGCACATGTACTATATATGAAGCCAGTGCAGCGCGACACAGATGAAGTACAATACGAATACTGAGTACTTTAGCCATCATGATGTATTTGTGGCATTTAAAGCTCAGCTTGGGGTTTGTTTGAAAGGCACCAGGAAACCCCATGAAACATGTACAATGGACCTCTGAGCCTATGTGGATAGACACGCGATCTGACACAAGTACAAGTACTTAGAGTACATACATCGTAGGCTATGGTACGCCTCAAGAAAGTTCGTAAGTTCATTCAGTGGCAATAGCCATTATGCGTTCATTCCATTCCCTAGATCCTGCGTCAGCAAGTCAAGGGCCATTCAAGGAGAAGAACCTACCATTATCTCTTTCGCGAACGGTCCCTTTCCATTCAAGATAGCCTTGCCAGCACCAAGAACTCTCTTCTCTTTCTGTGTCTCCCTTGCCCCCTTTTCTTTCTTCACCTCCTTCTTCAACGTCCCGCTGTTCTTCTTCTGCCTCAGACCAGGCACATCAACGACATGCAGCTTGTCATCCCCTTTTTTCAGCCTCTTCTCCCAACCCTTCCCTCTTACAAGTTCCATGAACTCTCCGAAGAGCGGATCGAGGCCGAGTGTACGGGCGCTGCCAATGATCACGAGCTTCTTCTTGGCTCTGGTGAAAGAGACATTGATTCGGCGCCAATCCCGGAGAAGATCGCCAATCTGCGACAGTATCAGCATTTCGCTCAATGCCAGATTGGATCAACTTACAGCACCAGTGTCGTTGGAACGAACGAGTGAGACTAGGATGCAATCCTTGTCTCTGCCTTGTGACTTGTCGGCAGTCAAGATCTCGACCCGGGGGAGCGGGGTCAGATACGACGAAAGGAGTTTGATCTGCTGTCGGTATGGAGTGATGACGGCGAGGTCTTCTTGTCGGATCCCAGAAGCCACCAATGCTGTGGAAAACTGAGTCATATGATCAGCGCCGAGCACGTATGGGATGAGTATGATGGACATACCTGCGAGACAAGCTCAGCCTCGACTTCATTTTGAATCAAGTCTCCCACTCTAGAGTCCAAAGTGGGCAGCCCGTCGGTGTCCATAAAGACACACTTGGCACTCTCATCCAGTAGCTCTTGGACCCAACAGTCGCCGTCAATACAGCTACATTTGTCGGCCCCGTAGATCTCTTTGCAGGTCTTTCGATTCCTCAGCTTGAGACCGCTCTGCGCGATCACCTCATTGCCGCACTTCAGCCGCCCTTCGTAGACCAGCTTGTTTGACAATGCCATGATGTCTTCGTTCATCCTATACTGGTAGGACAGATCGACGACGGCTTGTGGATGGGCAGAGGACAGATGTCGAAAGAGTGAGACATCGAGCCCTCCCCGGCGAGCTTCGGGATGACGGACGATGGGGGGAAGTTGGTAATGGTCACCAACGAGGACAAATTTGTCTGCCATACGAAGCGGCCCAATGCAGGTGGGTAGAGTGATCTGGGAGGCTTCGTCGACGATGCAGTAATCAAACTTCCGGCGGAAGAAAAGAGGGCTAGGAGGATGTAAGTCTCGCACAGATATCTGCAAGTCAAACTCACTGGTCGATGGCAAGGCAAGTGGCAGCGACGACTGGAGGTTTCATTAAACGGGCGTCCAGCTGGTCCATGCTAGCCGAAGACTCGTACGCTTCCAACGTCATATGTTGCACATCAGGATGTACCTAGATTGTTCATTAGTCATGGCTCACTGACTTTTCAAGCAGACAACGGACCTTGTCGATGTTACCCAGCCTCAACACCCCGAACTCGGCGTTGACCAACTTCATCAAGATCGTGTCTACTGCCGAGTGTGTGTAACTCGTCAACAACACACTCTTTCCCCTTGCCACGAGAGCTTTGATGATTTCTGTGATTGTCGTCGTTTTGCCCGTACCAGGCATACCGAGTATGAGCGAGTAGTCCCGTGCAGTCAGGACAGACTCCATTGCCTGCTGCTGATCGGTATTAAGCGATGCCGGAATCTCCTCTGGAGTTGGCCCCCAGGATGGCTCAAACTCGGGCGCCTCTTGGTCGACAATCAACCTCCTACGTTGCTCATCGCCATTCTTGTAGAAGAGCTGCGCGAGATTGTTTCGCATTCTCATCATGCCACTCGACATCTCGTCCTTGTCGATCCTGAACATCACCTTGTCCTCCCCTTCCCCATTGTCAGCTTTCAGCACTCTGTGCTCCCTGCCTGTCCTCTTGAGCAGAGCCTGAGTGTCGATGACATATGTCACGGCGACTGTGACGCTTGTCTGTGTCAAGTCTGTCACAAATCCACGCCACATGCAGAGCAGATCCGGCTCGATTGAGAGGGAGACAGGATCACCTTTGGCAATATGACCAGAGAGTAGAGATACGGGTTCGTCAGATGATGGGTCGGTGGAGGGGGCACGGGTGAAGGTATAGCTGTGTCGGTGGATCTTCGCGAGAGATTTACCAATGTCGTTCGAGTAAGATTGAATAATCATGTCGCTGAAACACCTATTCATCTTTGTATCAGCTCAGATCTCACGTTACAATCGACATGTTCTCACCTTCCGTTCTTCTCCCGCCGCTTTGCGGTCATTGTCCACAGGTGGGATCGGAATCTGATCGTGTCTTGCTCCTCGACGGTCAAGAGGGTGTCCCACTTTTTGTAGAACTGAGCGTGCTTGTCTGTCATGTGGCTTGTCATGTCGCGATACTGCTCGGCGATGGGGTCGTCATCCTCATAAGGCATCTGGTCATTGACCTGCGACACATCAGCATGTCACACGAAAAAAGGGAGATCAATCTTACCCGGCGGTAAAGCATACAGGCCTCGTTCGCATAGCACATCTTACACTCCCTCGGGTTGTCGATTGTGGCCGGCAGAAACGCTTCTTCCATTTCAGCCTCTTCCACAACCACCTTCTGCCCTGCTTTGATTTCCTTCTTCACCACCCCGCCCCTTAAGATCTCCACAGGCTGATCCTCTTCAGAGATGTGCTTGGGCACTTTGCGTTGCTTCGATAACCAGAACGCAAGTTCGTTTCGAGCCATGATCAGAGCCCGAATCTCCATAGGCTTTGCTTCCACACGAAGAATGGTGTCGGACTGAGAGTAGTACAACAGTCCGGCCGTGACAGGGACGCCTATGAGTGTTCAGTATATGTAGTCTCCCTTGGTGCCAATGGTCGACTCACGATACCGATCCTCCATCAGCAGCGTATACAACATCGTCTGCGCTCTATGTGCCATCACGCCCACACTCCTTCCCGTCTTGATCTCCAAAGGCGCCACATTCTCTTCTGCTTCACTGCCCTTGGAGGGCTCTTTCGCGATCTTGACTTGCACGGAAGCGTCGACTTTACCCTTGAGACCCCATTTGGGGCACCAAATGTCTTCTTCGACTTCGTGAAGGCCTGTGAGTGCGAGTAGAGAGGGTTGATCCCCAGCACTGGAGTGGAGTTCGCCTTGTGCCTACGAGATGTAAGCGGGTGTTCTGTATTAGGTAGTTCGACTAACTCTTGGCTCAGGGCCAACCCAGTTTTCTTTAAAGATCTCAAAGCCCCTTCCCGCCTTCTGGCCAACTTCTTCCCTCACATCTTGTATACCCATACCAGTCCCCCAAACTTCCAGCCGTCTTTCCTCTTTCTTCAACTCCTTGTCCAGCCTTCGGAAAGTCTCCACCGCTCCAAATTCTTGCTCCAGAAGAGCGTCTTGCAGAAGTTGATGCAACACGGTACCATAGAGGAGTGGCTTTGTGGGAGGAGCGGGGGTTTTGATAAGGGTCTGGAGGATAGGCTTGCGCGGGCAGGGCATGGCGTTGGCGATGGAAGTCATGGTGAGCATGAGATCGGGGTGGTGTATAAGGAAGGTGGAGGGGTCGCGGAAGGTAATGGCGATGGGAGTTGTAGAGGGAGTAGATAGACAAGGGGAGACAATGTTGACGATATCATCTAGAGTAGTCATTAGCTACGCATGATCAAAGATGGTAAAGACGAACCCTTTTTGACAAGTGTGTCGGCCCATCTGTCCTTCAGATGCACTACCCGTTTGCCTTTACCTCGAGCGATGCTCACGATGAGAGTCTGCAGCAAGTGAGCTCACAAAAAGCGATAAGATCGGAGCTCATGCTCACCTTGGCCGCACAGTCATCGGCAAGAGGAAGCCGTTCGACTTCTGCAGGAGAAGGAATGATGCCGTCCTCAAATAAGTGTCCCTCCAAGCAGGCATCGACTGTGCACCTGATCCACTCAGTTGGCTCGTATCCCGGAGGAGCAGGCGGTACGTTGGGGTGAGCTACCGGGTACTTGTAGAGAAGTTCGTCAGTCAGATGCACCAAATTGAGTGATCGAACTGACCTTGACGGGAGGTGGGCGAGCCAATAGCTCCTGTTCATCAAAGTCCAAGTCTTCCAGGCCAAACTCGAATTCAAACATATCCTCATCCTCGATCTCCGGCTTGACCTTTTCGACCTGTTTGGGAGATTTGACAGCGTTGACGGGCTTGTGGCTTTGGGGGATGTCTACTTCAACCTTCACCTCTGGTGTGCGCTCGGCCCTGATGGGCGATGTCGGAGCCTCTCGCTTGACGACTGTAGGCGCAAATGCCGATTTTCGGGATACAATCTGCGCCACAGTCTCCCCCAAAGACCCTCGTGGACCTGTACCCACGGAGGGCTTTTGCTCAACAACAACCTTTCTCGGTGACAGGGCTTTGGCCCGCTTGGTAGGTGGCACGGGCTCGATTCTGACATTGGATGGCCTTGGGCGTTTCTCTTTCCGAGGCGAACAGAAGGAGGAGCCTTGTGGAAGACGAGGCTTCTTCGGCGAAGGTTGCGAATTCTCGCCCCAGTCGTCAAACACCGACGCGTCGAGCCCTGCCAGAAGGCTGTCCATCATCGCCTGATCATCTTGATGCGATGGCTGCTCCTTCTTCTCGTTCTCCAGATCTCTAGCATATGCCGTCTTCGGTGTGCGAGCGACGCTGGGGCGTGCTTGAGACTTGACGGGACTCGTTGGGACGCGTTTGCTCTGGGAGGAATGATTGACTGGACGCGTTTTGGCGGGGTAGAAAGTCGTTGTGGGTGTCGCTTTCTGTTGTTTCACGTCGCCTCTTCCAAAAGGGGCCATATTGAGGCTTCAAAAAAGGCAGCAAGAGGGGTGACAAGAATGTTGAGTGAAGAAAAAGAAAGATGGACGTAGCTTATTGAGCAATGTAATGTTCTGGAGACGCGTAGCGCATTAGCGGAATCAATTTAGTCATTACAACTGATTTGTAATAGCTTCAGGGACTGCCTCACGTTCTCAGACCGGAAACTTATCATCTCGCTGCATCTCGTGTTCATCTTTGCGCATCTCCGTTTATTCAATTCACCTGTAAGTTCGTCCCAATGGAGGCTTTGAAGAATCTTGCTCACTAGCAGGAAATAGCCCTGTATACCCCAATTGACTGAACAGAGGTCCCCCGCCATGTCCGCCTTGCCTAAACGTATCCTCAAGGCAAGTACTCTTGTCACTATAGCCAGAAGACTTGGCTGATCTCTGAACAACCCATCTTCCCCATATACTCTGCGTCATTCAACTCATGACTATATCCCAAAACGCCCGCCTCACCGTTACCGCATCTATATTGTCACTATCATTACAACGATGCTCTGGACGTCATCAGGAGACCGAACGCCTGATGGCCGACTCCCCCCCCGGTATCTCGGCTGCTCCCAAAGACGACAACTTGAGACATTTTGACGTTACTGTGGCGGGGCCCGAGAGCAGTCCTTATGAGGGTATGTCGTCGTCCTTTGGTGTCGGTGCTGGATCTATGCCCGGTGCAACGAGGCTGAGGGGAATATCATGTTGAGATGGGCAAAACAAAGAACAGCGGGGAAAGAAGGCAGATCCTGACAATGATAATAGGCGGTATCTTCAAGCTCGAGCTCTTCTTGCCGGAAGAATACCCCATGAACCCTCCCAAGGTCCGATTCCTCACCAAGATCTAGTAAGCTCCTTTCTCTGTTCTTTCGTCAATCGTGTGTATGCTGACTGATCTTCTTAGCCACCCTAACATCGGTATGCACGAGATGAGGACGAAGACGTTGAAGCTAACACATATTTGTAGACAAGCTTGGCCGAATCTGTCTCGATATCCTGAAAGACAAGTGGTCCCCCGCCCTTCAAATCCGAACTGTCCTGTACGAGTCGCCCCCTCAATTTTCCCACACATGCACTGACAAGTCATTGCAGCCTCTCTATCCAAGCCCTCCTCGGTGCCCCCAACCCAGACGACCCCCTCGCCAACGACGTTGCCCAAGCATGGAAGGAGAACCAGAGCGCTGCTATCGCTCAGGCGAAGGAGTGGACCAACAAGTTTGCTCAGTAGACTATGACTGCGATGCGATACCCTATCGTTACAGGAGACTTCCAGGGGAGGGATCGGAGAATCGGGGTAGTGATTCAGTACGAGTACTCGAGTACGATATGACTTGAATGTATGTCTTTGAATGTATCCTCCACGGAGAGTGCAGTCGGTTCAGACAAGGATAGTAAAGGGATCAAAGATACATCTATATGCGCGCGCTACAGGTCAGAAGTCCTATTTGCCACTCATCAGCATTCGTCGCCATCGCACAGTTACTACAAATTGATTTACTGTAACCCTTCCGCCAAACTGCCAGTCCGAGTCTCCAGCCACGAACGGATCCTGCTTTGGTCCACCCCTCTCCCCTGTTCTCGGGTTTACTTCGCCCTCAAATTCAGGCTTTGGCCCCTTTCTCACGTCTTTATGCAGCTCCTCCTCGGCGTCGACTTGGTTGACTTTGGGGATGGTACCGACGGTTTGGTTGGCTTTCAGGAGAGCCTCGAATTCGGCTTGGTCGGCGGCGGGCAAGGGAGGAGGGCCTGGACGGGTGAAGGAGCGAGGGGCGAGTGAGGATGATGAGCTATAGAGGGTGCGTGCACGCGGTGTGGTACGAGGGAGAGCCCGGGCGGTGCTGAAGAGGCGGGAGAACATTGTGAGGAGGTGTTTATATATCGTTTTAGAGACAAAAAGAAGGAAAGTGAAGAAGAAAAGCGCAGGATCGCGTCGGAGAGTGCCGGGCGGCCGAAGGAGGTGGAGGCTGCATTCACTGCGCCTCGATATCACTGTTCTCTTTCATCTTGTGACAACTCGAACAGAATCTGTTATGGCCAGCCTCGCCCCCAGCCAACCACTTGCAAGCACCTCTACCCGGCCGCGTAAGAGACATGCTCGTATCCTCTCCGCTGAAGTTGACGAAGACGCGGTCACAGGCGACCAGACCGTTTCAGACATCAATGCTCTCCTCAATCGTGAATCGGCAAAGACAAAGCTACGGCGTTTAGCCGTATCGTCTGACATCACGGAAAGCTCCGGGAAGAGCGGACAGCAGGTGTTTAACCCGATCTGTACCGAGACGACCTTGACGGCTTGTAAGAAGGTCAGAGAGCAGTGTACAAGAGTGAGTCATTCATCAACTATTGTGTTTGGGATTCTGGAAGCTCTATACTCTCCCCAGATCCACAGGTACACGCGATCAAACGCGCTGACAGTTTGAATAGGCGCACTTTGAACCAATCAAGAGACACTGGACAGACCCCTCCCTGGGATATTGCTCGTATGCACATCTCACCTTGTACCATTATGTGTTCTCTACTGACGCATCAAAGTTATTTGAACCTATGCTACGGTGATCCAATGTTCCAAAAGAACCCTTCCCTAGGCGGAGGAGATTCTGGAAGTGGTGGAGCCAGAGGCACAAAAGAGTGCCGGTATCAGCATTTCCAAGTGGTTGGCATAGAGCAGCCCAGTGGAGAGGTGTTGCCCGAGACCGGCTACGCATTGAATGAAGTCGTGCGGAGGAAACTTTTGGGTGAAGAAAAACGAGGTCATGAAGCAGGGGGCATACATGGGGCAAACGAGGTGGCGCAGTGGGTGAACTGTGACTTGCGGCGATTCGACTATTCTCTGCTCGGACAGTAAGCCTATTTCTCGATATAATATCCAAGGATTGTTGCTAACGATTATGTGCAGGTTCCAAGTCATAGTGGCCGACCCTGCTTGGGTAAGCCTGACTTGCAATGCTGCATCACTGCGCCTTGACGCTGACCTTCTCACAGGACATCCACATGTCTCTCCCCTACGGAACCATCACGGACGACGAGATGCGCAATCTTCCTATCCGTGCTCTCCAGCCAGACTGGGGCATCTTATGCCTCTGGGTTACCGGGCGTGCTATGGAAGTGGGCCGTGTCGTATTCGCTCACTGGGGATACAGGCGCGTGGACGAGTTGGTCTGGGTCAAAGTGAACCAGGTGCAGAGGTTGATCAGAACGGGGAGGACGGGACACTGGTTGAAGTGAGTGTACTTTTACATGCGCATGTAGAAGGAGACACTAATGAAACATTGAAGTCATACATGCGAGCACCTTCTCGTCGCCCTCAAACTCCCAGAAGATCACCCTCGTGACGCTCCCATACCGTGGGATACTGTTCCTTCTCTTCGGAACCTCCGGAAGAACCTGGATACCGACGTGGTTGTTGCTGAAGTCCGCGAGACGAGCCGAAAGCCTGAAGAGGTGTATGGGGTTATCGAGAGGTTGGCAGAGGGCGGAGGGAGAAAGTTGGAGTTATTTGGGCGAAAGCATAATGTCAGAAAAGGTTGGGTCACTCTGGGTAATCAGCGTGAGTTCTTTATCGATTCGAAGGAAAAATTGTAGCTGATAGAGGACACAGTGGGCGATTCGCAAATCGCTGAACCCGACATGCACGCCAGGCTCGTGCGGGCGTACCCAAAGCAAAAGTTCAACCTGGTCGCAAATCCCCCATCATAACATTGTTGTGACTGTTGTACATAATTCTTCCCTTGTATTGATATATCATGTATTGCTTATCCCAACTCGTGCCCGAGCCAAACAAGTTGAACGATGCTCCTCGCACTGCAACAAGCCTCGAATTGCTCCTCCCTAATTGGCCACAAATTTGATCCCGCTCCACCCACTGTCGCCGCCCCTGCTGCCATTCGTCTCCATCTCTCCTTCTTGGTGCTGGCTCTCCTCTCCAGCTATACATTTATCATGGTCTCCTTAGCACGAACAGTCAGACATTTCAGGCAGGTTGGGTTCAGGGAGTGGTTCAGGCAAATGACGTGAGTTGCTTTTCTATCTCCATTTGTCTGTTGCCCGCGCCTGAAGAAGGCTATACCTTGACATGTTTTGGTGGATCAGGTACTATGTTGGGTATAGATTCTGACAGTTCTTATAGCTACATTGGTGATTCCAAGGCTGGAAGGCTTGTGGGCACCGACCAATTTGGCAACCGATACTTTGAAAACACCGACCCTGCGGAGGAGATTCCTGGTGCGTTACTCTCCTCTTTTTGATTGACGTGGATATCTGGAGAACATGGATCGGGCAAGAGTTGAGGAGAAACGTCTCGTGGAAGGATATGAGTGCAAGTTTGAGAATGCGATGGTACACAAACAAACGCAAAGCTCGAGACGCCATCTTCCTCTCCCCTGCACTCTCCAGAACTCTCACTGACACTACCACCTACTAGGTCGTCACAGATGGATCGACTACTCCCAAGATGATTTCAACGCCTCCCAAGTTCCCCCCGAATGGCACTCTTGGATCTCTCACATCCGTCAACACCCTCCCACTGAAGATGCTATCATGAAGGCCTCGACTCCACCATGGAAGGCTGTACGTGGCGCTCAAAAGGGATGAGAGAAGACGGCGCTGACAGGAAGACGTAGGCTTTTGTGGAGAACATGACTGGTACCAGGGGAAGCTTCAAGACATACTCCACCACTGCTCCCAAGGTCAACGCTTGGGAACCTGTCGTGAAGCCTCGAGGTTCTCAACCCCAGGCTTAAGTGGGCGCTGGAGAGTGGTGGGGAGTTAGAGGCTGTGGCCTGAGCCTGAGGGCGACGGTCAGGGACGGCTTTGTATCAGAGCTATGCATTGGCTTTACGGACTGAAAGCTGACCAGACAGGATGGAACTCGATTCATACAGGCCAGGGCAAGAACATCACTAAACCGATCTGTCTTTTGTATGGAAAGCGCAAAAAAGCTGAGCAAGAAAGCACTACAACGACCTATCGACCTCCTCAGTCCTTTCATCCACCTTGGCCCCCTCTTCGAGTCCCCCCGTTCGCTCACCATCTCTCCCGTTCAACTCATCCTCATTCTCATCTTCAGGTCTCATCCCGCGCAGCATGCTCTCCCCCAGCTCGGCGAATGTCTTGCCGCACATGCAATACCTCCTAAGATTCGGGGGAGATGATATGATGGAGTCAATCTCCTGAGCAGACTGATGCCCGGATGGGACAGAAGAGACCGGTCCAAAGTGGGATGTCGGTTGTGGCAATGAGGGTGCGGTAACGGGTGTGCCATCGGGAGGGGAAGAGGAAGAGTATGCTGGGAGGGAAAGCGAATCCGACAAGCAGTGACACTGGGAACGCGCATCAGCATTCGGCATCTACTCATAGACTAGCACTCACACTAGGGACCGGAAGAGCAATCTTGGTACGCATCATTCGCAATTCACCAGCTCCCTTGATGGGTCGTCCCTTGACGTCTTCACCGTGGACCGAATAGTAGACTTGGATGATAAGCTCGTGAGATACTCGAATTGGGGTTATCGTGCTGATCAAGATGGTCAGCCAACATCGCGAGTCAAGGAAAGTGATACTTACCCCTCGTTGGTCGTAGGCCGAATCTTGTCATGGTTAGGCATCCTCGCTACAGCCTTCACCGTCCACGACTCTTCCCCCTCCATACCCTCCTTCTTCTTTCCCTTGTCCGGCACTTCTTTGCCCGTCCAAAGACATTCTACGCCCACTTCAGGGTGACTCTCCGTAGACTTGTGCACCCGTCCGATCTGGTACAGCACGTGCTGTTTTGGAGGCTCACAGACGCGGGGTGGGTCGTTGGGCGTACGGGGAGAGACGAGGCTGTAGGATTGGGCGAGGATGAGGCGGAAGAGGAAGATGGTGGTGCATGGGGAAGGGGCGGGGACTTTGTAGCTGAGTAGGAAAACAGAGGAGATGGAAAACTAATTGTGCTTCAATCAGCGCTGTCAGATTACATGGGTGGGGGGACATACGACGTCAGCAACGGCTTTGAACTTCCAAATCCCCATGCCATCCGCAAAACCTTCTCTACGCAGGTTCAAGGGTACCACCCCCCCTGTCACTGGTGAGATGGCGTGTACGCACATGCTCTTGGAAGCCACCAGATCGCCCTTCATCCAACCTGTCTTCTCGGAAGGCAGCGACGGGGATGAGGATCTGAATCGGTCCAGAGAAGAAGGGGAGGAGCTAGAGTTGGATTGAGGGGGAGTTGTAAGTGGCATGGCGTGGTCGGACGATTGACGGCGTGCGTACAGACCGCCAGTACAGGGAGTCTTGGTGCCTACAGCAATGGCTGTCGTCTCCCCTTCGCCCGAAGAGTAGCCAAGAGACATCCTCTGCACGTCGAGATCCTCTGGCGACTCGAGTGTGTTTCCACTGCCGCTTCGCTCTCTACCAAAGAACCCCGATCCTGATCCCGCCCTTGATCTTGATCTTCCCCTTCCCGAGGCCGACTCTGACCCGGTCCTGGCGCGGGCTTTGGCTTCAGCCTTATCGGAGCGTGCGATGACCCGCTCAAAGTCGGCGACGAATGGGATCTCGGAACTGAGATAGGAGGTAGACTTGAACATGGTGGAGAAAGATGATGATTGTGCTGGGATCCCGCGGACGCGGGCTGTGATGATGTATGACACTCGGCCAAAGTTGTGCATGTCTGTTGTTGCCAGTGTCGCTGGGAGGATGATTGTGAACCCAAACCTGCTGTCATCAGCACTGTGTCATACCATTGAAACATGAACTTGCGATTGAGTGCCCTTTTCAAGCCAGATGCCTTCTTCATTCCCTCCCAGCACCTCCACACCCCTCTCAAATATCCCATCTTCTTCCCATCCTCTTCCTTGCCCCAAGTGCAAGCGCGCCACACTCTGGACACCTACAGAGACGGCGTGTACTCTTCGCCTTTCGGTCATGAGGATTTCGAGTACTCCCGTGAGAACCGTGTCATTCGAAGGAGGGTTGCGCTCCCCGTTGTTAGAGTCGAGAGGGTGCAGATCAAGAAGTCGAGGGGGGCGTAACAAGACGCAAGCCCTGGGTATAAGTTAGCCATATTCGAAATATCTTGGCGGTTGGCTGCCACTTACCAACCAGGGACATGGATCTTCAAAATGCCTTTCCCGCTGATAGTCTGTGTGCCCGACCTCCTCACGTATATTGGAGGGGGTACGCCAGGTCGTAACTCATCTTCCAGGTTACGCGGGCCCAACGAAGGAGAGGGTCGGTCTAGAGATGAGCGGGCATATGAAGGAGGCGGGCGGGGAGAAGCACCGCGGCCTCGAGACAGCGGAGACTGAGCGCGGGGCGGTGGATACGACATGGTGGTTGACGAGCTGAGGTGAGATTGGTTCCCAGGCTATTATACGGCAGGATGGTTGTAGAAATTGAATTGCGCAAATCGAGTCGTGAACTTCTCAGGCTACATTTCCACGAGCAGAAGGTAATCGGCTAAAGCAGGTTCGCTCTGTTATCAGAGAGCACAATGCGAATAAGTCAGCCTCTCCGACTCGACGCGACGCCATATTCCATCTCGGCGTGCCTTTACCATTTCGGGTTTCGGCTATTGCCCGGCCGGCCATCGGTCTCTTGACTTTTTGGCCAGACATTGCTTGTACTTCACAGCAGCACACTCGAGCCAGTAGCTCCAGTGATAGGTGTGATAGACAATCCTAGATGTACCTAGACACCTTGACACTCCAATCCCTATCCAACCCTCTCCGCTAAAGTCGCGTCATCGTGCTTGTCCGTCTTGTTTGGTTCGCCCGCCGGATGAGTGAAATTGTGGTGTGATGTGCGTAAGTACGACGGGCTAATGAGCTACATTTACACCCTGGTGTTCTGCATCCGGTTACATTGTAAAATTGTAGTCGATGAGTCGAGGGAGACCCCGGAAGCAATACTCGGGCTTCGAAACCGGAATCTAATCTGAAATTGTATTGAGCAATATCGAGTCATCATCAGGCAACTTAGCATATCAAGTGTTACCAGCTAAAGAAGACCGATGAACTGAGACTTCTTCATTCGAATGTATCCCGATACTTACACTCTCGAATTTCTGCAATCAGTCGAGCCAGCCGGCTGTAAACACTCGTTTGGCAGCTGAAGTCTCCCTCTCGTCCTTGAGGACCACCAGCTGAGAGCTGCACAAGGAGATATAAGAGCTCAACTACCACATATACATGAGCTGTGTCGTTAGCCTCACTACCAAACTACGCTTGAACAACGACGCCGAAAAGATAATACTATTATACCTCAACGATGCACGACCTATTTACGTAAAGCGGCCTCCACCCTGCGACGCGCTCGGATCGTAGTAGTATCATTCCAACTCTTCCTCTAGACAGTTCCCATAGAGATGTCCCGGAACGACAAGGATGCCCTCGTGGCATTCGTAAACCTCTTCAAGCTCTCAAAATCAGTCACAGACTTTGTCCAGCTCGCAGACGGGAAAGCCTTGATGGAGGTGCGTGTTGACGGCTCTGGCGCGTGGGACGCTGCTGACTTTGCCACAGGTCATGAACTTTGTGTATGTATCAATGGGCCTTGATGGATTATAATAACAGTGTCAAAGTGATGAGACGCATTTCAAGAATGTCCCTGCCAGAGCTGTTGGACCATCAAGCTCTTCAGAGAACTGGGTGCTCCGTACCAACACATTGTTCGTGCCGTTATAGGATTGGTGGACTGAGCTGATCTGTTGCCAGAAAACGACTATATCGCCTTCTCCTCTCCTACCCTCTCCCCGCTCCCCACCCACCCTCCCTCTCCCTCTCATCCCTCCCCGAACCTCCCTTCTCTTCCATCGCCAAATCCCCTTCCACCCGCGAAGGTTCCCAAGGCCTCCTCCATATCTGCCGTCTCTGCCTCGTGGTCGGCGTGTGGGCACCCAACAATGAGAATGTGATCACCAAGATCCAGAGGTTGAATGAAGAGCATATGGCAGAGTTGATGAAGAGTATTGAGCAGATTATGGCGACGATGCCGGAGGAGCATCAGGGGAGTGGGCAGGCTTCGCCGTTGAAGCCGTCTCCGGATATGTCGTATTCGTGAGCTTGAACATGGGTGGAGGGGGTGTATGTGCTGATGATCTTAGGCCCCCGCCGTCTGGACTGAGAGCAGAACGGGACAAGCTGCTGCAAGAGAATGACGATCTCCGTTCACGATGTGAGCAGATGGTCGGACAAGTGTCCAAGCTCACCAGCGAACTGGTAAGTATTTCCTTCCCTCATTATGGTATGTTTCTGACTGTAAAAAAGGATGAAGCAAAAGAGGACCGAGACGACGCCATGGAGCGTCTGAAGCGCAATGAGGGGCCTGGGTCAGGGCTTCGGACTAGTCAGAACGCTCATACTGGCGAGTCTGATGGTCTTAAAGCAGACCTGTAGGTTTTCGCTGTATACGAGGCTCACTGCTGACATCTACGAAGGCTAAAGTCTGAGGAGAACTTGGCGCATGTGGAGGAGCAGTTGGAAAAGCAGACTGCCCATGTCAACGAACTATCCAAAGAAGTGAGATTATAACAGCTTCATTGAAATGTCAAGGTGCAGACGCTAATTCGATTGCTTCAGATCGAGCAGTACAAAGCCGAAGCCGAGGAGGCCGTACGGTTGAAAGATCAGCTGGACGAATTCCGACATACGTCGGATCGTCTGCGCAAGAGCGAGAATGTGATTGAAAAGTATCGCAAGAAGTTGGAAGATAGCGCTGGGCTTCGACGGGAGCTTCGGGTGCGTACCTCACCTTCTACTCTGAGCTGACGAGGTATCAAGAATCTCGAGGAAGAGAACGCCACGCTCGTCAACACCAACTCGGCTTTGGAAGCCGACTTGAACAAGGCCCTCTCATCGAAATCGCTTCTGGACACTTACAAGTCACAAATCACTACTCTCGAAAAGCAGACGTCTGATCAGTCTTCTGAAATCGCCCAGCTAACCCAGCAGCTCGAGACGGCACAAGGACAGCTGGAAGTGCTACAGCAGTCGTACGACGAGCATGAGGAAGAGCTGGCTGTCAATTTGGAGAAGCTGAAGGAGCTTGAGCTGAGTGGAGGGGCTGAGGGTGGGGGTGGTGAGGCGTGGAAGAGAGGTATGACGAGGAGCGAGTCGGGGGCTCTTTTGGGTGATGTTTCGGTGTCGTTGGATGATGAACTGGAGGGGATCGACGGGGGAGTGACGGAGAGCAAGACAGAGTACGTTCAATATAGCGCCTCATGTGATCAACATTTAACACTTATTAGCCTCCGCGTCAAGATAAAATCCCTCGAACGCGAGATCGCTTCCCTCAAATCTTTCTCCCACACCCCTGGCTCCCAAACAGAACTCTCCACCGTCCAGGCCTTGCTCTCCGACGCCACCCGTTCCCGTGACAGGTACCAAACAGACTATCTCACCGCGCATCGCGAGACTCTGCGCTTGTCGGCGATATTGGAAGCTATTCGTTCAGGTAAAGGGAAGGGTGGAAATGCGGCTATGGTCGAGGCGTTGAGGAAACGGGTGGAGGAGCTTGAAGAGGAAGTTATAGGGTTGGGGAAGGAGAAGAAAGGTGTGCAGGAGGGGAAGGAAGAGGTGGAGAAGGCTCTGGAGGGCGCGAGGAGAGATTGTAAGTTGGCATGGTCGTTTGAAGTCGCTCTGCTAACCATGATTGTCAGTGGATATGGTTGGAAAGGACCAGCGAGATATTCTTGCGTGTGCGTAGAATCAATCTCGACCAGCAAGGATATGATTACTGACGACCATGACATAGCCTTGTGCGAAAACGTCGAGAAGGACACCACCAACCTTGAACACCAAGTCAGGCAGCTCAAAGAACAGATCGACATTCTCCGCGATAGGGATAGGCAGAATCTCGAAGAGATCAAAAAGTGCGTTCATCTCCCCAAGTCAACGCGATGTATGTCTGAGGTGGATGTGACAGACTCCTCACGGACAAGGTCGATCTTCAATCAGCTGGCATCAACCAACGTGAACGAGCTTTGGAGAAGGAGAAAGAGTTCAGGTACGTATCGTATAGCGTTTCTTGAGGACCTGGCTGAGCAATTCAGTGAACTTCGGGCGACGATGTCTGCTAGTGGAGTCCCTTCGGAAACTCAACAACAGCTTCTCAACGTACACGAAAGGAACATCGAGCTATCCGCAGAGGTGAAGACTCTCCAAGAGAAATTATTAGCTTCCCCCAGCTCCAACACAGAAGACCACTCTCTCTTCGAAGCCGCCCAACAGGCATACGAATCCCAAATCGCCTCCCTCCAAGCCACCCTCTCCAAGCTCAAACAATCGAATGCGAGGTCGAAGAATCTGCATGAGATGGAGAACCAGCTCATGCTGGGCGCGTGGCATGATTTGGGGTCGAGGGTGATGAGTGCGCATTTGCAGAATGCGGGGAGCGCTGCGGGGGCGTTGGGAGGGGTGGGGAGGAGGAGTCAGGGGAAGAGTACTCCGGGGGGATGGCTTGGAAGACAGAGGAGGATGGTGAGTCTGTTCTGACCCCATTGATGGATATTACTGACTCGAGCGTAGCAAGAAGTGGGTGGTCTGACCAGGGGTAGTCTCTTATAGACTTTGGTGTGTTTAGTTAGCTTACGAGGTAGAGGAACGTCTCCCATAACGACTCTTGTTCTCTGATTGTCTTGTCTGTCCTACGAACAATGTCATGCAACAATGATTACGATATATATTATCTGAGGAACTCACCTGGAGGCTGCTACTTGTATTGTTGTCGCACATGCTTCATGGCAGCATCCATTTGGACTTTATAGATTATAAGTACAGAGTACTTAGAGTATAGAAGTATCAACAGCGGAAGACGCAACCCGGCTTGGGAGCTACAACAAGATATACAAACAATTTCAACCTTCACCCTCCATCTTCATCCCACCCCTCCTTCTCTTGCAACCTTTCCCTCAACCCACCCTCCCTCGGCGGACTCATCATCATCCACCTTCCCTGCAGCCCAGTACCACTCCCCCTCCTTCCCCTAATCGCCATTGCCCCTTTCCCACCCATCCCACCCATCCCCATTCCACCCATACCCACAGGACTAGCACCCACCAAAGCAGGCACCTTTTCCCCTTCCATATCCCTCACTTCAATCCCTTTCTGAGAGGATAGTAGATTGGCTTGATACCGCATTTCACCCATTTGCCCGGCTTGCATAGCTATGACCCCAAGGGAGGGGTTGAGCCATTTGAAACCGTCTATCGTTATTGTCTTCAACCCCTTGGGCGCGGGCGAGCGGTGGGATAAGATAGTGTGCAGGAATGCTGGCCCGGATTTGCGAGAGGGGGAGGAAGAACCGGCTAAAGGCGGGGAAGGCGGGGGGGAGAGGGGAAATATGGATGAGGGTGCTGTTGGGGGGGAAGAAGACAGGGAAAGGGTGGGGGATGGGAATGTGGATGGGGACCATTTTTGCACAGTGAGCGCTTTGAGCGGATGATCATGCGCGGACGAAGAGCGAAGGAGGATGTCTAGAGCTTCGTAGTCTTGGTCCAGGACGGCGAGGTGGATGAGGTTGGGATGGATGGTGAGCGTTCCGGGGGGGATACCCCAGTCGGCTTTGGGCCACCCGCGCGGGGAGAGGTAGGAGAGGGAGAGGATTTGGGAGGAGAGGGAGTGCTGGAGGGGGAGGGATTGGTCGTTTGGGAGTAGTGGGGTGGGAGTGAGCGCCAGGCGGGTGAGGGAGGGAAGAGAGGCGGATAGGAGGGAGGAGATGAAGAAGCCGGAGGGGATGCCCTCCAATTTGAGGCTGTGGAGTTTTGGAAGCGATAGGGGGGCGGCGCCGTCAAGGTCTGAAGGCTCGACGGCGATACCCGGGCCCGAGACGCTGAGAGCTTGTAGGCTCGGCAACCGTCGAAGTAATCGCACAAGATCCACCCCGCCTCTCTCTCGTTCATCAACCCATACCCCTTCAAGCGATTGCAACTTTGACGCAAAAGCTGAATAACCAATCTCTTCCAAAGGTACCACCCTGCGACAGTCCTTCTCGCCCAGCTTTAGATGCACCACATTGGGTAGCAGGGGGAATATGGATAGTACTCCCTGTCGTGTGGCAATAGGTCCTGGGGCATACCGGTCAAATTCCGGCGGCAGATGCGAGAGATCAAGGGTTGTCAGGTATCGACCCGGAAGGGAAAATTTGTGAATGTTGATATCTGACCACTTGGCGTCGCCGCGCAAGATGGCTTGGGCGAGTAGAGTGAGATTGTCTGTTATATGAGGCGATGCATAGAGGTACTCGAGTACCACGGGCTGGATATCGTCAGCCACTTCGGCCGAAGTGTCAGATCAGAGTAATTCACCTTCCAAGCTTTGCACACGAACAACAGCCCCAGAGCGGTCTTGCTGATGTCTTTGCGAGCCTTGATGAGCTTGCAGTCTACCTCTCGGCCTTTGGCGCCTGCCCAGCAGTCCCAGGACGGTTGGATCTCCGCGGTCTCATGATGGGCGGCGACGGGAGATGGAAAGGACGGGGGGAGGGATAGGCGAAAGTAGATGATACGGCGGATGACTTCGGAGGGAAAATCTGGAAGGTGTGGCGGGGGCGATAAATGTCTGCGGTCTGGGAACGGCATGATTGGGTTACAAGTTGTAAAAGAAAGATCACATCTTCTTGGTCCATTGAGGTGGAGGGATGACGTAACGCCGAGTAGCACCGATCTAACCGAGTGCCGACCATGGCTACGGTGGAGAGAGTGCATGTTGAGAGATGTCTGCAGTGTGGCACAGTGTGGCTGCAGGGGCAGGGCTGGTGAGCTACATTCCTCGAACCACAAGATGGAAGAGAAAGCACAGCCGTATCCCCGCCACCCATTCATTGTAATAACTGTAAATTAGAAGCAAAGAACAGAATAACTTTCGCGTTTGCTTCCGTTTGCTTCCAGGCGGCTCTAGGTCTTGTCTAGGTCTCCCCAATGTCCCCATACCGTTTTGACCCACTACGCGATATAGAGTCTACCCTTCACCGACACAACCCCTACGTCCAGTCTATCATCACTTGCAAGGAACGAATGGATGCGCACAACGAAAACAATGTACATCTTCATCCCCACATGTCGCAAGAGGGTCACGACCCCCGGACATACATACAACACTCCTACGTCAAACGAAGTGGCGCTGATGATAAAGATATAAAGATCACAATGGCCGCGAGCTCATATGGCAGTCTCGCGCGACCAGCTCCCTTACTCTCCACCACCGCCCGTTCCCGAGCACCACTCGCCCCTTCAAACTACAAAACGCCTCCTTCACCCTCCCTCACATCTTCAACCTCACCAATTATACACCCACATCTCTCCCGCGCTCTTCCAACCCTGTTCCCACTGTTCTTCCTTTGCCGCGTTCCGCCAACCCAGACCCCACTCGTCCCTCTGTCTCCTCGTTCCATTTCGACCCCCCCACAGATCACGACGCTTCTTACCCCGTCTCTTCCACCCCGATGGCTGTGCGGCTTCCCGCCTCTCTTAGGCCGTCCGCTGCCCCTGCTCCAGCCCCCGCCCCTGCCACCGCCCCTGTGGTTCACTACGTACAACAGGCAGCCCCCTCCTACATTCAACGACAATAACGCTGATATCTCGATGTAGCCACCCGCTTTGAAGAAGGTTGCGTTACCCTATGAAGTACAGTTTTAGCCACATTCATGATACTCCGGAGCATCCCCCGCGCTGTACTCACCATGCAATGCACCCAGTATAGCTTTCACAAGACCCAACATACTGTGCTTCTCGTATATGTTGAACAATGTGAGCCCTAATGTTACGGTTTCCTGGAGGGTCTCGACACGACGGGTGACCGGTTTTGGCTGTACAGAGGACGCTTGTCGGGGGGGAAGACTTAGTCAAGAATGACATGTTTGCTAAGTTTAAGATTGCCGGTGACTTTCTGTAACGAACTCCTCTGGGACTTCTTAGGACGGTCTAACTACTCTCTACAAATATCTTGGGGTTGAAAGCTTCCCGAGATACAGGAAAGAGCTGAGTAGTACGCCATGGCAGTCAGTAATACATTACTAGCCTCTCACCGAATAGTTACCCAAAAATCATACTTCACTTCATGACAGAGACAAAAGGAAATGCGAGCGACAAGGGTCAAGTCAAGTAGCTAAAGTCGAGGGAAGCTACGGTCTAGTGGTCAACGATCAGCGTCTGAGATGGCAAGACTGGGAATTACTTCATTCACACCCACCCTCCACCTGCTCTCGTACATAATTGCTGAGGATCTCGATAAACTTGTCAACAGCCATGTTCTCCTCGCGCTCGGTCCAAGGACACATCATCTTCATCTCTCCGGCATTCCCCATCCCTTCGTGCCCTACTTCTTTGCCCTTCGTGCCCTTTCCGCCTTTTCCGCCCTTCCTGGTCTTTTCGCCCTTCCTGGTCTTTCGGCTGTTCCCGATATTCTCTGCCTTTCTGAGTTTTCCGGCCATCCCTTTCATTGCTTGCAGAGATTGCTGATAAAAAACATCGAGAAAGTCCATAAGTGTTCTCAACAAGTCCCCCAGCGGTGAGAGACAGCATTCTTCGTTGTCAATGTCTTTCGAAGCCCCTTTTGACAGCAGAAAGCTAGATCGCTTGCTCTCTGAAGCAGGGAATGGTCCGAAAAGAGACCTGAAGATAGACGCATCAGGTGTTTTGGAGGTACTACCCTGTGTGTCAAAAAGAAGTGGAACGTAGAGCAGGACCCAGAAGAAAGACTCCAAATCGAAGATTGGGGAATGCGCGAACGGAATTCCTCGTCCATTCGCGATCCTGTCATGGGCGGTGAAAATGGCTGTCGCCATAAAGTTCAAGGTCCCCTGCAAGTACCAGCATCAGACAGACGATCATGGTGGAGGAAGAGGAAACAAACCGGGAGAAAAGCTTTGCCATCGTTGGCAGTTCCGCCTTTTGGCCCTCTCTTGACAGCAAGATCAAAATTGATCAACATGCCACAGAGCTTCCCATCTGTTGAGATAGGGTCCCTTGCCATGTCAGGGTCCAGTAACGTTACCTTCATCCTTTCTTTTTAATCTATACCTTGCTAAGATACTTGCTACTTGTACCTTTTTCTTTCGCTCTGTCTCCCATATATACCC